CCGTCCACCCTAATAGAGGTTATACTGTACATTTGGGAATTTAACTGGGCCACGCATCAAATTTGAAAACAAAAATTGAAAACAGTTATGAGTCTTGCAAGACCCGCAGGAAAAGTGCGAGTCTTGCACGTGAAATAAGAAATTGCGAGCGAGAACGAGAATTTGCGAGACGAGACAAAGCGAGCATCTGCGAGCGCGAGACGAGACAAGCATTTATGCGAGACAAGACAAGACAAGTCCCGAAAATTTCTTGCAAGACCTGCAAGAATTCTCGATCTTGCCAGATGCCAATGCTCGCGAGACGGAACTCTATTCTTCTCGTATTCCAGTCATCTTATGCATTTTTATGCATCCGTGGTTTTTCGGTTTTTAAGTTTTTTTGAGGTTTTTTTTGAGTGATTAAAGAGCTTTCCCATAACTTTTTCTATGAAAAGGTTCTCTTTTTGAGAATTCGAGATCTGGATTTTTTGAAAACTTTTAACAACTTCTGAATATTTCCGAATTGACGCGTTTCGTTTTTTCTTGTTGAAAAACTATAAAAGTTTCTGGAAAAGTTTTATAGCCCCTGCAAGAGAAAAACTGGTTGCAAAATATTGAAAACCGATTTTGGATTGATTCGAAATTTTTTTCGAACGATTTTTGAAACTGGACCACTCCTGTGAGGATCTGGAAATTTTCAGCTCCGCATTTTCAATTTCTGATTTTTGCCTAATAGTTTTCAGAAAACGTTTAAACACATGAACTAGATTTTTGACTTCTAGGTCCCATGATTTTGAGGATTTCTCATTTTATTGTTCATCGTCAATTATCGTAAAACTATAGCATTTTTAGTCATTCTAACCATATGAACTTCATTTTTATGTTAAAATTTACGATTCGTAAACATTCATTTTTCAGTGGACCCGAAAATTTAATTGTCTTACCGGAAAAATTTTGAAAACTAAACATTATTAATTGGACTCGTTTTAGATGTGGAGCCGGCAATTTCAGGCTTTCGGATTGTTGAATGTTTGATGTCTTGGGTTCCCGAACTCCTATTTTTCTAGATGCTTCAATTTTTGGATCTTTTGATTTTCAGATATTTGAACTTTTAAATGTTTAAATTTTCGAAAATGGAGGCCCATCACTTTAGTAAGGTTTTAGAAAATTCTCAAATTTTATAGAAATTCGGGAACGGCTGAAGTTTGTATGTCCCCTAAAAAAAGTAAAGTTTGGTTGGAATTCAAGGAATATCGAAATCTTGAAAGTCCCAAAAGTGGAAAATTTTTAGACTGAAAGAAAACATTCAAAGGCATTTTTTGTGCGGTTTTCGAGCTGAAAAAGTCCGGTTTTTTTAGCTAACCTAACTAGTTATTCGATTTTTCAAGAAAATTCTCGAAAATCCCATTAGCTTCCTGTCTCCCTCGTTCACCCTATTTTGCTGTCAAATGCTCTCCTATTAAGTGCTCTTCTTCATCTTCTTTTCCATCGCGCCTTCTTCTTCTCCTTAATTGAAAATCTCCGTTTCTTTTTCTCTTGAAGATGCTGTCGTTCTTCTTCCCAACGTCTTCTATTTGTTCTTCTTCTTTGTCCATTCAATACGTTCTGATTCTTCTTTTATTTCTTCTTATTCCTTCCAATCCACGTAATCCGATTCTTCGGAAAAGCGTTCAGTTAGAACCACATGCCATTTTCCGTAACGTCTCCTGAGGTTGATCAAAATGTTTCAAATCGTCTTCCATGAATTCTGAGCACTTAATTATCCCATGTTTTCCAATTCCCACTTTCTCATCAATCATAATTTCCCTCCCGAACAATTATGATGGATTTAGACGTCAGCAAGCACATTTTCTCGCCTCCACTCCCCAACTGATCACACATATCTTCCTTTTCTCTGCGTCTCTCTTTTTATTAGTACTCTCTCGTTAATTTGTGATGAGCACACTTTTTTCTGTAGTGTGGAACGACCATACTGTTTCTCGGCTCTTTGTGGAGGATACTTTTCTTAAGTGGCCAAAAAGTTAGACGTTTGGAAAAAGAAGAAAAAGAAGATCGTAGAAAAAGTGATAAATATTTTTCCCTTGGGAACATTTGGTTTGGATAGAAATAGCAACAATTTTACCAAACAAGCAGAATTTGCGTATGTCTTTGAAATTTTTAACAGCTTAGGATTTTTGAATTTCTGAATTTCGGAATTTTTAAATTTTTAAATTTTTAAATTTTTTAACTTCCGACTTTCCGAATTTCTGAAATTTCGATATTTCTGAATTTTTCAATTTTTGAAACCTAGATTTTTGACTTCTAGGTCCCATGGTTTTCGAAATTTTTTTTTCATTTTATTGCTCATTATCAATTATCATAAAACTATATCATTTTGTAGTCATGTTAACTATACACTATTCATTTTATGTCAAAAATTTACGATTCGTAAACTTTAAAACATTTTTAGTGGACCGAAAATTTTATGTCTTACAAGAAAAAAAAACTTGAAAATAAAACATCACTGACTGGGCTTGTTTTAGAGGCGGAGCCTGAAATTTTGGATTTTTGGATTGTTGATTTTTTGAATTCTCGGGTTCTATTCTTTCAGGTGTTTAAATTTTAAGATTTTAGGATTTTTAGATTTTAAGATTTTCGAAAATTTGGATTTTAGGGTGTTTAAAGTTTTTGGGATTTTTGGATTTTTGAAATTTCAAATTTTTTATGCTCATTTTTTGGATTTTTGAGCTTCCAAACTCATGGACTCATTAGCTTCTACATAGATTTTCTGCTTTCTTATGTTTCATATTTATTGATTTCCAGATTTTCGTATTACGAATTTTCGAATTTTTGGCTTTTCGGAATTCCGCTATTTTGCTTCTTAATTTTCGAAAACTTCAGAATTTTCGGATTTTTAAATTTCTGAATTTTTGAATTCCAGAAATTCTGAATCTTTTTGGGCTCCTCGATATTCGAATATTCCAATATTTAAAACTCGAAATTTTAAAAGTTCGAATTATGGAATTTTTAAATTTTGCATTTCCGTTTTTTTTTTTGGATTTTCTCGAAAACTGAGCGTTTTGCATTCCAGGACTCTCGGAACTCTAGAACTTTTCGAAATATCAAGATTTCAAACTTTTTCGTGTTGAAAAACGACGAAAACTTCTTCTTATATTACTAGTATTTCTTTCTTAAGAAAATCTTGCGCTTTTCTTTTTGTTTTCTATAAATATTCACAGTAATACGATGCTCTCTCTTCGCAATTTTCCTTCAAAATGTGAGCCAATATTCTCTCATCATTCATGCACAAGTACATCTATTTCTCCCCTCTTTTCTCCGGCTTCTTTTCGCACACAACTCGAGAGAGATCCCAAGAATACATACTTTCAGCGAGAGACGCAGACAATTGCTAAACGAGAACAAGAGAGTGTGTCCAGAAGAGAAGCAGACACAAGACAGCTGACGACACTCTGGTTCTCTACTGGGCGAGAGACGCAGGATTCCATTGATCGACGGCGCTCCCGCTCCCTTCTCGCCCAGTTTACTCCTTTGTACACACCCCAATCCCCCACACGTCTTCTGAATCACACCCACGTCTTCTAAATCTTCCACAATGGTGGAACTGTGCGAATTGCACATGATGCCCGATGAGGATCAATGGCCTGATGACATTGATGCTCGCATCGCGGCGCTCAACTTTTGTGGTGAGGATTCGATGCTTTTTGAGTCTGTGGATCCATCAGTGTCCACGGATTCGTTGGATTCGACACAGTTTCGAGAGAGATGTCAGATGAAAAAAGAGGATTTTCAATTGGCATTTGCGGACTCTGGACATTGGCAATCAGGTATAAATGAGAATTTGACTACCTGGGGACGGATTCGATCTTCTGAACCGCTGGACGAACGAACTGCGTCTGCTCCAGACGTCTGGAAGAGGTCGATTCATCGTCCGAACTCTCTGATTGCCAATTTTGTGTCTGGAGATGCGGCGACTCGATTCGTCGATGTTAATGATAATGAAATCCGTGAAGCGAATGAGGATATCATTAGGAAGGATCGATGGAGACGTGATTCGGCACGCAGGAGCTCAATTACACAGAAAAGAACTTTTGCTGATATTCTGGAAAAGAATGCTTCTGAGCCATCGTCTGCGGAGACAACGGAGAGAGGGAAACAACCGCCAAAGTTGGAGTTTTTGGCAATGCATCATGAGGTTGGTTCTGGGATGTATAATTTTCCCTATACGTACACTTTGAGCTTACTTATCTTGGTTCCTACAAGAGATATCAAAATGTTATCAACTGATAAAATATTAGTGATTTTATGATAATTTATCAGTTGGAATTTTTTTGATATCTCTCATAGGAGCCGAGATAATTGAGCTCAAGGTGTACGTAGTGGGTTGCTTATTTTGGAATTTCTCATTTTTTGAAATTCTTTAATTTCAATTTTCTGGGAAATTCATTATCATATTTTTAATTTTCTAAGTTTTTGTCTTAAGATAAGGAGAGGTCTTTGGTCAAGAATAAAAAAGTCAACACACATTTTTTTTGTTTTTAGCAGAGTGGGTTGTTACAAAAAAAGAAAACTAGAGGGGTATTTTTGTTGTTTTTCAGTTAGATAGGGGGGGCCATCTGAAATAGATATACTATTGATTTTTTGGTTTTTCCTTGAAACCTTGGGATTTTCCAAACATCTGGATTTCTAGAAAATTCGAATTCTCGAACGGTTTTTTAACATTTGAAATTTGAAGGCCCAAATTTCTAAAAAAAAAAGTCTGGAGTACTGAAGTTCTGAAATTCTAAAATTCCACGAAAAATTTTTGAATTTCGAAAATGATTTCTCCTTTTTCCTTTTTATAGGTTTCATGTCTCTTTTTCTTTTTTTTCCAAATTTTGGTTTTTCAGAAAAAAAAAGTTGTCCCCCTAAAGGGAGATTTATTTCGAAATATGCAAAAAAAATTTTGAATGATTTGGATTTTCGAAATTACTGGAAACTCAGAATTCTCTAAATTTCTATTTCATCAAAAAAGTTAGGTCATTTGACAGAAAAAATAAAAATTACCAGATTTGTAATTAGATTTTTATCGGTTATGTTAGGTTCCAAAAATACCAATGAATTTTAGAAGAACAAAACATAAATCTTCTTACATAATCCAATCGCCACCGCCACCACCAAAAAAATAATTTATCGTCTTTTTTGCATCGGTGTCAAATGGAGAATGTCTTTTCTTTCTTATCCGATACTTTTTTTTCCTTTAGGACGACTAGTCGTCACCACCAACAAACATTTATCATTTTATATCCGATGATACATTAATAGAACACTTTTTTTATTAATTGATCGCGTTCCTCTTTTTTGGGTTTAGGAATAAAAAGAGAAAAACGAAAGTTAGAGGTTTGAACTACCGTAACCACTACAAAAGAATGATCCCGATAATTTTCAATTTTGAACCATGCTATCTCGGTTCCTGTATGAGATATCAAAAGGTGGTTAACTAGCAAAATATGTTTTGATATTATGATGAACATTTTATCAGTTGACAACATTTTGGTATCTTTTACAGGAACTGAGATAAATTGGCTCAAAGTTGACGGTTTGGGGCTCCCAAGTTTAGCTAATTTTTAAAATTCTGAACTTCTGAGTTTTCAGAAATTTGAAATAATGATTTTTTTGGTTTTTTTTGTAGGCCGAATTCTATTACATTTGAATTAAAACATTTCGAAAAATACAGAAAGTTAGGAGCTTTCCGAACCTCCAAGATTCTTATTCTGAACTTCTGAGATTTCAAAAAAAAAGTAAAATATGAAAAAAATTTTCGAGATTTCTGAAGACTAACTTGATATTTTTGAACTATTTTTTTGCCGTTTTCCTAATCTTGATACTGTAAGATTTTTATATATTTTGAATTATATCTTACAATTAGAAACTGCAAACAAATTTTTGAATTGTCAGATTTTCGAATTTTCGATTTTTCTGATTTCCTTTAAAATTTGGAACTTAAGAATCTGAAAATCTTGGAATCTTAGAACCTGAGAATCTCAGAAACTTGAAACTTCGTAATCTTAGATCATCAGAATTTCAGAATCCTAAAACTTAAAAATCTAAGAACTTCAGAATATCAGAAATTCCAGAATTTTCGAATCTAATAATTCTTGAATTTTCCAGATGCCATCACTCTGTGAATCCTTCACAGCTTCATTCCGAGATGCCATTATCAAAACTCAGAAGAGTGAACCACTTCCATCGATCACTTCAACAAACGATTTTCCACTGTTTTTCCAGGTAATGCTTTTTCGAAATTGTAATTTTTCAGAGTCGTAGAACTTTTTGAAGCCCTCACGAAACCCCATTCAATCTCAATTTTTCCCATCCATAGTGTTAATAATTCATATTTTTTCAGGAAGATTCTCCAGATTCTGGCCTCGGGTGCAGTGGCCCCAGTCACATCGAGGATTGGCAATCTCTTTCAGTGCTTCTCCCAAAGTGAGTTTCCATCCAATTTCTCTAGTGCCCTCTCATTTTTCTATACTCTCTCCCTCGGCTTAATCTCCTTCTTTGAGATTATTCCGCGCCGCGCGCTTTGTAAAAAAGAGTATGGTAAATTGAGAGACGCAGAGCTTTATTTCCTAACCCAGTGTGTCGGAAAAGATGGTCAAAAAAGATGGGAAGGTGAACTTTTTTTGTTGAATGAGCGAACGGAAATTGAAGGGGAATGGATTGGGGGAAAACTGATTGAAAAAAGAAGAGAAATTGAGGGAAAATAGGGTTAATGTGATAGAAAAGATATTGGAAGTAAGGATCCCAAGTACTAGGGATTTGGACATCTGGAAGAACAGATAAATATTCTTTTTGGAGCTTCAGAGATGCTCAAATCAGGTTGTTTACGACCTAACTACCTACAGTACCAGTCAATAAGGTATTTTAAAAAACGTGCTTTTCGGTTGATTTTCGGACAGAATTCTGACACTCGACTACCAATAGGGTGTAAAACAGACCTAGATTTAAAGCTTTTCAACCACAGAATGTTTTGAAAATTCCTAGTTTTTCAGCTATTTTCCGATTTCTGAAAGATAACCTATTTTTGGTCCGTTTTTGTACTGAAAACGGTAAAAAATAGGTGTTATTCAGAAATCGGCAAACAGCGGAAAAACTTGGGATTTCAAAAACTTTGCTGAATGCAAAGTTTTCAATCTAGGTCTATTTTACACTCTGCAGTTTTTTCAAAGTGATCGGTAACTTGACAGCCGAGCTCCAGACTTCTAAAAATGCTGAAAATCAACTGAAAATGCATGTTTGTATATTAACCGGTACTGTAGTTAGAAAAATGATTTTTTGAGCTTGAAATCGACCACGGCCTAGCACCGCATAGCTCATATCCAAGGCCACACCACTCATTTTTCCAGACACGTCGCAGAAGCGTGCTCATTTTTCAAGAGCAACACCCAATTGCTCACCTCGTCAACATCAAAAAATGCGACAACCCAACAAAGCGCCATCACTTCCTCATCCCATCATCATCCTCATTTTTCATCAAATTGCATCGATCGTCATCGAATGCCTGGAATTTCGGCGTCGGCTAACGAGGCGTGCCGAACGTGTTATCGAGTACGGAGGAGGTAAGAGACTTTTATTGAGCAACTACCTGGAGCAGTTGTTTGGTCAGAAGAACATGACCAATCGTTAACCAGGTTCTATACATATACTAGGGACCAGGATGCTTGGAAGTGAAAAACATACTAATGGAAGATATTTTTTGGCTTGTTTTGGCGGTAAAAACCGTTTTTTCTCCAGGATACACCCTCCAATTTGGGCTCAAACGGCGCAAACGAAAACGGTCCTTTGCGATTGTGCCTCCACACCAACCGACACCAATTTCTCGTTCGCTCCCACAACGTAAGCTCTTTTTGGTCCCACTATTTAACCCCACACAAATATCATCAATCATTTTCTCTATTGGTCTCTCAGTGTCAAGGAGTCATTGCTCATTTTTACAGCTCAACGACTCGCCATCAATTGCGCGCCAAGGAGCTGTCCATCGTTGGGCTGCCGATTTACGCCGCGAAACGGACACTTGTTGAGAATGTGGTCGAAGGGGTTGCCACGATTTCAAGAGGCGATGGAATGGATTTGCTTGTGATGTGAGTTGGAGCGCTGCAACCAGACCTATATAATACAATTTCAGTGCCATGAGATCCCTGATCGAAGATGGCCTTCTAGAAGGAGTCTCCGCGTGGACAATGATTCAAACTGTCACTTCCAAAGGACCAGCCACCAAAGACGTTCATTCGATTGTGAAGCAATTGGAAGAATGCTCAAAAACTGATAACGTCAAAGTGGAAATTTTCTTCGAAGAGCTTATCAGGTAAGGTGCTTTAGAGTTCCGACTGAAACCGAAAGTCAACAAATTTCAGAGAAAACTCGCTGGACTGCTGGTTGTGCTATATTGTGCTCAAGGAGAAGGTGCTGAAAACTCTCTACTCTGACAATTCGTTCTTGTTGTCTGCTAGCGCGGAGTACAGAACGTTGTTGTGGAGAATGGTGGATAGTTTGTCGCTGTTGCCAGGTAAATCATTTTTGACTCTAAATATCTCAAAAATAGCACAAAGTTTGAATTGAAAAATGTTTGGAATCAAGTGGTGAGCATTTTGTTTTTGACAACTTTTTGGTATCTCTGACAAAAACCGAGATAATTTTACCTCAATAAAGGGGCCCTCTGTCTTTGAGCCAATTTATCACGGTTTCTGGGAGAATATCAAAAAGTTAGCAACTAACAAAAAATGTAACATAATACAACAAATATTTTGATAGTTGACAAAAGTTTCATAGCTCTTATAGGAACTGAGATAATTGAGCTCGAAACGCAAGCATGGGGTGGTTGAGCTTACATCGCTATATGAGAAAACAACGCTGATTTTTTTTTTCAGTGATCGAAGCGCGTACCGACTCAATGACCAACACCCAACCCTACACGAAATCCATGCAACAATGGGGCGGAGCTTCGCGGATAGCATCCGATTCGAGAGTCCCGAAAAGTTCATCGGTACCCGCTAGACTTGCCACAGCTTCATCTAGACGGTCAAGGATACCATTGTCAACGAGGTAAGAAAATCTAGAGGGATTCGGGGATTATTTCCTAATTTCTAAGTCATGACGTAGCTCTTTGAAAAGTAAAAAACCCGGTAGGGTCAGATCCAAAATGTAAGCGTTAATTTTAACATGCATCTTGCAAATTTGCAGCAGAACCAGCAGCATCACATCAGCACCAACCACGCCACGTACTCCAGGATCCGGCCGGATCCGTGTTGCATCTGTTATGGGTGCCTATCAACTTGCCAATTTCTCCCTGTCAGATGGAGAAAAAGTGCGAGTACTGTCGACACGTGGCGGACTTGCCAGATGCGTTCGATTGATCACTTCGAGCAGTCAAATCAATAATGGAGTGATCCCAATTGAGCATCTTCTATTCCAATGAGCTTCTTCTTTGTATTTTTTAACCATTTCTTTTGCTTTTTTCTCTCTGAAATTCTAGTCATCCCTCTTCTTCCCCCGTTCAATTCCTCCCCCTTTACACCGAGACTTTTCCCCCCGTTTTATGATACTCAGATTTCCAGTTTCATATGTTTAATTAGTTAGCTCCGCCCACCCCCGGTTTACTCCTAAGCTCCGCCCACTTCTATCCAGAACGTATAGAAGCGAAAAAACAGCTTTTCCAGTTTCGCAGCTTGCCAAACCCCAAAAAGACGCTTTGTATTTAAAGTTTTGTCTGGACTAAAAAAAAGAATAAAGATGCATTTGATTTATATCGAAATGGAAAAATACATTTCGCAGACTTATAGAAACTACTAGTTCACAAATTGAACAAAACTTGAGAAATTTACGGTAGTTTGTATTTCGTGGTGGGTCCCACTACGGACGGCCGAAAAATTAAAAGTTTACCAATTCAGACCATGTTTGGACTCATTTTGAAGCCCTCAACATATTCAAAAATTTAATTTCCAAGTTAAAAAATATACAGTACTTGATTTTGGAATTTTAGAAATTGGAATTTTTAACTCTCGATATTTTGGAATCTCGGAGCTTCGGAATCTCAAAATCTTGGAATTGAAACTTCAAAATATACAAATCATCTTTATTCAAAAATATCGTCGAATTAAAACAAAAATTATTCAAGTCTCTCGACTATCCGTGGCTCCTTCTTCTTTTCCCGAATCTCATGACTGGAGAAGACGAATGGAGAGTTGGCAAGAAGTGGAACAAATTTTCCCGATCCTGGAACGGTTTGGAGCTGCCCGTTAGCCCAAACAATGCGGCCTCTGAAAAATTTGAACTTTGAATTTTGAAAAACGTTTAAAGTTTTACCTGGAAATGGTGATTTCAGCAACACCGTGGCATTTGATTCCTTCGAAAATGTTAAAGTCTAGATTCTGTAAAAAAGAATTGTTTAAAATCTCCAACCCAAAAAACAAATTTCAGTCAAATTGATGACCTAACTTATCAAAGTTGTGTTTTCTAGGCCTTCTACAGCACTGGACGAAAATGCCAATTTCAAACTTTTTCGGGGAAAATCGTTATTTAACTTTGAAATCCTAAAAAAGTAATTCAGAATTTTTCGATTTTTCTGAAAATTCAAAGCATGCTACACAAAGCTAGAGCTTCATTTTTGTAGTTGACCACTTTTTTCTAAAACTTCAGACTGGAGGGATATGCAGTAGCCAAAAAGTTCCACATGCTAGCACTGAAATGAGAGATGTTCCACTTTAACCTCGTATATCTCGCTTTGTTGAATTTGTACAAAACAGTTATCAACTACTGAATTGAAGCTTTGTTTTTTTTATTAGTATGGTCTGAAGTTTTCAGAGAAATCGAAAAATTCCGGACTACTAGGGATTCAAAATTCCACGGAAAACCTACATGATGATGTGTCTCCGCTGAAATGGTCCGTGTCGCATTTGGATTAAAAATCACAATATCGGCATCGGATCCAACTGCGATTCGCCCCTTCTTGGGATAAATATTGAAGATTTTTGCAGCAGTCGCACTTGTAATTGAAACGTATCTCATTGGATCAATAATTCCAGAATGCACTCCTTTCTCCCAGACAACTGACATACGATCCTCAACTCCGTTGATTCCGTTCGGGATTTTCGTAAAGTTTCCTCTGAAAAAAGTCAGCTTTTTTGTGTATCCGGATGTCTTCACTCACTTTCCGAGAGATTTCTGGCACCCATCATAAGTACAGTTATCGGTTCCTGTCAAATGCAGCTCGCCGCTGAAAATGGGAAAACGTTTAGGGGGGAAATCCACTTTTGAACTAATTTTCAAGATTTTTAACAGCGATTTTTAAATTTCCCGACCTTGAAAACTCCCAATTACACTTCAAAAATGTCAGCTGAAAAACCCACTAGGTCATTTGAGCACTTTAGTATGGCTCAACTTACGCAGCCAACAACTTCATCAAAAGTTCCGGAGTGGTTGGATCACGACTCAATGGCGGAGACATGACATATCGGGCAGCATGAAGCCAGTCTTCATTATAATAATGGGAACCATCAAGTGCCAAACCAGCAGCAATTGGTTCTCCAAAAACGATGGATCCTTGAGCACGATGGTGGGAGATAGCCGCGGCTGCTCCCTTGGTCATAACGTGAACGATGTAGACTGGACAGTTAGCTTGAGCTGCGAGCACACATGCACGGTTTGTAGCTTCGGCTTCAATCTAAATTTGAGACCGACTAGTTTAACTTTTGCTAGGTGAGAGGAGCAGACAACGATACACACCAACTATCTGCGTCTCTTCAAAAATCAGTCGATAACTTTGAGCCGATTTGTCTCGGTCCCTGTAAGAACTGTCAAAAAGTGGTCCACTGACAAATTTTTTTTGAAATTCTGATAAACACTTTGTCAGTCGACTACTTCTTGATAACTCGCACAGAAAACGAGAAAAATTAACTCAAAGTAGAAAGTTCGTGAATTTCCACTTATTTCTATTTGAAAATCTTCAAATTTGGAGTTCTAAAAAGTATTTAGAAATTGTTCAATTAGTTTCAAAATTTTTGAGTGTATTATTCAAAACTAGAGCTTCAACTTTGCAATAGACATTCTTTCTTAATTTTCAACCTGAAGAGTTATGGCTTATGGAAATGACCCTTCATTTTTAAGATCGAAAAGTAGAAGGGCTTCTTCCACATGGCACAGACTGAAATTTTACATGAAAGTTGTCAATTACAATAGAAAAGCTCCAGTTGTTTTTAGTATACTCAGAAATTTTCAGATTTATTTAACCAGATTAACTATAGTTTAAAGTCATGCGTACCTCTTCCGGTCGACTCTGTGTATGGCCTTCTGGTCCGGTGACTCCTTTGGCCAATAAGTCGATTTCCCTCTCTTTGATCACAGATCCGTTTTCAGCATGAACTCTAGCCAGTGCTCTTAATTTAGCACATTCTTGCATTGCTCGGTACATTTCGTCATCTCGAACCATTAGAGTTCCTTCGTATGCCATGTAGAACTTGAAAGAGTTGACACCTGGAATTTTGAATTTCTGGAAGGTTCTCGGAGTTTAAAGATCCCAAAACCAACCAAATTCTGGGCTTGTTATCACTGCCATCTGATCAGCAGTTTCTGGTCTCCATTGAGTGATGGCCACTGATAAACCGTAATCACAGCACACTTTTGGATCTGCCCAACTTCTCCATCTCGCATATCCAGCCATGAGTGACTCGCCATTTCGATGGTCCGGACAGCAGAAATCAATGATCTGAAAGATTCTGTTTTCTTACTAACAAAAACATTTTTCAGTGAAAAATAATCAACTTTGAAGCCCTATGAAAGTAGTTCAGAACCTTCCAATTTGTCTCAAAATTTCAGAACATACTAAATATAATAAATAATTCTTATGTTCTTTAGTTGAAAATTTTTGTGCAAATGTGCCCTGATGTTCAAAGTTATCCGTTTTTTACTGGCAACACCAAAAAAATGCTTTACTGCACTGTAGGTGACCTAAACAATACTATTTTGAAAAGTTAGGTCATCAATTTACTGGCAAAGTCATTCTCTCACTCTTGATAAACCGGTACATAATTTTTTCTCTGTTTCTTTCCCTATTTTTTTAAATATCAAGGTCAATTATTTTTGGCGAACTTGTCTTCAATTGATTTTAGAAACTTTCTTTTTCACCATTCCAAAAGATCATGTGTGCTTAAATCTTTTACGAATGGTCAAAAGCATTATTATATGTTCTTATCAGTGAACTGATAAGAAGAGAGACTTTGAGTGTACATACACCCAAAAACTTTTTTTTTGTCAGTTTTATGTAGTTCCTGGTACATTATACTATAATAAAGCTGTCAAATTTTGGAGACACGTGGTTTCGGAAATTTGAAAATCGGACCTATATAAAGGAAAAATAACAAACTTTCAAGAAGGACTAGAGTTTTATGGTCTAACTTTTTTTTCTTCCATCGCTGTGACCTAGAAATAGATATGAAATCCTGCAGTGACCAAATTCGAATTTTCAGAATTTCTGTAAACTCCAGAACCTCATGGCCTAACTTTTGCACTCACCATAGTCGTTCCGCCGGCCACGGCCGCTTGTGTTCCTCTCAAAAAATCGTCTTTTGTGACCTCTCCGGCATATGGCATTTGCATATGAGTATGTGGATCGATTCCACCAGGAATCACTAGCCGATCCGTCGCATCGATGATTTCCATTTCCGGAAGGGCAATGATTTTTGGGGATACCTCGCTAGAAATCGAAAATGTGTCAGCACAGTTAACTTATCTCGGTCCCTGTAAGAGATAACAAAAATTTTTAACTAACAAAATGTTTTTCAATTCATGCTAAATATTTTGTTAGTTAACAATTTTTTGATATCATTCACAGAGAGCGAGAAAGTTGAAACATATTTTAAGGTTTTTAGTGAAAAATGGTCAACTTTGAGGTTCTAAAAAAGCAGCCAATATTTTCTCAATTTATTTCAGTCGAGTTATGGCTACCTTGACGCGTTAGTGCGCGTCACGAGGTACCATGTCGCATAACTCTCCAGACTAAAAATTTAGAAAGAAGTTTTCAATTACAAAATTAAAGCTCCAGATTTGTTTAGTAAATACTGAAATTTTCAGACGAATCGAAAAATTCCGAAATACTTTTGTAGAGTTCCAGAATTGAAGATTTTCAACTAAAAGTAGGTCAAGTCAACTTTGAGCCAATGTTTTTCGTTTTCTATGAAAGATATCCAAAAATTGTCAATTGACAAAATGTTCCTCATAAAATGAAAAATATTTTGTTAGGGAAACTTTTTTGATACCTCTGACAGGAGCCGAGATAAATGGTGCTTACACAATAATTCCATTTTTGACGAGCACATCGGCTTTGAACATGCCATCTTCATTCACTACGGTACCGTTCTTGATTACCAGAGGTGGAGACATTTTTCTGAAATTTTGGATTTGAAGAATTCAGAATCCTAACTTCAGGGAATCAAAAAAAATCAAGACATAGAACTGAGAAGAAGGAAAAATCAAAGATAAAATGAAATGAAACGAGATTATTTTATGATAAGAAGAATAGAGAAATCAGAGACAAAATTGGAATACATGCCTTTTATGTGTCTGTATGGGTATATGATGGATGACAGGCGTGTGATATTTGACAAAATGAGTGATAAGGAGACGAGGACTGACGTACGCAGAAGTGGTAGAGAAGAGAGATTGAAGGGGGTGGAGATGAAGACGTCAGGAAGTCACGATGGGGCAAATCGGAAGTTGTGATGAAAACGAAGTGGTATGACTTTTCTGAAGAAAACTTGAAATCTTGTTCTAGAAGGTTCTGGAAGGTGTCTGTAACGTTTCAAATTCAATCTAAATTTTTGAATTCTCAAACTGTCAGAAGTTACCAGAATATTGAATTTTTCAAAACCTTCTAGAGTGCTCTAATCAAAGATGGTGCTGTGGCAAGTCTAGCGGGTACCGATGAACAATGAACTTCGTATGCAATCCGAGAAGCTCTGTCTTTTTTTTAAGATTGGGGGTTAGTCATCGAAACTCTTCAATCACCGAAATTATAGCTTATAGTTAGAGTTGAAATTGTTTTACTCTTGACTGCGCTAAGAATAAAAGCGGTCCTTTGAGCTCAATTATCTCGGTTCCTATAAGAGATATCAAAAATTGGTCAACTAATAAAATGTTTATCATAATATCACCAATATTTTATTAGTTTACAGATTTTTTATGTTTCTTTACAGAAATCGAGATAATTGAGCTCAAATTAGACAGTGTTTGAGCCCTACAGGTTTATAGTCCAGTTATATCAATTTCGAGACAATATCAGTGCGGATTTACAACGTTCCTTAGAATTTAATTATAGACTACTGTAGCTTTCAATTGTAATCAGGATAAGTACTGCGTCATTAATGTACTTTCCTTCGATCTTAATTTTCACGGTTCCTGTAAGAGATATCAAACTCTAGTCAACTAAGAAAATGTTCATCATATCGCCAATATTTTATCTGTTGACAAATGTTTGATGTCTCTTATAAGAAGCGAGATAATTAAGCTCAAAGTAAAAGGTATCGGATGATGTTCCATTAGAGCATTTATACTGGGTTCAAGTAAAATAGTTGTCGTAAATTTTAAAATGTTTTCGACTCCAGAGGATTTTCGAAAAAAGTCTAAAAACGATATTCAAGATTGAGAATGTCAAAATGGGGGTTTTCTAAACTTTTCGGATTTTCTAGAATTTCCGAATCTGAAAACTACAAAACCTCAGAATTTCGAATATGTTGGGATTTTCCGATTCTGAAAAATTCGATACAATTTTATTTTATATTCAAAGAGTCCTTCAAGTTCCTCTGGAAACCCTTATTATGGAATATCGTCCTTTACTCTAAAAGAAGTTCTCCCGAACTATCCCCTTTGAGCTCAATTATCTTGATTCCTGTGAAAGGTGTCAAAATTTGGTTAACGGATGAAATATTGGTGATATAATTTATCAGTGGACAAATTTTTAATATCTTGCATAAGAATTGAGATAATTGAGCTCAAAGTTGATGGTTTGGATGGGCACTAGAAAAAATACGGAAATCAGAAAATTCTTTTTTCTATGCTCCAATTCAAATATTAAACTTGGAAACTGCTCTCAAATTTTTGTTCAGTTCTTCTTGTGTTTGACCTAAATCTTTTCCTGAAACTCTCAATTTTCAACGTCAACTAGAACCACCCAAAAAGAACTAGGGCTTCACTGAGATCCACGTAGGTCTCGATTTGTTATCCAGTGATTAGTTTACAAATTCCTTTCATACAAATTCTCGAAAAAGTGAGAAGCTGGATTTCAGAATGAAAGTAAGTTGGCGGCATCTGGACACCCGGATACACGGACTTTTGCAGTTGGACTCATCTTCCCAATTGTTTCTTCACGTCTTCAACTGCATTTTTCTATCCGTGCTGGTGCTCATTTCCTGCGTAAAAAAGAAGCGGAACTTCAAGAGCAAAAACTCGATGTCATCAGATTCACGAAGTAATATTCCTAGGAACCTTCCGAAAAGAGAATATGTCACTGTTACCGTCCCACCTGAAGCCACTCCATCGCCCCCTGGACCGGCTCCAGATAAGCCGAAAGAAGAGGAGAAGAAGGAAAATGAGGAAGAAAAGAAGGAGGAAAAGAAGGAAGAGAAAAAAGAGGAATCGAAGGAAAAAGAGAAAGAAAAAGATAAGTCGAACAAAAAATCGGTGAAGAAGTCGAAGAAGTCGATGAAATCGAAGAAGGGCGGAGTCAATAAGGATGATAAGGTCTTGTTAACTAGAGGGATATTTTAAAAAAATTAAAGTTTATTCCAGAAAGAAGAAGAAAATGATGGATACGAGAATTGTGCGGATATTTCGGCCAGTGAGCTCAAGAAAATTGCAGAAACTGTCTAGAACTTTTTTATTTGGGGATTTGAAATAAAAATGTAGAATGTTTATTCAATTGAATTTTTATGAGTCATTTTATTTTTGTTCTTTTTAGATTTTTACAATTTTTCCTTGAATAAAACATTTATCACATTTTATTGTTTTCCGACCTCTCTAGATGAATGATCTGGGGTTACTTTCTGAATATTAAGATGACGAATTCTAGTTTTTAGAATTTTTTGCTTTCGATACTGTCTATTCAATAAAACGTGGGCGCGCCGCAGGTTGCAAAGTGACACGCCCCTTTTTGCGACGCGTTCACTTTTCTCTCTTCTCACGCGTTTCATAAAGGGGCGTGTCACTTTGCAACCTGCGGCGCGCCCACGTTTTATTGAATAGACAGTAGCTGTCTCCTACATACTGAAAACCAGGTAAACCTTTTTTTAATCTCAAAAAAAATGAATACCAGGTTCAAATTTTCTACTTTTCCGGGCGCCGCCTGAGACCCCGCAAATTCCGGAGAAAAAAATTTCCGGGGAAAAAAATCCGGAGGAAAGTGGGCGGAGTCAGGGGCGGAGCCTAAATTGCAACCCTGGCACGGTTTTGCCGCATGGTTTTTCTCACGACCGCATCCAAATGTGCTAAATAACCGTGCCAGGGTTGCAATTTAGGCTTGAAACCCAGTATTTTCAGCGAAAAATCCGAATTTTTATCATAAAAATTATTGCCTTCTAAAAAAAGAAAACCGAAAACTCATAGGATTTAGCTTTTCCGGTATTTTAGACCTCCGATAGTTTTTGATAGTTTTTTATTCAACTCTCCCAGATTTCTATTCGATCTACCCCGCGAAAAAACCTTTTTCCAGCAAAGACAATGTTTTTAACTTTGCAACTGATGTTATTCGACCTTCTCATCAGTCAGTCGTCTCTGGAAAATGCGTTCGTCGTTCATCTTCGCTCTTCTCCTCATCGGAGGTTAGTTTTTACCCTAATTCATTGAAAATTCATGGAACTTTGACTTTTTCAGCCGCTCTCGCTCACCCAGCCACCGACCCAATCCGTTCGAAACGCGCTGTCGAGGTCGTCGAGGACGATTTCAGTGGTGAGGCATCTGGAGAGGCATCCGGCGAAGCGTCCGGCGAGTTCTCCGGAGAAGGATCTGGCGAAGGATCCGGCGAGCTATCCCCAGAAGTCGAAGTCACCCCACTCACCATTTCACAGCTCGAGACACTCAACAACTACGCTCAACAAGTTCAAGCCGAAGCTCAGAAGCTTATCCATCAAGCCAATTTCGTTATCACTGAGGTTACTTCCTATACGGCGCTCCAGCTAATGAACAATTCATTTTTCAGATGACCGCTCTCGCCGCCAACGCTCAAAACCTCGGAATCATGTCCAGCATCGTCTCAACCAACTCTCAAATCGTGCTCGACAGCGCTCGTTTGAGCCTCAACGAGACTGAAACCGAGACTGGCAACACCACCACCGTCGCTCCACCAACCACATGCTCGACGTCTGCCGTTTGCTACTCGGATGAAGGATGTGGAAGTGGAAAGTGTATCGGAGCATTGGCCGGAACTTGCAACTGCAACTCATGTGTCTATGGATGGCCATGCCAAGAAGACAGCGCTTGCGGAGGCTTCATCGGCGCGTGCAACACCATAACTGCCACGTGTGACTGCTTCAACGCCTACGCCAAGCACAACATGACGCTCACCGACGCATTCACCAACTTCTGCAACGTGGCAAAGTGCAACGGTGGCGAAGACAACGTCGAGAACTGCCACGGTTTGCCATGCAACTACGGATTCTGTGTCTGCTAGATCCTTTCTTTTTTATGTATTCTTTTTTTCTATTTGCCCGAAAAGATTGCATGCGAAATAAATAAAAAATTTGCCAAGTCCAACTTCCTCGAGATCCAGTTTCTTCGTTTCCCAACGCTAGCATCTATTATCCAATTGCGACAACGAGTCGCGAGTCGTCAATTGATAAGAACGACGCTTGGGAATCTTGTTTTCTCTCGGTTTCTCAAGATCGCCCCTCCCTTCTGTAATCACAGACGACGTCAGTTTCTTTTCTTTATCAATTCTCATATGCTTCTCCCTCTCCTTGTCTCCGTGGCGTTTGCCACGTCATCGTTAGCCGAGCCGATGCTCTACATGTTCCCCACGAATCCGCAGCTCCATCCGCCGGCAATGTATCCGAATCAGCAGTTTATGAGGGGTAAAGTGAGAGATTTGCCAGATTCTGGAGTGATTTACTTGAATCGAATCAAGCCGATTGGGCAGGAATTCCATGGGTCTGTGGCTGAAGTCGAGTTGTCGGTTAAGAATATTCCACGTGGCGGCAGTGTAGTGAGTTTTTCAGAAGCTATCTTGACCGGGAATTTTTCTAGAAATCCCCATCTTCGTTCGAAAAGTACAACTCGGAAGAGGAGCGATCACCAACTCAGCGTCCAAAAACGACTACAACGACCACACAAGATCCAAGAACTCGTGCTCCACCGCAATTTTTTGCTGAAACGGTTTGCAATAGAGCGAACTTTCCAACAAAAAAACCAGAAAACTTTTAGAAAATCGACGATCAAAAACTCGCTTTTCAAAAGAACAAACAGTTGTCTGTACCCGAGGAGGCCGAGTTGGACCGACTTTTGGACGATTTGTTGAAAAATGATAATGTACCAAAGGTGAACCGCACTCCAAAGCAAAAATACCGTAATACTACAGTAGAATTCGGGGAAAAATTATTTTTCAAAAAAGTTAAGTTTCCAGGCGTCACTCCAGCTAGCAAAGATCAAAAGAAGCGGTTCGAAGCGTCACGTCGGCGCGATCCCACCAAAGCTGATCTCGTTTGATGGAACTGCCCGTGTAGACAAACCACGTGCAAGGGCTTATGGAACCCCGATAAGACTTCAACAGAAAAAGCTGTATTCTGTTGAAGCAACGACCACACGAAACCAGGGACCTGATTTTGATCCGTGGGAGCGTATGGGACAGTGAGAATCCGTAAAAATAGAGAATCAAGTGTAATAATTTGTATTTAATAATTTCATATAATAACTATCGATCTAATATTGATTTGTTGATCTGATATATTTATAATAAATTATGCATCACTAAAAAATCGGCGGATTTCCGTCTCATCCATCACCATTGTCTCCGGAAATTCTAGTTTCATATCGATCAAATTCATTAAATTCGAATTGGTGGAATTTTGTATAAGAGGCCATTCGGGAGGGGGTTTCATGTAGGTTCCATCGGGATTCAGCATATGAGATCGGTCTGATGATAGCAAGGAGAGATAGATTCTGGCTGGGATGATACGGAATTTTCTGGAAAGAAATTATAGAAAATTTATAGAAAATTCAGAATTTAAAAACCTTCTATATTTTTCTCTAAATTGTTTCATCTCGTCTTCGTTCATTGTTTGATTCCAATACGTTTGAAAATCCACACCCCAATCGATCCAAGAATCAAAGTCATAGACTTTCGCGGATCCGTCTGAATTCTTTGAAATTGTGATGACGTGGTAGTCCCAGAGAACGAAACTTCTGGAAAGTGAGAAACTCCACATATTAAATAGGAATTTTCAAGAAACCGGAAAATCAGAAAATCCGAAGTTCAGGAATTCAGAATTTCAAAAAGTCTGAAATTCAGAAAACCCCAAGTTCAAAACTTCAAAAATTAAGGAATTTTTAGATTTTAATATCAGAAATTCAAGAGTTTTGAAAATCCGCCAGATTGAGAAAAATACGAAATTTAGAAACATTTCAATTACATATCCTCTAGAATTCCAAAATTCAGAAATTTCAAATTTTTGGGAACTTTAGCATTCTTAAAAACTCGTGAAATTGGAAACCCGAGAACAGAATTCAAAATATTGAAAATTCCAGAATTCAATAATCCGAAAATTTTAGATTTTTTGAAATTTCAGAACTCAAAAGCTCAAGAATCGCAAGTTCAAGAAGTTCTGAGACCGAATTTGATCTATTTCAAATTCTTACTCCGGATCCCTCTCCGCTTTCTGCTTCCACAACGGTATCATCTTGATGTCGTTCGAAATTAAAACCGCGAAAAAATCGTCCAAATTCGGTTTTAATTTCTCTAAAAGTTTGTACACATTCTCCTCGCAATAACACGATTGATACGGTGCCTCCTCCGCGGATAACATATTATGCCTGCTGGGAAACTTCTGCATATTTTTTTTTGAGAAAATTTTAAAAGGAAAAGAGCATTGAAAAGGGGATGTATCCGCAGCCTAAAAAAAAGAGAAATATCCTGGAAAAGGGGGAAATCGGGAGTATATTATTCAAAGTGAAAACCGGAAGAGAGACGGAAACTGGGAAACAACATATTCAAAACTAATCTATTACGCAAATTTAGCAATAAGAAGAAAAAAAAAACAAAAAAGGATTAAACATCCAATTGAACTTTTGCAGCCGACTGATCCAGATACTTGGAAATTGTGGGTTTCAGCTCTTTGGCAATGAAATTTTCCGTTTGTGAAACGCATCGTCCGGTGAAGTTGATTGGATTGTTGACGAGGCCGACGATACGATCGCGGACCTAGAAAATGCTCTTTTCCACTATTCTAGATTTTCATTTTCAGGTCATGACCTAGATTTGTATTTTGAGGTTATGACCTAGTTTTCGTTTTTAGATCATGACCTAGATTTGGCTTTTTAGGTCATGAACTAGATGTGGATTTTTAGGTCATAAACTAGATTTTCATTTATTGAAGGTTTTTTTTCAAAACTCACCGAATCAAAGAAAGGATCAGCCATCGTCTGTCGAATATCGACTTTCTGCGTCGCCTGTAGCTGTTTCGCTTCCAACGCCGTCTTTCTGATCACAGCGTGCGCTTGCTGACGATCCACACCTTCTTCGGTCAACATCATCATCGCCTTCTCCAATCCCAAGAATGCAATCTCGTCCTCAACGATTTTCTTGACATTGTCGGTTTGGACGGTGAGCCCTTCGAAGATGTTCTGAAACACGCAGTGTTACAAAAATCAAGGCCCACGGTAGGCTACTGTGGCCTACAAGAACTACCTGAAGAGTGGTAAGAAGGGCCTCTGCCGTCAAAAGCACATCCGGAATCAACATTCTTCTTCCTGCAGAATCATCCAAAGTTCTCTCCAGCCCTTGATCCGCCAGAATAGTCAACGCCTCTTGTGGAGCGTTGATGAGTTTTCTGGCCAGCGCACAGCATCGTTCACTTTTCATCGGATTTTTCTTATATGGCATCGCGGATGATCCAATTTGATCTTTCTCAAAAGGTTCTAGAAGCTCTCCGAACGCTTGAAGTACACGAATATCAGTGCAGACTTTTTTGGCAGCAGCTCCTAGGAGTGAAAGAGAGAATACTAGCTGAGAGTCTTGTTGTCTTGAATACGTCTGTCCAGTGATCAAGAATCGATTGGCAAAGTTAGCCTTCTTGGTGACCAGCTCATCCAACGCCTCCACCTTCTCCTCATCTCCAGAGAACAGTGTCAAGAAGGAATCTTGGGTTCCAGTGGCCCCTTTGATTCCTCTGAAACGCATCTTATCACGGAACTCAGCAAGGGATTGGAAAGCCATCAGAAGCTCTTGAGCCCAAAGGACACCTCGTTTTCCAACAGTAACGAGAGAAGCAGTTTGGTAGTGAGTGCGTCCAACAGTGACGACTTCCTTATTGTTCAGAGAAAACTGGGCGAGACGATCGATGACAGTGGCGAAACGTTTGAGGATGTGGTCAATGGAATCACGGTAAGCAATGAGATCTGCATTGTCTTGAACGTAGCAAGACGTGGCCCCGAGATGAATGATTCCGGCGGCTGTTGGACAGATCTTTCCAAAGGCGTGGTTGTGAGCCATCACATCGTGCTTCAGTTTTCTCTCCTCCGCACGAATGAATGACCAATCGAAATTGTCTCTTTGCGACTTCATTTCATCGATGGCTTCCTGCGTGACTTGTTTCAAGCCGAGCTCCTTCTCCGCTTCGCCCAACCAAATCCAGAGTTGACGCCAGAGAGTCGCCTTGTTGGTTTCGGAAAGAATCGAGACGAGAGGACTGTTTTTACAGTAGCGAGTCGAGAGAACCGACTCGAACTTGTCTTCAGCAGCCATTTTTATCTGGAATTGGAAAAATTCGTTGAGGAAAAAATCACTAAAATAGAAAGTAGTAAAAAATCGGAGCTATGGTCGTGTCTGAAGGTCCCAAAACGACAACTACCGTAACCTAGAAATGTTGATATCCTCGATTCGAAATAGTGGGAAGAAAATGACGAAAATCAGTAAAAATAAGCATACCGTATTTCCTCTAATAGACGCCCACCTCTATTTGAAGCCCACCTCTAATAGAAGCCCACCACATGAGGTGCTTCGAAAAATAGAAGCCCACCCTCTAATAAAAGCCCATGGGCGTCTATTCGAGAAAATACGGTAAAGAAAAATTCCAGAAGTTTTGGAACTGTGATTTAAGAACTCGAAAATTTCTCAATTTTTGATATACAGAATTCCTGAATTTTGAATTCAGAGATTTTGGAATCTCAGAATTTCATAAATTGGTAATTTTGTGGTTAAGAATTGCAGAATGAAAACTTCAAATTACAAAAAACACCGAAATTCAGAATTCTTAACTTCCGAATCGTCTAATTCAAGATTTTTTTTGAAAATTAATCATTGAAAAATAGAAGCCCACCCTGAGAGAGAGGTTGAACAATAGAAGCCCATGGGCTTCTATTAGAGGAAATACGGTATTTTTAATGTTACGGTCTTGACAACAAGGGAAGAAATAACGAAAATAGAAGGTTTCTGTAGACATACAAATATCAAGAATTATGATAACTATGAAAAAAACATTCAATTTTTTAATGAAAAAAAATTTCACCTGAAAATGACATATTTCAGATCAACTACAGAAAAATCTTGACTTTTTTTCGACGACAGCATTCAATTTTTCAATTCAAACAGCAGTTTTTCTAACGAAAACATAGATAAGACGTACTGGGTGATAACCAGCCAGTCATTATAGAAAACAATAAAAATAAAATTTTCATAAGCGTAAGATTAAAGTGAGTGAAAATGAATTCTTAAACTCAGTCGTTTTTAATTGCTTACTTGCATATTTAGTAAAAAAAAAGAAAGACCCGTTCGACAGATTTTGAGGAGTATCAGAGGAGGTAGAATTAATAGAATAACCGGGTAAATATAAAAAGTAATGAATAAAAGAAGTATTTGACAGATAACCAGATAAAGAGATAAATAATAGTTAATTATTGCGGCCTGGATGCTGAAGAACGTAGTTGTGGAGTTCACACCAGCCGATGGGGAAGATGTCATGGGAGCTGAAAAATTTAAATGTATACAATTACGACATATTGGAAATGTTCATTTTTAAAGCTTTTTAACATTGAAAAAGCATGTTTCGGGTGCTTTTTTCGGTGAAAATTGACAATAGCGCATAAACTGACTTAATATCGTAGAGCTCGTCAAACGTTTCCTCCCATCCATCGAAATTGACATTTATGATTCGTCCGTGAATTGAAGAGATTCTGCCGGGACTGATCAGTTGGTTCTCGCACATATCTGCTGCTTCGAGACGCATTCCGACCTGAAAATTAGAGAATTTTACATCACATTTATTGACTGTATCACCTGAAACTTGTCAAGTCTCTCCTGAGGTGGCGTCGGCCTAAAAAGTTCAATTTGAAGTGGTTGGGCATTCTCAGCGGCCAGATATTCATCCCATTTGAACGATTTCTTGTACCCATCTGGCTTCTTCAGTTTCAGATTATTCTGCTCACAATATCCAACAGGGAACATGAAGACGTTGTCGATGTGAAGTGGAAAACTCTCATCGTTCATATCGGGTCCATCGATTCCGACAATTATATATCCATTGCTGTTGCACAACGAGATAACCGATGCCACGTTGAGTTTTCGGAATTCCTGAGCCAATGGATCTATGAGCTCGAATTTCAGTCCGACTTTCATATTTTCCCATTTCTCTTTATCAACATCTTCTCTTGATAAATCGGTGAATCGAATGTCGTCTATATGATATTCTGGCTCCTGTCCATTCATCAAAGCCAGAGTAATTTTGGCAGTGTGCTGTATATACTCTTCAGTGGCAACCAATTTGTAGTTATTGTAAGCAGCAAAACCAACTGGGAACACAAAGAAGCTCTCCTCGTCGATCCAAAACTGAGTTCCGGAGCCTTGAACTTGACGGTCCTCTTCTGAATTCGGAAGACTTCCTGGATAGTCTTTCTTGGTGACCAGAACGTTCATCCGACGACCACAGACTTCCTGAACACGTGCGACACGTATTTCTGTAGAAGTTGCGTAGTTGAGAAGCTCCAGGCGCTGTCCAACGCGGAAACGAGACTTGACGAGCTCTTCTTTATTCTCATCGTAACCGGGAGACAGACCCAATTCTCCAATCATTTCATCATCGATTGTTTTCTTCATAAAACTATCCAAATCATCGTGGTACAGGCTCATAACATTTGGTGGTGGAGCATAGATATTGGTCTTCAGATCAATTGGATTCATCGAACTGAAATATTCATCTTGATTTGAAAAATTGGTGTCAAGTCAAGTTACTCACTCTCCGAGTGGGCAAATCTCATCAGAAAGCAAATGAATCCAGAACCTGGTCGAACTCCCGACGAATTCTGACAGAACATAAAAACCACAGACTTTCAGAACACGTGCGAACCATTTACACTTGACACCGTCGCAGACGTGGTCGTAATCGTGGACAATTGTTTCAAACTGCAAAAAATTCTGATTTTTCATAGCTATAAGCAGAGTCTAGTCTCACCAGAATGCCCTCTCTGGCTACATCATCAAAGCTGACGCGGAGCGCATTATTGAAGGCGTTGACTGCTACAAACGCGCCTTTTCCAGCTTCAAACTCGTGAAGGATGCTTTGCCATGAATAGGATTTTGCAGGTTTCTTTCGGCCGCCAGTGCAAACGATTTTCTGATAAATGGACATCTGAAGACACGATTTTGAGTCATGAGATTTGAAAAACGATAAACGACGAACAGAGAGTTGAGAAAACATATTTAAGAGATTTTGAGTCATGAGCTCAAAAAAAGTGAAAAAAAAGACCAAAAAGATTTATTAGAATTCAGAAAATCAGTTATTTTGTTTGTCGGGCAAGTTAAGCGAATACTCGATATACTCCAATCCGTGCGCCATAGTGGTATCAGGCAATTTGACACGGTACTTCACAAATCTTCCATTTTCGGTACAATTATGATAAAACCATCCATAAGGCTCGAATTCTATTCCACTATCTCCATCCTGACTTCCTTTTTGATAAAGGAAAATATGTTTTCGAGCATCAACAACCACCCGATCGGCGATTTGATCATCATCTAGTGGCCAGTCATCATCTTCCCAGTGGGAAATTGTCATTGAGAAAACGTCGTCGAGATCGCATTTGACGTCGACACCAAATAAGAATCGAGTCGCGAAGCATTCCGAGATGAGAAGAAGAAAACAGCACAAATTGACTAGCTTGAGCATTTTGAATTGCGAGAACTGATTTACGCATTACAGCGTTCCGACGTATTTTTATGCCATTAAAGAAATTTCAGGACCTAAATTTACAAAAAAGCAAACATTTTCACAGGAAACGAGTCGAAAAAGAGTCTGAAAAGTTGGGAAATTGCGAAAAAATAAAATAAATTTTCAGGTGTCAGCAAATACGCTCCCGCGGACAACAAAGCCCCGCCCATTTTTCCGCGAAGAAGTTCGATTTGAGGAGACCGTACGAATCCGGGAGACACCCAAAAGCAGGAGTCACGAAAGCGGGAGACACAGAAGCGGGGGACACAAAAGCGGGAAACGCAGGGTTGCAATCTGACGGGCTGGCCGGCGGGCCGGCCCAGCCCGGCCGGTAAAGCCCAGCCGGCCGGCAATCCACTTCTTCGGAAATCTCAAGATATCTCTCCGAGTACTACGATCCTTCAACGAACGAATCGGTTGAGGAGTATTGGAAAAGAAAAAGATTCGAATACCCCGGACTGTACTCAGCAGCACTTTTCGTTTTTTCGATTGTTCCCAGTGAAGCCATGTGTGAGACTACGTTCAGCACTGCGTCGTTTTTGTTAGATAAAACAAGAACAAGATTACTATACAAGCGTGTGGAGATGGTCGTTCTGGGTTCGCAAATAGCCACGAAATTTCCACACTAGCTCGACTGATTCTCTCACTAATTGTAGTGATTTTTCTAGTTAATTTTATGCTACTTTTCTATCTTTTTTGTTGGATTTGTTGATATGAGCTTTAATTTTCTCCCCCGGTTTCCATTTCTTTGTTTCCCCTTGTTCATTTATACGGTTTTTACATTGTTATGCTACTTGTTAAGAAATAAAGGGGCTAAGGTAGTTGGGGGGGGCCACTTTTTTTTCGTTTTTTGAGGCTAATTTAGTGTCTCTGGGGTAGAAAAGAGCGGCGAAGAAGCCTAAGCCTATTTTTTAGACAAATTCCCATCTAAAAACACAAAAAAAAATCTGAAAAAAAAATTTTTTTTACCGGTTTTTTGTATTTTTTACCGATTTTTCGCTCATTTCTCGGAAGTTTTTGTTTTCTGGGATCCACGTTTGTTCAAAATTCCTTTTTAAAGTCTGAAAATGGAATATTAAAATCATTCTTCGTCCTCGAGAACTACAAAATTTCTTGCTCACTCTAAATTTAGATTACTGTAGCTCGAAAATGCTAGCTGTTATTAGCTGTTTTTGCTGTTATTCGCTGTTATTAGCTAGTATTCTAATATTCGCTATGACTGCCGTTGCGGCTATATTAGACTTAAAGTCTTTTAACCTAATCAAAACCTGGCCGGAGCTAGCCAACAAAACCGACGACGAATTCGATGAGTATCTCGCTTGCTCTGGAGAGAAAATCCATGTCCGTCTTGTCACGAGTCGAGAAAAATCTCTAAGCAAAAGAATGCCTCTGGTTAGTAGATTAAAAGTATTTATTTCATGCGAATTAGTTGTTTATAGGAGCGTTTTGCAAGCAGAAATTTGAGTGTTACAAACGAGCATGTCGAAATTCACGTTTCAACTGCAAAACTGGATATTTGAAGGGAACTTTCTTTGAGGGATTACGTGGAAGCCGTAAAAAGATTTTTCTGTGTAGCTTCCTCTATTTGAATGGAAAGATGGTGATGAAAGAGTTGGCAGAAACTTTGGAAACTGAGGAAAAGACAGTAATTCAGTGGTGCCAATGGTTCAGGGATATCATGGCGGAGAGTTTATATCAGCCCGCAATTATGATCGGAGGTGTTGGAGAGACGGTTCAGATCGATGAAACAAACATTGTCAAGAGAAAGTATAATGTGGGAAGGATCGTTCGTAATGGATGGTTAATAGGCGGTATCCAGAATAACACTCGTGCCGTTTTTATCGAAATCGTCGATAAAAGAGATCAAGCAACGTGTGAAAGAATCATTCAACAATATGTTGCTCCAGGCACAACAGTCATCACTGACTGTTGGCGAGGATACAACGGACTCGCGGCGCTAGGTTATGATCATAAAACAGTGAACCATTCTCAAAATTTTGTGGACCCTGCCACTGGTCTCCATACGCAGAGAGTTGAGTCGCTTTGGAGCCATTTGAAGCGTAGAATCAAGCCAAAGTGCGGCCTTAAAGGAGATTTATGGGATGATCACTGGTTTGAAGCTTTATGGCACTTCAAGCACCACGAAGAGGCGAAGCTCTACGAGCTTTGGGCTGAGATCGCTAGAAGATATCCACTCACTTAAAATTCTTCGATGGTTCCGAAAATTGTTGTTGTTTTTAATGTCATTAATCAATAAATGTTAAGAAAAAGTTTTTTTTGAATTTGGCGCCAAAATGCGTGTGTCCCAGAGGAAGGGAAACAAGGGGTTTTTGCCTAAGCCTATTATTTAAAACAAAAAACAAAAAGTTTTGAAAAAAATTTTTGGCCAAAAATTTGCAAATTTCACTGATTTTCGCCGATTTCAACACTTTTTTGGCTGAAATTTTTTTCAAAACTTTTTGTTTTTTGTTTTAAATAATAGGCTTAGGCAAAAACCCCTTGTTTCTTTTCCTCTGGGACACCCGCATTTTGGCGCCAAATTCAAAAAAAAAATTTTAGAAGATTTTTTTTTTCAGATTTTTTTTTTGTGATTTTAGATGGGAATTTGTCTAAAAAATAGGCTTAGGCTTCTTCGCCGCTCTTTTCTACCCCAGAGACACTAAATTAGCCTCAAAAAACGAAAAAAAAAGTGGCCCCCCCCAACTACCTTAGCGCCGAAATAAATTCAAATAATTCTTCAATAATTTCTGTTTTTTCTTAAATTCGAACGGGCCGAACCGGCCGGGGCTTCCGGCCGGGCCGGAGAAAAAATAATCTCAGCCCGGCCGGTTGCAACCCTGGGGAGACGAAAGGGGAGAAAGTACGCAATTGCTTACCGTAATCCTCCGTTCCGTTGTAAAAAATTAGACTATTTTTAGTAAATTTATGAATAAAATACCCGAGATAAATGAAAATATGTTTTAAAAAATTTTGAGACCTTTTTTATGCTCCTGAACATCATTTTCGGCCGTTCGGTTACTCTCGGTTTGGGAATTAACGGTGGTACGGTAAGCAATTTCGTCTCCCGCTTTCGTGTCTCCCGCTTTTGTGTCTCCCGCTTTTGGGTGTCTCCCGCTTTTGGGTGTCTCCCCGATTCGTACGGTCTCGATTTGAGCCAGCTTTTTCGAGTAATTCTTTGTTATCGGCTCAACGAGTTCAGTTTTTACGTTCCCAGTTGTTCCATTCTTTGTATATTAATGAAACCTCACCTCCTCCTCACCCTCCTCACCCACCGTTTTTCCCTTCATTCACTACGCACACCTTCAAGAGAATTAGTTGGTTTTCAGGCCAAAAATGACCCGAATTGACGAAGCACTCCGAGACCTGGAGTACAATCCTACTGCTGATGCGTTGGGATCGTTCACGACGTAAGTTTGAAGAGAGAATGGAGCTAAATATTATGTTTGGTTTGCAGACAAATCGAGACGCTTTCCCATATGCTCCCGTTCCCCGAAATGAAAGCAGGTGTCATGGATTGCCTCCACAAGATTCGCTGGGACCGGCGATTCGACGCCGTGCGCAACGACGAGACGATGCTCCGTCTATACAAGATACTCGGACAGTATAGTGAAAATCTGGGCATGAAAGGAATCTACCTCCAGCTTCACGGATGCCACTAGACCAGCGCTAGCACTGCGTTTCAATGACAACGTCCTTACTTCCACTGAAACGATGCCTATCAAGTCCACAGAAATCTCCAGCAACTTCTCGGTGCTTTGTGATCCGGATTCAACGATGAATGTGACTAATGATCGTCTGAACACGTCTGGAAGATTGAATATGGTTTTCGACGAGCTCGCGCCGATTGAAGAGCCGAAAGAGGAGGATACCAAAGATAAAACGGTTTCAAAGATAAAGAAGGAGCTAGAAGACACTCGTTTATCAGAAAAATCGCTCAGGACTCCGCCAACATTTGGAGATGAAGATGATGGTGAGTTTCAGCAAAAAAAAAACAGAATTTTCAATAAATCGATATTTCCAGTGTTCGACGATGAGTCGATCCATGACTCGATCGCCACTTCTACACCAATTGCCGGATTGGAGGATGCGGATGTCGAGATGTTCTTTGGCAACAAGTCGGTGGCTGGTCGTGAGGAAGAGGCGGCGCCACCAGCTCCACCACCACCAACACCGAAGCAAGTTCCATCATCAGCTGCCAACTCATCGATTGTCTGGCTTTCTGACAATCACGAACGTCGCTTGTACCGGGGTGCCGATGAGATTCGATCTGCCATCGTCGCTAACGAAGCAGAAACAACTGGAATTCTCAAACGCCGCCGTAGTGAGATCATCAGGAAAGGAGACATAAATCCGTGGGATGAGACACTCCGTAAAGGATTGGTGGAATCAGTCCGTGCGCCAATCAACATGCACGAATTCCAGGAGAGAGCACCGAAGATCCAGGCAAACAGGGATTTTGAGATCGGAGGAGAAGTGTTCCATATCCAAACGCTGATTGGACAGGGAGGATACGCCAAGGTGTACAAGGCATTGAACAAGGAGAAGAAGGTTGTGGCTGTGAAGTATGAGGTTCCGTCGTGCTTCTGGGAAGTGTACATTTGCGATCAAATGCGCAATCGGTTGATCAAGGATCGCGAGGATCGAGTGAAGATGGCTGACTGGTGTATCATGAAAGTGATGGATGCTTACGTCTTCTCGACTGCCTCAATCCTTGTCAACGAATACCATGAGTATGGAACACTTCTGGAGTACGCCAACAGTATAAAGGAGCCGAACTGGCACCTTCTGCTTCTTGCTCACCCAAATGGCTCGTATATTGAAGGAGGTACATGCTTGTAATATCATCCATGGAGACATCAAACCAGACAACTTCATGATCACAAGAAAGTGAGTTAATCAGAAATTTAGGTTCAATCAAATATAATGATATGTTTTAGGATTGATCCAAACTGGGACAAGGACGCTCTCATAAGCAACGATACGTTTGTGGTGAAGGTTATCGATTGGGGACGGGCCATCGATATGATGCACATGAAGGGTCAGACATTCAAGGGAAGTGCTGGAACTGAAGATTTCGACTCGCCGGAAATGATAGACGGACGCCCATGGAACTATCAGGCGGATTATTTTGGCTTCGCCGCCACTATGGCTGTTGTGGTTACCGCGAAGTACGGCAAATTGGCGGGCGGCAAAGTGGGAGAGTACTCGTTGAGTTGTGATATCAAGAGACGAAACATCTTTCGTAATACCATCTTCGACATTATCAACTTGCTTCTCAACATTGAATCCGTCCACACATTCTCTGATTGGTCGGAAGCCATTCAACAGTTTGCCGATTTCTGGGAGACGAATTTTGACGGTTCTTCGTGGAGAGAAGCGATTGCCAAGTTCAACGAAGTCTGTGAGCTGGCTGCTACTAATCACAACTGATGTATAAAATATGACTATTATTTATTTCTGTAAATATTGCTTGCCAGTTTTCCAAATAAACTAACGGAATTTATGATTTTTTGTTATTGTTTTCATAAAGCTTTTTCGTTGGAATCAGTCGGAAATGTTGAAAAGTGCTTTTTAAATTTTGAAAATCGTTCAAATCCGGTAAGCGCTTCGAGACTCGCTCCGTTTCAACCACAATGCGCCTTTAATCCCGGAGAAGTTTTCCGGACTGGCTTCTCCTTTGACTTCTTTTTCATTCAATTTTTATGGTGTAAAATGATTTCTTTTACTTTTTATTCAATAGAGTGAATAGTTTGAATTAAAAATGAAACAGAAAACGCATTTCCAGTATAAAACCAGTCAGCCACTATGATGGAGCCTGGACCATCGGATGTTAAAGTTTCTCCTCGCCCTCTGATAGAAAAAGAAATGCGAAATTTCTACTCTGAAATGCCAGATGAGACAATGTTGGCTCATTTCAAAGCAATGTTTGAGGAGGTTTCAAACCGCCCGGAGCTAGTGGAAAAGAACGAAAAATTGAGAGACCTATTGAACAGAGAAACACCTCCTATCGAGATTTATACGCCAGGTGACGTTGTCAAGCTGATTGACCCGAAAATCGAGGAGAGAGAAGATGTGAGAAGCCGAAGAGAATTTTTTTGATGTTTAGAATATTTCAGGAATATCTTGTATTGCATGAGGGGTCGTCAGGTATTCAATACAATTATGAATACGACCATTACACGTGGAATATGAGATTCGCTTCAGAAGAAGCCAGTGTGAAGCGGGTTAACGAATTGAATGAGTACGGCAGAAAGCGAAGGCGTCAGTTGGAACTAGAAGAAGGAGAGCATACAGATGAATTGGAATCGGAAGCTTCAGAAGCACCCGTGCTGCCGGTGACACGTAGAAGAAGTACCGGAAATCCCAAGTATTGGGCAAAGAAGAAAGGAGGAGATGCAGAGGTGTTGTGTTCGGTAAGTCGTTCTAATATTGAAATAAAGATTATTTTCTGTTGTTTTTGTTGTTAACTGTATTGTCAAAAACTGACCCTAATTTTTCTGTGGAAAAACCAAAAAAATCCAATTTTCAGTGCTCCATCTGCTCCGAGCAGTTCACCGCACTTCGCGCACTTCTGGACCATCGCCATCAGGCGCATTCGGAGAAGGACATGCGAACTTGTGGTACATGCAATAAGGAGTACACCAGTAGAACCCATATTCATTTCCATCTGACTCAAGAGTACAAAATTCATCATTGCCAGAAGTGTGACGTCTCCTTTGCCTCTACTTGGCATCTCAACAGACATGACTGCAAGCTGAAGGACTCGAGAAAACGGAAAGCGTCGGCTGATGGAGTGGTGATGACGGAGAATCCGATGAAAGAAGGAGGAGAATTTGATGACGATGTGGCATCGGAAGAAACGGAGAAGAAACAAGGTGGCACTTGTGAGAAGTGTGGAAAGCGGTATATGCACACTGGGTGGCTTAGAAAGCATCAGATAAGCTGCGTTAAGAAGGAGGAGGAAGAAGAAGATGAGGAAGAAGGAGAGGAAGAGGAGCAGGAGAAATTTAAGTGTGAAATCTGCCTTCGCGAGTACACATCCCAGTTCTGGTCGACACTCATAAGAAGAAATGCACTGTGGCCACACCACAACCGCTTGTTGCCCTTCCTGATAAACCATCGGCACGGTGTGATTTGTGTCAGAAGATGTTCTTGAACGAGCGATCGCTTGAGTATCATTTGAGACATTGTCGAGCGAGGCTTAGAAGACAGCAAGAGATGCCAGTGCTAGTGGCAAGGGGAGAGGGAGGACAGGAGGTTGGATACAGTACCCGAAGCAGAAGACAACGTGGCATTAGTCCACCGCCACGTATAGATGTGGGAGAGATGAGCGAGGGAGAAGAGGAAGGCGATGTGGAGCAGGAGGAGCAGGAGGACGTGGAAGAGGAAGAAGAAGAGGATAAGAAGCCGTTCCAGCCACCGGTAAGGGACATTAAGAAATTTAAGATAAAAAATCCCAAAATCCACTAGACCATTCGAACACTTCGGCTAGAAACATGGTTTTTGAGACTACCTTTATAGTTTTGATACTTTCAAAACATAACCTAAGTTTTAAAAGCTTAATTCTTTCTTAAGTGGATGTTTTTAATGAAACATTGTTTTCCAGTGCTCCATTTGCGGAACGATTTGTAACAGCACCGGCAACCTTCTTACCCACCGTCGACGTGCGCACGGAATCGACGCAATGCTCACATGCGGTCTGTGCAACGCCAAATACAACTCGATGAGCAGCATCGCGCGTCACATCAATATCGAATATTCGCTGTACGTGTGCAAGAAGTGCGGACGAAGCTGTCAGGACAGCACATTGCTCCGTCAGCATGAATGCAATAAGGCTTACAAGACATGGAATTGTAGCATAGGCAATGGACCAAACCTTGTGGGATATGCTTCACAACTACCGGCACAGCCATCGATACCATCACCACCTCCATCTCCTCCTCTATCGACTCGCACTCATCAAGAAAGCTCTTTGAAGTGTCCGCATTGTCCGGAAACATTTTCCACATCATTCTCATTGTACAACCATCGGATGTCATGCGATCCACGAAAAACCGAGCTATCCACAAGCTCTAGTGCTCAACAGCCATCATCAAGCTCTAGTGTTCCAAGAACTCGAACCGACACCATTCGGACTGTTGATTCTATTGATGAGCATCAACCTATAAAGGTAATTTTCTCAAAATATCGTTCACTTGGGCTCCGAGGGAAGTTGAACTTGTGGGTCCAGGCTTTTGAACTCAGTTTCCAGTTTTTAAACCTTGACTTTCGAATTTCTCGATCCTAAAAACCTTCGAGTGGGGTTCGAACCCGAGAACTCTTGCCTCAAAAATGTCAGCTGAAAAATATACTTGGCCATTTGAGCACCTATTTTTGAAAATTGTAAAAACATGGTTTTTGAGTCTATCTGTATGTTTCAGAGCTGATAATTTAAGGTTTAAAACAAAATATTCTTTTTTCAGTGTCCCGAATGCTCGAAAGAGTTCATGTACCTCTCGGAAATCACATTCCATCGACATAAAACCCATGGAAAGAAGCTGTATGAATGCATCTTCTGCCCGAAATCCTTCCTAATTCTTCGCACTCTCAAAGATCACTATAATTTGGTAGCCAGATATTCAATGAATCTCACATATTTCGTTTTTCCAGGAAACGCAACGCTTCAAGTGCAGCGTGTGCCAGAAGACGTTCCCAAGAAGATATCAAATGCGTTATCACGAGGAGCAGTGTAAAATGACCGTCTGATAAATCTCTTTTTTATTTCTTGTTACGCATCTTATATATTTTTTGTTCTTGATTTTGATTTTCGCATTTTGCAAAATTGTGTTCAATTGAAGATTTTGCTAGATTTTTTTGTTGTACTCGGACATGTGACAATGTTTTCTGACTTCTGATGGCAAAAACCCGAATTCGCGCATTGTTCTGTTTATTCTTCCCCCATTCTGACATCTTTCAAATTTCCGCTTCTCAAACCGTGGCTGTCATATAGGTTGCTTATAAAATCAACTTTTTTTTACCAGAGTTCACCTACACAGACGACTTTCGAAATATTCTGGTTTTTATGTGGAGCAATGGGCAAATTCCGGGATTCCATCTTTTCTAGCGATCCCATTGGAATTCACATTAACCATCAATTGTCAGAAACCAGTAAATACTGGGTTTTAATTTTTGTAAAAATGTCTTTCTAATTTTCCTTCTCTTCATTCTCAATCGCAACTTGTACCTTCATCTAAAACAAACTTTCTCCTTTCTCCCACGCACTGGGGTTCAAGCGAGGGGGTCAGAAAGCGCGCCCCAGCAAACTCGTAGGCCAGAAGAAGTTTAATAATTTTCAAATTGGACGCGGGTTTGATCTAGATCATGATCTATTTCTTCAAAATCAACTGGTTGCAAGGCGCGCTTTTCCGCTCTTCATTTAAAACTGTGAAACTCAGCCAACGAAATTCGTCAGCGAATTTAGAATTTTTCCTAAATTTACTGGGGCGCTCTTTCTGACCCCCTCGCTTGAACCCAAGTGCCCACGTCCATTTTTCCCAGAAATTCTCCCCCTACAGATTCCTGGAAAACGCGCGAAACCGTACTACTTGAGATTTTTGTGTGTGTCTCTCTCTCTCTCTCTCTCTCTCTCTCTCTCTCTCTCTCTCTCTCCCTTTCTCTTTGAAGTATCCTGGCTCCACATATCCTTCGTTTCCTTATCACTGAGTCAATAAAGATAAAGAAAGAGGAAAAAGAATGTTTACATAAGGAAAAAGTCAGTTTTTTAAATTACAACTTTATTTCTCTTGGAAAACACACCGTTTTTTTGATGGGATAGATTTTTTTTGTGGATTTTAATTTTTTGAGATTGAACAAAAAGGTCAAATTGATTTCTACAGTAGAAAGCCTGGGGCAGTTGTTTATTTTTTGATATGAAGACATAATTGAGAGAGTCGATCGCTTGTTTTGGAATCGAGAAAAAAGAAGACGTCATGTGGATTCTGAATTACCAAAAGCCAAACGACGTGTGGAGCGTCGCGGATTCAAAGAATTCAGAATAAGGGATTTAGAAGACGTGGGGACGCGAATCGTTCTAAAAGGAAAAAAATGGATTTTAAAAAATAACAGAAAAGAGTTACAAAACTATGAGAAGTTGTGTGTATATAGGGGCAGCAGAACAGCTGGAAGAAAAGCGAGACAATAGAAAAGAGGATTTTTTGGGGTCAAAAGGGGCGGGGCGGGGGAAAGTGAAGTTATGAATGGAACATGTTTCCGGGCTAAATTACTTGGCGGTAGCCGAGCGAACAACTTGTCCGCGCATGCGGACCAGCGAGTTCTCGGCGACCTCGGCACGCTCTTCGGCATTCTCGAGAGCGAGTTGGATCTGTCGGAATTTGGACAGATTCTGGGTGGCGACCTCTTCCTGGAAATATTGGTTTTGAGATAGGAAAAATTCAGATTCCATGAAGTTTGTTTCCGTGGTTTTGATTTATGAGATACCGTAAAACCTGTAATTGAAGGGTCCCCTAACTTTGAGCCAATTTATCTCGGTTTCTGTAAAAGATATCAAAAAGTTATCAAGAGATAAAATACTGGTGATATTATGAGGAAAAGTTTATCATTTGACTACTTTTTGATATCTCTCATAGGAACCGATATAAGTGAGCTCAAAGTATACAACTAGGGTGGGATTCTATTCGTACTGTAATTGATAAGGCTTGGAAATTGGACATTTCTAACACTATTGAGAATTTTTTTAAACTGTTAGTTAAAAAATGCCCAACCTAAAATTATGTATATTTCCACAGTTGAAGATGTGTTCCTAACTATGTTGTTTCACAAGATACAAACTTTTAAAGTTAGAACCATCGAAAACTACAGTATTCCTCGGGCAGAAGCTCACCCAAATCATCAATTTCGAGATCAATTATCTCGGTTACTATGAGAGGTATCAAACAGTAATTAACTGATAAAATGTTGTTGATAATATGACAAACATATTATCAGTTGAGAAAATTTTGATACCTTTCTTAAGAACTGAGATAATTCAGATCAAAGTTCACAGTTTCGTTTGGTTTCTATTCGAGGGAATACGGTATACTGTTTTAAATCCAGAAATATCTCAAGAACTACAATAGCCTCATTAAAATTATTAACTACAAATTGTTCAGCTTAAAATTGTATATATTTCCTCAGTCGAATTTTTTCTAGCTAATCTGGTTCTCAAGACTCACCGCCTCTTCGATTTGTCTCTTCTGGACGCGAATCTTCTGTTGGAGCTTCTCGACGTTCTCCTGGAGTCTGTCGAACGCCTTCTTGTCCTCCTCGACCTGGAATTGAAGCTCACGAGCGCGTCTCTCCTGCTTGGTGAATCCCTTCACAGCCTCTTGATGTCTGCGTTGCTCGGAGTGCAACTCGGCTTCCACGCTTCGCACACGTTCCTCGACCTTCGACAGAGCCTTGGCTCCGACTGAAAATTCATAGTTAGGAATGGCTAGATATTAATCCACTCACATTGGATCATGGCACGCTCGGCGTCATCAATCTTGGCCTGGAGTTCCTTGGCGTTGAGCTCGAGCGACTTGCGTTGTCTGTCGACGTGCACGGCGTGCTCTTGCTCTTGACGAACCTCCTCGGCAAGACGGTCAGCGTCGGCAGCGGCCTTGCGGGCACGCTCCTCGGAAGCCTTCAACTCGTTCAAGTACTCGTCCAATTCGTTCTGAAAATGATTTCATTTGAATGGGTTTCTGTTAAAAAAATACTCACTCTAGCGATTTGAACCTCGTTCTCGACCTTTCTCTTCATGGCAGAAAGAGCAGCGTTGTTTCCAATGAGCTCGGTGTTGGATGACTTGAGCTCAGCCTGTTCGATCTCCAATTGCTTCTTGTGCTTCTCAGAGGCATCGATACGGTGGGCAAGATCCTCGGATTCGGACAAAGCGACGGCAAGTCTCTTCTCGGCGGCCAAATAGTTCTCACGGATCTCCTCACGTCTTCTTTGCTCATCGTCGACTTGTCCTTGAAGCTCCTTGACTTGGTCGAAGAGCTTCTTCAAATTCTTTTGGGCGTCAACGTTGGCCTTGTTGGCATGATCCAAAGCGATCTCCAGTTGGTTGATGTCGGTCTCCAACTTCTTTTTGGCTCTGGCGAGTTCCGCCTTGCTTTTGGCCTCTGTTTCGAGGGAAGCCTGAATGGATTCGAGGGCACGTTGGTGGTTCTTGCGAGTGTTCTCGAATTCCTCCTCCTTCTCTTGGATTCTCTTCTCGATCTCGGAACGGATCTGTTGAACTTCGATTTGAAGACGGAGAACCTTGCTCTCCTCGGCTTCAAGAGCAGCTTCGGCCTCGTCGAGAGCGTGTTGGAGCTCATCCTTTTCTTGCTCGAGACGACGGACGGACTTGTGGACTTCCTGGTAGGTACGTCCTCCTTGGGTGATTTGCTCGTTGATGTCGCGGATTTCCTGGGAGTAGATCTTGTTCTCGCGTCTGAGAGTCTCGATTTGCTCGCTGAGGTTGTCCATGGATGAGCGTAGTTTGAAGACTTCGGTGGAGGTGTTACGGCTGTCACGGGTGGTGGCATCGATCTCCTTCTGGATATCATCAACCTTTCTCTTCCAGTCATCAACAATCTTATCAAAGGCGCGTTGCTTCTTCTCGAGGGAAGCGATGACAGTCAAGTGACGGTCGACATCGGAACGAGCGTCCTCGGTCTCGGCCAAAAGTTTTCCCTTGGCCTTCTCCAAGGAGATGACCTTGTTTTGAGCAGCAGAGAGAGCCTCCTGGAGGTCCATAACTCTGTTCATCTGCTTTCTCTTGAGCTCCTCCAACTCCTCGGATCCAACCAATCCTTCTCCCTCGTATCTGGCCTTCCATTGCGAGATTTCGGAGTTGATTCTGGAGAGTTGACGTTGGATGTCGTCCTTTCCGTTGATTTGCTCCTCGAGCAACTCGTGGCACTGGTCGAGTTCGTGCTCCAAGTTCTTGCAGGCAGCATGGAACTCTTGACGCTCATGGAGCTCGTCCTCGGCGGCCTTCTTAGCCTCAACGAGTTGAGAAGAGAAGGCGGTCTTGGCGCGGTTGATGGTGGCCAAGTGGATCTCGAGCTCTTCGACCTGGCGGGCAAGATCAGAGTTATCGTTGGAGAGTCTTCCCTTGGTGGAGGTGAACTCGGTGATCTGTCTGGTCTGCTCGTCAACCTTCTGTTGGAGCTCAGCAACTTGGATCTCGTATTGCTTAGCGAGACGTTCTTGCTCAACACGGGACTTGGTCTCTTGGTCGACTTGAGCGTTGATGTCATCCAATTCCTTTTGGAGGACTCCCTTCTCCTTCTCAATCTTGGCCTTACCCTTCTGAAGAGCATCCAAAGTGTTGGTCAAGTCTTGGATCTGGTCGTTGTTCTTTCTGCGGATCATGGCCATCTGGTCTTCGTTGGCCATGTTCTTCTCATCGAGATCTCTGCGGAACTTGATGATTTCAGAGTCCTTCTTCTTGTTATTCTCTTGTTGGATCTCGAGTTGCTTGTTTTGCTCATCGAGTCTCTCGTTGAGCTCATCAAGCTCGCGTTGAAGCTCAGCGCGGGCACGATCGGCCTTGGATCTGGATTGTCTTTCGTGCTCAAGCTCGTCCTCGATTTCGATGATGCGTTGAGCATTTTCCTTGGATTGTCGGGTAAGTCTGTTAGCCAAAGCTTGCTCATCTTCGATTCTGACTCCAAGAGCATGGATATCAGCCTCCTTCTTCTTGAGGGAAGCATCAGCTTCCAACTTGATAGCGGTGAGCTCATCGATGGATTCTTGAGCTCCCTTGAGCTCTCCCTCAACCTTTCTCTTCGACTTCTCAGTCTCAGCTCGGATTCTCTTCTCTCTCTCAACAGCCTCTTCCATTTCGTCCAAAGTTTGCTCGAGCTTTCCACGAAGTCTGTTAGCTTGAGCTTGCTTGGCTTCCTCGGCTTGAAGATCGTCGATGAGTTGACGATTGTTCTCCTCGAGATGCTTCTTCTCCTTGTTGATCTTTCCGATGGTCTCATCCTGAGAGTTCATCTCATCTTGAAGGGAACGGATTTGGTTTTCCTTGGCGGCTTTCTCTTCGAGAGATCTGCTCAAGTTTCCGTCGACGGCTTCGATGGACTTCTTCAAGTTCTCAACTTCTTGTTGGGCCTTTCTGCGTTGCTTCTCAAGATCAGCATTCTTCTCCTCGTGCTCGGAAAGTCTGTCGTTGGCATCATTGAGAGACTTCTCGACTTCTTGACGGGCACTGTTGAGGCGGGTGAGCTTCTCCTCAATAGCAGCGGATCCTCCTTGGGTGAGTTCGAGGGCTTCCAAGAGTTTGGATCTCTCGGCGGACAACTTGGCGTAGGCCTCTTCTTGAGCCTTTCTGGCAGCTTCGGCCTTCTTGGCTTCAACTTCGAGAACCTTCTGTTCTTCGGCCATCTTGGCCATCTCCTCGGCCATCTTTCCGCACTTGAGTTGTGGTCGGATCTTTCCGAACAACAAGAACCAATCCCAGGTACGGAGGACGCACCAGGAGCGGATGTTGCGTTGAAGAATGATGTACGAGTTGAGTTGCTTACGTCTGGCTCCAGCGTCAGCGGTGGCAGTGTACCAACGGATGGCGGATTGGAATCCAGTGATGATCTGGTTAAGCTTCTCGTCTCTCAAGTCTTCAATATGGGCAACGACTCCAGCCTTGAAGAAGACCTTAGTGTGTCCGATTCTGAATTGCTCGTCGTTGAGCTTTTTGGCGTTGATGAGGGATTGGAGGATGGCTCCAGCAGCGGTCTTCGGGTCATCAGATGACTTCGCTTCCTTGGCGGCAAGGATAGCGTAACGGTGGACGAAGTCTGGATGAAGAGTTCTGTTAGGGAATCCCTTTCTGCAAATTCTGATTCCTTCCAACACTCCGTTACAGGTAAGCTGATTGAGAACGAGTCCAGCATCGATCATTCCGGATTGTTTCTTCTCGTTTGGAATGATACAACGGATGAAATGTGGATGAGTCTTGTGGAGCATAGTCATGAGCTTGTTGAGGGACTCTCTGTACATCATGGAGACAGTCATGAAGGATCCAGACTTTCCTCCTTTACGTCCTCCTCCAGACTTGGCAGCAGCGGCGGCCTCTTCTTGAGTGGTGTAGTCTTGCCAGATCTCGACAAGAAGGTCGTTCTTCTTGGAAGCCTTCATGACTGAGACAACGGTGTCGTTGAGAGGATCCTTGTTCTTCTCGAGCCAGTTCAACACGTTGTAACGGACAGTTCCGGCGTAGTGCCGCATGGCGAAGTGAGCTTCTCCTTGCTTTCCCTTTGGCGGTTTTGGCTTCTCGAAGTTTGGATGCTTTCCAAGATGTTGATCGGTAAGCTTCTGGGCCAAAGTCATATCAGTAGCCTTTGGCACAATGCACTCCTCATCGAGCATAGAGATGATACCAAGTGGCTTCTCAATGAGCTCGATACAAGCCTGGAGATCGAGACCGAAATCAATGAAGGTCCATTGAATACCCTCACGGGCGTACTCTTCCTGCTCGAGGACGAACATGTGATGGTTGAAGAATTGTTGGAGCTTCTCATTGACAAAGTTGATCCACAACTGTTCGAAGGAGTTGAAGTCGAAGATTTCGAATCCAGCGATATCGAGTACTCCGATGAAGTAATCACGGTCAATTCCCTTCTGGTCAAGAGTGAGGTTACATTTCTTGACGAGCCAGTTGAATACGCGAGCGTAGAGACCCTTAGCCATGGCTCCGATGGCCCAGTGAACTTGATCGACGTTCTGTCCCTTGGACACCCATTCGGTTCCGACCTTGACTCTTGGGGAGACCAAAGCCTTCAAGAATTGATCGGCATCAACTCCGAACATGGCGCATGCCTTCTCGGCCTCATCTTGACCATCTGGCTCGGCTTGCTCCTCGCGTGGGCGTTGCTTGAACTTCATGTTACCCATGTGCATATGACCTGACATGAGTCTATAACAATCCATCTTCTCGGTCTCCGAGAATTTGAGGACATCGAAGGCCTCGTCGGTCAACTGGAACTCTTCAGTGTCATCGATTCCTGTAAAATCAATTGATTGGGAGTAAGTTCTTAAACTGGGACCCACCATCGATGAGCAACTCAGCCTGGGCGACGAACCAGTAGTCCGCAATTGGCTTGTCAAGAAGAAGCTCGTTGCGAAGCTGTGGCTTGAAGTCCGAGAAGATTTGGTAGAAAATGTGGTAGCAACGCTCTCCTGGAGCTTGACGGATGACACGAGATTTCTCGAGAAGGTCTGGAAAAATAACTTCAGCTTTTTGGGTCTCATAAGGGTAAACTCACAATGTTCAATATCGCAGGAAGCGAGGGTTCCGTACTTGTTGAAGTGAATACGGATGAACTTTCCGAAACGGGAAGAGTTGTTGTTACGGACAGTCTTGGCGTTACCGAAAGCCTCCAACACTGGATTGGTTTGGACGATTTGGTCCTCGAGGGTGACTGTCTTCTCTCCTTCCTTTGGCTGAGCCTTTTGGGAGGCTCCGACGGTGGCGAAGTAGGCAATAACCTTCTTGGTGTTCTCAGTCTTTCCGGCTCCAGATTCTCCGGTAATGAGCATAGACTGGTTCTCGTGGTCTTGGAGCATGTTACGGTAGGCCTCGTCAGAGACGGCGAACAAGTGAGGTGGCATCTCGGTACGACGCTTGCCCATGAACATACGAGCAACAGAGTCGGTGTAGATTGGAAGACGTTTGTATGGGTTGATGACGACACAGAAGAGTCCGGAATAGGTCTGAAAGTTTTTCTTGGTTTTAGGCTTTTCTATATTTTTGTTACTTGGACCGCCATCTGTTTACAATGGTCGTTATGTTCTAGAAATTGCACGTCTTCTGAATTTTTCCCAGAAGTTTGTATAAGTTCTTTTTTATAATGTTAGCTTGAAATTGTGTTTTTCCCAAGTTACATGGGTCTTCCAGACTTTTGGGACATTTCAGAGCCTCCGGTTGACAACTTGTTCATATCATTGACAGGTACCGAGAAAAATTGGCACAAAGTTAAAAGTTACGGCCCCTTCTGTTACTGGTTTTATGATACTTCCTTTTGTTTTTCTCGATTTCATTGTACGGTTTCTAATGGCTCATCCTCAATTATGTTCAACAATCCCCCCTTCTATTGTCTTCCTTGATTATCTTGATCTTTGTCGTTCTCTGTGCACCGCCCGTCTCTCTTCACTCGGATCCACTCGAGACCCCCTTCACAATGATAGCGTTTTTGCCACTTTTTGCGTGGGTGCGCACACTGTTTGTCTATCCAACAACTCTCTCTTTATCCCAAAACGCCGAAAAACTGAGAGCAAAAAAAAGAGACTTACGTAGATAAGCATGGCGGCGTAACGCGAACGCAAGTTCCACAAGACGGAGGCGTCGTTGAGGAAGGTCAAGTTGGACATGTCTTCGGTTTTCTCGAACTTTGGTGGATTCATCTCTTGAACGATGTCCTTCTTCAGGGTCACATCTTTTCCTCCGGCGGTGACGATGACGGTGTCGGCTTTTGGTCCGGGTCCCTTGATCTCTCCCTCAATGTATCCTTCCTCTGGATCCGGAATCCATACGTTCTTCTTGGAGTCGTATGGGCGAGATTGGTCCTGAAAAATGAATTCGATTGATGGTAAAAATAAAATAAAAGTAGAAAAATTGTTTGTTGGAAAAATTTCAAATTTACCGTATATGCTCTAATAGGAGTCAACCCTGTATGCAAACCTTGAGCTCAATTATCTCAGTTCTTGTTGAAGATATCAAAAATGCGTCAACTAAACAAATGTTAATAATATTATGATGAATATTTGATTAGTGAACCACTTTTTGATATCTTTCACAGGAGTCAAGATAAATTGGCTCAAAGTTAACAGTTAAGAGGACCTTCTATTATAAGTTATACGGAATTCTAAAAACCGAAACATAGAAATTCTAAACGCGAAATGAAGGCTTGAAAAGTTTGAAAAACTTAGAATTTCTAATTAAAAATATTTCATCTGATCAAATTGATTTGATGATTAATCTAAAAACCGAAAACTACAGTAAGGCAAAGTTGAATTTCAAAAATATTAATTTTTGAGTTTTCTTCAAATCGTTTAGTTAAACATCTACTTTTCAGACAGTTGGGTTTTCGTTTAAATTTGTGTTTTTTTTATTGAAAACTTAATTTTGAACTTTAAGAATTATAGCCGGCCAATATTTTCAGTAGAAATTCTAATAAAAGGCCGCCCTAACTTTAAGACTAATTATCTCGGTTCTCATAGAAGATATCCTAAAGTGGACAATTAATAAAATGTTCATCATGATTCCAAAAATAGTCTATTAGTTGACACATTTCTGATAGCTTAAACGGGAAGCGAGATAAATTGACTCAAAGTTGGGGCACTTTCTATTACAGGAATCGAGATATTTGGCATCAGAGGTAAAATTCCAGGATTTCGAAAAAGGGAAATAAGAGTAAATTCTAAAAATCTAGGTCTTGAAAAAGTTGAAAAATCAAAGAAGATAAGAAAATGTTGAAAACTCAAAATCTGAAACTTACAGCGAGCTGTTGCTCTCTGGATCTCTTCAAGTATTGCCATCCTGGATCCTTCTCGTATTCAAGCGACATCTTTTCGAGTTTCTAACAATAAGGGGCTAAAAAAGGGATGATTCTTCCTAACTGTTCTCTGCAACTGCACACAGCTCCACACTACTGTGCACTGCAGATGGATGGGATAATAGTTTGGCACACACACACTTACCCAACCTTTCGGATCTCTCCGACGAGAGAGCGAGAGACGGCGATGGCAAAATGGGCGGAGAGTCATCCGAGAGTATCCAGGGAATTGTGCTTCTCCGAAATTATCGGTCTCTCTCTCTCTCTCTCTCTCTCTCTCTCTCTCTCACTCTCTCTCTCTCTTTCTCTTTCTTTCTTTCTTTCTTTCTTTCAGTACTTTATCACATGCGCAAGAAATCTCCCATCGGGATATACTGAGAGACGCCAGAGATTACTGTAGAACTTGTTGAAAAATCGGTAGAGTTTCTTTTGAGCAGCGCCTCCTCCTTCGGGGGCTTTTTTGAGCACACATTATATATTATTGGATAGAGAAAGAAAAGGACGTAAGAGATTTTTTGAGAGTAACGCTCTCGGCAGAAAAGAGCAACTTTTGGAACTTAAAGCAAAAAAAAGAGGGATATTGGTTTTTGGAAAGGGATCAAGGAGCGGTGGAAGGGAAAGAAGGGTGAGAGATAATAGTTGCATTTTTTATTTGTGGTTCACGTGAAACCTGTAATAGAAGGGCACCGTAAGTTTACATTTTGATCCGATTTTTCTCCGTTCCTGTCCAAGATATGAAAAAGTATTCAACTAATAAATTGTTTATCAGGATACCATCAATATTCTATCAGTTGACAAAATATCTCTGATGGGAACCGAGATAATTGAGCTCCATTGTAATGGCTCAGCCAACGAGTCAGTTCCCACATTTTTGATAGCTTCTATAGGAATCGCGATAATTGAGCTGACAGTACGAAGGCTCTTCTATTACAGGCTTTACGGTAGTTTTCATATTGTAAAATTATTAATAATGTTCTGACCAATCGAATCAGGAAAGCTGTAATTTCAGGAAATTTAAAAATTCCGTTTCAGACTTGCCAAAATTAATAATTTTCTGAAAAAATCAAGTTATGTGTCTCTCAAGAAAACAATCAAGAAAATTTCCCAAATTTTTAGAAAAGTCAATTTTGAAGTCAAAGAAGAAAAGTCAATTTTGAAGTCCTACAAAGTAGTTTGAAATTTTCGGATTGGTCTAAAATTTTTTGGACTATACTAAAAAAAATAGAGCATCATTTTTGTAATCGACAAATTTTTTGTAAAAATTCGATAAATTGAGATATGAGGTTTCAAAGTGGCAAGATGCTCGGTGCTCATTTTAACATTTTCAGCACTTATTTTATTACAAAGTGCATATTTCATCAGATGGAAATTTGGCAAAAAAGGTGCCAATTACAAAAGTGAAGCTGTAATTTTGTACAGTATACTCTGAGATTTTCAGACAATTCGGAAAATTTTGGACCACTTTTGTAGAACTCCGAAATTGACTCTTTTTCACAAAAAAAGTCAATACATGCTATACTTTTGATGAGGCACCAAACATGAGATTTGTCGAAATGTTATGTAGAACTGAAAAAAATTCCAGCTAGTTTTTATTCACAGTTAGTCAATTTTACTAAATCTGTATGTCTGTTCATCCAGATGTCCCATGCACACCATTATCGCAACTTATTTGTTCCATCTTCCCCCAACCAATTTGTTGTAATAATGACGATCTCACTAGGTGTTTCACCGAATCTCTTCACTTTTTTTTGGCTTTTTCTTCTTTTCTTCTTTTTCTTTCCTCCCACACTCGGATACTTCGGCGCATCCTTCCTTCCCAAAAGATCCTCCCGATATCCCTCGAGTAATATTTGCTTATTGCGCACTTTCTGTGCCCCCTGTGTGCGTAAAATTGTACGGGGTGTGTTTCTTCGTCTTTCTGAATGAAGAAAGAGATTTTCCAAGGTTTTTTGTCTTGAACAAGAAGTCAAGGTGATCAGAAATGGGACTGATTTTCAGCAAAAGAAAAATGGTTTTACTACAAAATCCCACACCGATCAAGTTTTCGAATAAGAAAACAGAGAAATTAAAGCCATGTCAATTAAGTAATTATACAAAATCAAACATAATCCGTTTCAAATGATAGAATATAAGCAAAATCTACACAGTATTCTGTACTAGGAGACGTCCATCACTATGAACACGATGAGCCATTTTTCGAAGATCCAGCGATGTGATGTGCTCTTTCGCTTCGATGTTTGTGTCCTGAAACAAGAATTTTAGCATTTCTAAAATCGCGTGAAAACATTAAAACTCACTGACGCAGGTTTTGCAATCATTCTCGAATGATGAGGGGATCTCGCTCGAACCGATGGCTTCCGAAGGTGGTGTTGAAGATCACCAAGAGCACGGATCGCCTAAAAAATAAGAATCTAATTTTTGTTTAACTAAAATGAACCTAGTTTTATTGGAATATTTAGAAAAATCAAAAAAAACTTCAACCTAATTTTTTTGAAGCTTTAAAATTTTCTCTATTCATATAAAATGCAAAAATGCGCATACCGTAAACAGTCTAGCAGCAGGCTCCCGAAACTATTTTGGAAGACCCATTGACTTTGAGAAAAATACAACCTTTATAAAAGGCACTTATGTGATCTTCGGAAAAAATTCAGAAGATGTTAAATTTCGATATTTCATAAAAATTTCAAGATATTCTTTCAATTTTGGATCGATTTTGTAAGGGTCTAAAGTTGATAAAAAAAAGGCTCTAACTTCAGGTCGATTTATCTGTGTAGCTTCCTGTGATAACTATCAAAAAGTGATCACCTGGCAAGGACTCATAAGGAGATTGTGCGAACATTAAAGACTGTACACCGTCACGTCAGACTGCATACCGCGACTTCAAAAAAACTCCGAAAAACTTACATTTTCAGTCTCCTTGGGAATACTTCTTTGATTGATACTAGTAAACGAATGAATCGTTGCTTGATAATCATCTCCTTCGGAACTTCCTGATAGGAACACAGTCTTTTTGCGTGGCATCGGAGGAGATACTGGACTCTCTGCATTCATGAATAATCGTCTACACTCCGCCTCCTCATCATCCTCTTCGTTATTCTCTGCTTCCTGACAAGCCACCTCCAGAATCTTATCCAGATCATGCATCACTTCTCGAAGTTTCTCAGGCGTACTCCCGAATTTCTGAGCCACCAGTGATACCAAATCTTTAACTGTCATCATTTGTCCTCCATACCAAATTTCAGCCTCTTCTGAGTCTGAAACCTTCCGACCGTAGTAATGAATCCACATGATTCCTCGTTGTAGAGAGGAGAAGAAAATCAGCATTGTGGCGACTCCAGTGCAGAGGTAGATCATAACAACGGCATATTGAAAAGGGCCTTCTGGAGTTGGGGAATAATCTCCGTAGCCGATTGTTGTGATGGAGATGAAACTAAAGTAGAAGGCGTCTAGGAAGGGGAGTTCATCGATCCAAAATGAGAAAATGAGACTTCCAATGAAGCAGTGAGTGGCTAAAAGGATTGCAGAGGTGTACCATCGGAGGTCCGTTTTATTAATAGCCTGGAAATTCAGAATTTTTCTTTAAGACTTCAAGACATATATCTAAAACGCACCTCTTTCAAACTGAAACTCCGATGAATAATATTACAAATCTCCAAAACCAACATGCTGTTTGTGGCGACGGTCATAAAAAATAGTGGGATTCCAATGAGACAGTACAATATGCATAATATTTTTCCTTGATCATCAAAAGGTACAATATTACCGTATCCTGAAAAATAGGATTTCGAGTTTAGACGATTTTCGGAATTGTGTTTTTTATGATCCCAGATTTTGAGTTTTTTTTTTCAAAGGGGGGGGGGGGGCAGGAAAAATTATGTTTCTCGAAATTTGTTTCTTATAAGCTCATTGAGGAGTTGGCCACTATTTTAGGAGAAGCACACATCGCATTTTTAAACCCATTTTCAAGTTTTTTAACCCCGATTTTCGCATTTTCCAATCATGGAAACCCTCAAAAACACTGAAAAAAATAAATTGCCACCGGTGGGGTTTGAAACAGGGACCCCTATCCTCGAAAGTGTCAGCTGAAAAATCCACTCGGTCATTCAAGTACTTTTTGAAAAATAGATAGGTAAACGGTTTTGAGACAATCTATATGGTTTTATGGGTTTCAGAGCCGATAATTCAAGTTTTGAAAGCTAAATTCTTCTCTAATTTTTTGTTTCTAATGGAAGTAAAAAAACAATACAGATATTTCTGTTTAGTGGATGTATCTACAGTATTCTCGTTTTGACCTACCTATTGTGGAAATCGTGGTGATACAAAACAAAACACTATCCAAAAACGATGCCTCTTTCTCTGTTGATGTGTGTCGTAATGTGAAAATATTACTTCCAAAAAGTATATAGCTACACAAAAACACATTCAAGAACAGGACGTAGATTGAGGATCGAATGAGCTGAAATAATTAAACTTTTTCTATGTTTTTGACTTCATTTGAGACAGCGCAAATATGCTTTAAGACACCATTTATTTAGTTTCAGCTGAGCCAATTTGCATTACAGTACCTCTTGTTTAACCCTCTTTTTGGGACAACACTTGTCCTGTTGAAACTGATCTCTCCAAATGTGATAGGGACGATCCAACCATGATGGCAGGGTGCGTTTCTTCTGAAATTTCGTGTGTACAGTAATTAATGATAATTACCTCTAATTGGGAATAATTGGTTTTAAATTGTTTCGTCGAAAAGTTTTCTCTCGCAAAAAATGATACAAATTGATCTCATAAAACGGGAGGAGAGAATTTATTACTGATAAGGAAACTTCCAGTTTTCATCGAGAGAGATTCTAAAAAAAGAGAAATCGGTTAATCTATCAATTGATTTTGGTCGTTTCTGTGAAGTATGATCATTTCGAGACAATCGATTTCCGGAAATTCGGAAATTCTTGATCTTAAAATAGATTAAGAGAGGTGATTAGTTACAAATGATAAACAGTATGTCATTTCGGAATCATATTCTTTTATTTAAGGAAACCCCGACAAGGTTTACGGTGTTAAAAGCGCATACTCTTTTGTCCAGGAGATTTTCGAGCTCTTTGAAGCTTTTGAGGGGAAAATTGAACTTTTATTCGTTTCCCAAGTTCTCACTGAAAACCTCAAAACTGCTATTTTCACAAAATACTATAACACCTCCAAAAATTCGTGAGCAACATTATAAGACAGTCTCCATCATGTATACCTATTCGTGTCAAAAACACAATATTTCCTTGTTTTTTTTAAATTTTTGTTCAAAAACATACAAATTCGAATTACAGTCAAATTTCCTGGTTAAATGAAATGGGTGGTATTTGTTTTGGAACATTTTCAGCAAGTTTTATAGTTTTTGATCTATAGAACGTTAGAAAATTTACAGTATATAATCTTAAAGATTGGTGGAATATAAAAAGCCTAGAACCTCATGTACCTTTAAAGTTTAAACTTTCATTCTCAAAAACAGCAAAAAACAAAAAAAAGCCAGTAATAAATCCACCGTAACCCTTTCAATATAATGTCCTTTAAATCATCAAATAAATTGGCTCAACTTTCAAAGTTAGAGGGCTACGGTAGCCTGAGAATTGTAGCAGTTTCGCAAACTTAAAACCATAAATAAATAAATAAAAACTAACCTTTCTTGTCTTCACCACTATCGGATTCTCAATCAATTCATCCTTTTCCTCAACATTTCTTCCATTTTCTATCGTTTTCTTGTCACTGCCACCTTCTTCATCGTGAAAACTCATGTTACCTGCAAGAGAATCGAATACACAAAATGACACTCTCAGAATAGAACTGGTAGAAAGAGATCAGGATCGTAAAAAACCCCCTTAACACGAATTGATACGAAAATGGGAATGACCTAGACACGGTTTAAAGTTTTTGTTTGCCTTCTGCACACGGTGACTTTTTGAAATTCAATAAAAAATATACATTTTCCACCCAAAAAACGACTATACTCATTAGTCAGGGTGGCAATTGGAAACTAGAGATCATTGAGATTGAAGAAACGCAGAGAATTAAAGAAAAGGTCAGAATTAATTTTTTGAAAAAATTGATGGACAGAGGGACAGAAACTGGTTATGAGGTGACAAAATGTATGAGGGAAAAGGAAAGTTTTCTGAACTATAAAAAAAAGGACTTTGTGTAATGGAAATGATAAAGGAGGTTGGAAGGAGGAGGAGACAATTGGCTAATGGATTCTGAACCACGTGGATAGGAGGTCACTTCTTATAGGGGAAAAGGAAACTAGTTCAGCAAAAAGAAACGAACTGTTTTCTTATGATATCTAGAAATTTCGAGAGAACTTATGAGTCATCTGAAATTTAGAAATCCTATGAATCAATGCGAAAAAAATGGCTTGAAGGTTTAGAAGATTGAAAATGAAATTTTGGAAATTGTACAAACAATTTACGGTGGTGGTGTTCGCAAAAAATTAATGCATACAGTAATCCAATTCTGCAAACACCACAACGTCAAAATGCGGACTGAACGCTTTACCGTAAGCACTCTCAAACCGTTAACTTTGAGCCAATTTATCTCGGTTTCTGTGAAAGATATCAAACAGTGACCAACTGATAAAATATAGGTGATATTATGATAAACATTTTGTCAGTTGACCACTTTTCGGCATCTTTAACAGGGAAAGAGATAACTCAAAGGTGACGGCTTCGGACATTTAATTAGAGTTTACAGTAATCTAAGCGACAGATTCAAATGTCGAAATCTTTCAGTTTGTAGAAAATTTCGGCAACTTGAAATATAAAAAATTAACCGATCTTAAAGATTATATACTGTAAATCTAAAGACATTCTAGACCAAAAACTGTAAATTTTCGAAAAGTGTTCCAACACAATTACCACCCACTTCATTTAACCAGGAAATTTGACTGTAATTCGAGTTTGTTTGTTTTTGAAAACAAAATTGAAAAACAAGGAAATTTGGCAGGTACACATAATTGAGCATGTCTCAAAATATTTCTCACGAACTTTTTATGAGCTAGTACGGTATTTTGTGTAAAATACAGTTTTCAGGTGTTCAGTAAGAATTTGGAAAGAGCTCAATTTTATATATGCGCCGAAAACGAGCTGAACACAAAGAGGAAACAAAAAAAAATGAATTCTAGGGCATAGTTTTATGAAAGAAGTAACGGCTCAACTTCATAAAGTTTTTGCTTGAAGGCTTACGCTTTTTTTTAAACTACAGTATACCAGAAACTTTTGAGCCAATTTATCTTGGTTCCTGTAAAAGATATAAAAAATAGTCTACTGACAAGGTATTTTTGATGTTATAATAAAAATATTGTCAGTGGACCACTTTTTGGCATCTTTAACAGAGAATGAGATAACCAAGCTCAAAGTTGAATCTCAAGTTTTAAAGAGGCAAATACAGTTAGAGTGTATCGTTGTCGGCGTCTTTCACCTAGTCAAACTTAAACTAGCCTTGGGGGATTTCATCAGAGTTTTAAAGTTATATAGAATCTAAACTAACCTGCATTTGTCGCAGCCTCTTTTCGTTGAAATTCGTTGTAGGCGGCACCTGCAAAATCTTCATTTCTATTCCAAAAAAATTTTTTGCAAGCGTATTGAACGAGACACATTTTTTGTTTCGGATGGACATCGAAACGGAAATGTCATCTTCTGATAACTTGACTCTTTATCATTCTTCGCACGAATCGCATCTTCATGTTCTTTTTTCTTTTTCGTCACTTGAGAAGATAAAGGGAAGAGGGGTCTAAATTTAGAAGCAAACTGTATGTGAGAAACAAAAGAGAAGGAAAAGGAAAAGAGAGAAAAACAGAAACATGCCAAAATTGAAAACTTATTTGTTATTGTTATGAATAGGTCAGACTGGAAAGGGCAAGGAAGGGTGGTAATGAAACGACTGTCTATTTGTTTTGGCGCCAGAAAATTTTGCAAAGGTGCTCTAGCGGACAGAACCTTTTTTTTCTAAATCAATTTTCTTTTCTGACCATCAGGAACGATTCTATTTTCTCTGTTTTTCGAAAGAGATGGTCAACGGTTAGACCATTAATAATTGTAATGAGTATGGGAAAGGGTCGTAAATTATGGGAAAAAGAAGAAATTGAGAATCGGAGTAAAAATGGATAGTTTATGATTACTAACCACTAAAACATACAAAAAATTAAATAGATCCAGAATCTCAGAACATCATTTGGAAGTTTTCAAGGAGGGGGAAATAAAAAAATAACTTTCTAAAATTTTTGGTCATATAAGCCTGGACCTCAATTTAGAAGGAAAATCAAATTTTCGGCTTTTTGAACTGTTTTCAAGTTTATCAACCACTAATTTTGAATTTCCCGAACTTGAAAACCATCAATAAAACTTTTAAAAAATAAATTGCCACCGGTGGGGTTTGAACCCGGGAACCCTAGCCTCAAAAATTTCAGCTGAAAAATCCACTAGGTCATTCGAGCACTTTTGTGAAAAATGGCTAGAAACATGTTTTTGAGTCATTCTTCATGGTTTTGGGGGTTTCAGAGCTGGGTTCGAACCTGGGGACCCACAGTTGAAGGTGCAGCACCGCTCCCAATTGAGGTTAATGTCGCAGTCTTCAAAACAGACCGTGTACATCAAAAGAGTACGGTAGTCATACAAGCAAATGAAAGGAGTTAGCACCGATTTTTGTACATCATAACGAAAAATGACATGCTTTAGACCCAACAGATTGTTCAAACCTTAAGGTCATGTCCGATAGTGCTCTAGAAATCCCAGTTTTGAGGAAAACTGCAAATTTTTGAGGAAAACAGTTTTGAGGAAAACTGCAAACAACACATCAAAAATTTTGAAAGATTCAAGTTTTTGGAATTAAAATTATTTTTGAAAAAAAAGGAAAAATTGCTTCGATTCAAAAAAATATGTTTACGAAAGTCTCTATTTTTGTGAGTCATTCCAAAGAAATTACAGGGTGGTTATTAATTATTGAGACCAATCGTGCGAGCTAGATATGATACATAGCAGACGCACTAATATGTGTTCTTGCACATTTTTCTTATTCCTCTACTCATTGTGCATTTCCCTGCCAAATTTCATCACATAATATCACGTCTGAACTGAATGGTGGCTCTTTTTCCAACCCTTGTTTCGGTCAACAACGGCACAATTGAAAAAGGTCTCATGATTGATCTTACAAAAGCAGTCCGCGTGGACAGCATGTTGGTCGAAAGTACTGCCCATAAATGTTTTCTTATTCACACTGACGTGGGCTATCTAATAACAGATTTTGAGGTATCTGTGACATCAGATACCATCGTTATAGTCGTGCAAAAGAGGATTTGCTGAAATTCAGACGAGACTCACAGAAAGCTCGCTGCTGACTTCAAAATGGCCCGAAGCTTGATAAAAGTTATCTTCAGAAAAGAACAACTTCTGGTCTTTCTAAAAATACCAAATGAGTTCTCTGTGAGGGGGACACCAGAGATTTGTGTCTCAAAAAGCCTGGAACTTTCTAAGCGGCACGCGCCTAAACACTCACACAAGGACACTTCTTTCGGGTGATAATTTTTACAGTCGATGGCAACAGGGTCTCTTGAAATTGCAGAACTCTATTTAAAGATATGTCATCCTACTCGAAAAGTTAATATAGGGCGTTTCGACAAGATTGAGCTACGGTTTTCAGTGCCAAAGACACCCTAGGGTGGTTCAAACTCAATTTCCCGTAGTTGAACTAGGCACACGAATGGATTGATTTCTACCCAGACTTGAATCCAATAAATTTTTCATTTTTAGGGTATTGAACCCAGATAGTTTCTTCATGAAAATACAAAAACTTCTGATGACCCCCCTTCAGAAGATATGGGCACAAAAAGGTCGAAAATACCTCCGTGCCGTGGTTCCCTCTTTTCCGAAGCTTCTGAAGGCTGTCGTCAGAGTGAAATAAAGTGTATTTGAAAACTTTTGCATTATTATAAATTTTGTGCGTCTGAAATTATTTTATCCAAAATTTTGAAAATTTTCATCGAGTTTTAGGAGAGTTATGAAGGCTTGGATCGGTGTCAATAATTAATAGCCACCCTGTAAACAAAAGATCAAATTTCCTATTGCTTCTACTGGCCTAAGAAATTCTAGTCCACGGGAACCTGCTAGGTAAAGACCCACTGGAGAAGGTGGCCTAAAAAAGTTTCTGAAAAGTTTCTAGGCCCTTACATACGTCAAACTACAAACGATTGTGTACAAATCATCTGAAGCGATGACTCATTTCGTTTTTTAAAACATGATGCATCTGAATTTTGTCAAATCGATACAAAAAACCAATTTTCCAGGTCATCGGGTATCAAAATCATATCGAAAACTAAATAAGAGACAGAGAAAGAAGTGTCACTATGAATTTCAATCAAAATTCTATTTTCTCGCGCCTTTTGACTGCGATAACGGCTTCAAGTATTCAGAAGAGACATGACGTCATTTGCAATTCTTTTTCTAAAAAAGTTTGAGAAAAAATCTGGAATTTTCAGAGAAAGCGGATCCTGGTGGTATTCGTTGTGTGGAGGCGGATGTGTTGTGTTTTAAAAACATTTTTATATTTTTGAAATTTTTTTCAATAAAAAAAAATGAAATAGAATTTTCTGGAAAAAGAACAATGACAGCTGTGAAATTTGAAATTTTTCATTTCATCTGAATCAGCTCCAAAAATGCGCTTCTCCGTCGTCGAATCGTCCGGAATGCGCATCTGCCAGCCAGCTGTTGTCTGGAAAAAAGTGAAATTTTATTCTTAAAAATATAAATCTTTCTAGAAAAATGTATGTCTAGACAGGTGTTCATCAATTTGGGGGGGTTTTGCTCAACTTTGACAAGGTGAGAGACGCAGACAACGATACACTATAACTATCTGCGTTTCTTAAGCGTCAACTTTGAGTCAATTTATATCTCGTTTCATGTGAGAGATATCGAAAATTTGTCAACTGATAAAATGTGTGTCATACTACAGTGCGCGTCATAATGATAGCACCACCTCATTTTTTGAGGTTTTCAGAAAAACAAAAATTTTGGAGAAAAACAGCTAATGCCATTCGATTCAGCATCACAAAAAACCTATGTGTCCCCTGAATCAAGTGCCAGTCAAGTGTTTTAGGACTACAGTAAACAAAAGTCTCTATGCACACCGCGTCATAATGATAGCACCACCTTGGAAAATGGAAAAACTCATGTTTATTTGAGAAATAAATTCAGAATGTTTTGTTGGAATACGGTAAAATAGTCTTAAAACAGTCTATTTTGACAGTCTGCACAAAAATTGATGTTTCTATTTAAGTTTTAGAAAAACTTATTTTCAGACATTTTCATCATTTCTTGGGTTCCTGGAATAAATCTTGAATAACTTTGCTCCTGGGTGATATTTTGAGCTGAAATTTATAGGACATATCTTGGGAATGCTCGTTGTCATGTTGCAATTGTTCAAGGCATCCATGAGCTCTGGTAGTTCATAATTGAGATTGAGCTGTGAACTAAAAAATATGCCAAAAATGAAAAATTTTCAAAAAAGTGTAAAACGTTCAAAAGATGTTCTAAGTTACCAAAATCGTTTTTGACATTATGATTTCGTACAGAAAAAAGTTTTGCTAAACAAATTCAGTTTTTAAAAGAAAATCAGAACCACCGAAATTCAAGGCTTGTTTTCGATATTTCGGGTTTCCTTAAATTACAAACGACGACTCAGAATAGCATGAAATTAACTAGTAGACACTCCAGACCACTAAACAAATATGTCCTATAAATTTCAGCTCAAAATGTCACCCAGGAGCAAAGTTATTCAAGATTTATTCCAGGAACCCAAAAAATGATGAAAATGTCTGAAAATAAGTTTTTCTAAAACTTGAATAGAGACATCAATTTTTGTGCAGACTGTCAAAATAGACTGTTTTAAGACTATTTTACCGTATTCCAACAAAACATTCTCAATTTATTTCTCAAATAAACATGAGTTTTTCTATTTTCCAAGGTGGTGCTATCATTATGACGCGGTGTGCAGAGAGACTTTTGTTTACTGTAGTCCTAAAACACTTGACTGGCACTTGATTCAGGGGACACATAGGTTTTTTGTGATGCTGAATCGAATGGCATTAGCTGTTTTTCTTCAAAGTTTTTTGTTTTTCTGAAAACCTAAAAAAAATGAGGTGGTGCTATCATTATGACGCGCACTGTAGTATGACACACATTTTATCAGTTGACAAATGTTCGATATCATTTACAGGAACCGAGATAATTGAGCTCAAAGTTGGCGCTCTCGTTTTGAAGAGACGCAGAGAGTTAGAGTGTATCGTTGTCGGCGTCTCTCATCTAGACAACATTAAACGACTCTGTTAGTGTTCTATTAGTGCATATCCCCAAAAAACAAAGAAGTTAGACTGCGGCCGAGTTTTCCAGCTTTTGGAAGTTATTTGTAAATATTCTAATTAGACCATGGCCTATTTCTTAAATCCCCATGGCAACCGCTTACAGTGTCATACACGTGTTACACGACCGTCTACAGTTCTCAGGCATCCATTTGTTTTTTGCACACTCCCCACGTCTTGCCCAAGCCGCACAATCCTTGTGGTAGTCTTGACATTCTGAAAAATTCGTATTTTTCAAGATGGAACTTTTTCAAGGTCACTCACGCCCATATGCATAGTTCGGTCGGCACACTCCACAGCTCACTTTGCATTGGCAGTTCATGTATTTTGAGTTCGACTGAAAATCAGTTAATATACTGGACTAGAATTATCCTAGGCCATCGTTACCTGGCACTCTCCGCGCTGAGCCCATATCGGACAGCATTGATCCTCATTATAACACATTGGAGAGTCACATGGCTCATTCTGTTGTCGGTTATTGACACTGGCCGGAGGATTTGCAGCTGAAAAGTTGTTTTTTAATTCGTGGCCTACAAAATTGCTTGGTCATTCATTTACCAATATTATTAGCTCCAACGCCACACGTTGCTGCTCGGGTAACGCCACACTTGTTACAGGATTTTCTGCAATTTTCGGCCATCCAAAGTGGATTTTTGTTACATTCTCCAGATCGGGACCACTGTGCACAGTTTGAGTGACGGTCAGAACATTCTGGAAATGTCTGGAATATGTCTGTGTGTCTGTTTGTCCACTTACCAGAATTAAGGTCGTATTTTGGTGTGCACTGTCTACAAGAGGCTTTGCACCAGACGTTCATATAGACTGGGTTCTTTTGACACTCCCCTTTTGCGGACCATGGACCACAACATTCGTTTTCGTTGAAACAAGTTGTCTGGAATGGTTTTTTTTTGTGAATGCGCTCTATTGAACTTTGGCCTATAAATGTCTACTTGTACTTTGAGCTCAATTATCACAGCTCCTATGAGAGCTATCAAGAAATTGTCAACTAAAAAAATGTTTACAACAATTTCAAAAACATATTGTCAGTTGACTACTTTTTCATATCTGTTACAGAAACCGAGATAATCAAGCTCGTAACACGCGTCGCTTCTATCTATGCGGTCGGCGCAGTTGACTGCGCCACCACTGTTCTTGCACTTTGAGCTTAATTATAGCTTATAAATCGTTATTATAATATCAAAAACATTGTTTAAGTTGACTACTTTTTCGCCAAGCTCGCTCGGACCAAAATTCTGGCAAACGCGCTCTAACGAACCTCTACAGTAACCACCGGTTTCGTTGGCGTAATCGTAGGCGGTGGTGTAACAGTTTGTGACACAGCGACGCATTTTCCACCCTGACATGTTCCCTGATAGCATGCAGGTTCTCCATTTGTAAAACTTGCACAATTACCACCAGTCTTCATACGGGCGGCACATCTCGGTGCACCATGGGATCGGTCACAAAACAAATATCTGGAAGAGAAAAAACTAGGCCATTGGTAACAGTTAAAAAACTCACGGTGATCCACAAGTGGGTCCAGCATTACAACTAGGTCTTGGAGCAAATGAATAGAGGTTGTCTGTGTACATGTTGCTTAGGCCATCCGCGTTTCTCATTGGAGTGAATGGTCTCATGAAGGCTGCTCGGAAATGATGCTCACTACTGCATTGTCTGTTGTCAGCTGGATAGGCGGTTTCCCGTGTGGCACGGGTCTGTTAATTTAAGGAGTTTAGCGGTAAAAATCTATTTTTCGGTTTCAAAAACGCCGCAAAGCGAAAGTGTCTAGTTGGTTGAAATGAAAAAGTTGATATGGCCTAGAAGTTTTGTTACGGAAAAGTTAGGCTAAATTAAGCTCAATTAGAGAGACTGGAACTTACGATTAGCTGAAAAAAAAAACGAGAGTCCTAGCTTATCTGTGAAGCCAGTACAGACTCATTGAACTTTGGTTAGGTGATAGACGCAGACAACGATACAATCTGACGGTCTGCATCTATTAAAAAGTTTAGCGTCAACTTTGAGCCAATTTATTTTGTTTCCTGTGAAATATATCAAAATGTGACCAATTGACAAAATATTTATGACATTATCAAAAACATTTTAACAGCTTCAGCTTTTTGATAACTCTTGCAGGAAACCGGAAAAAATGACTTAAAGTTATAAAGACCCACTTTACTTTCTACTTTGAGCTGATTTTTCTCGTTGGCTGTGAAAGTTATCAAAATGTAGTCAACTGAAAAAATGGTTTGGACATCATGATAAATAATATATTATCAGTTGACTACTTTATGATATCTTTTAAAGGAAACGAGATATATTCCGTTAAAGTGTTACGTCATCCAAACCTTTTTTTTTCAGAAAATTCTTATACCTGTCTTGTCTGTCTATACTGTTCCCATAACAAATCCACAAACGAGTGATGCATCCAAAAAATGGGATCATTCGCAGCAGTTGACGTCTCCAGCATATCGCCACCCACATAAATGTGTGGATTTCCATGAGTGTATTCCGGTACGTTGAAGTTTGGTTGATAAGGACAACCCTAAAGAGAGACTAGAGTAATCATCAAACTCCGGGAGAATTTGATTACCCGCTGAGGTGCGGAAAATGCCAAAACCTGAGCAATGTCAGTTTGCCCCATCATTGAAGTGATCTCATCTTCCGAGTATCCTTTTCCCTGCGCACCAACTGCACGTGTGATTGTTGCCTTGTTCTGGAAATTGTTGAATTTTGAGGCATTGGTGGAAAGTTAGACCACCTCAATAGTCCTCCAACTTCTGAATGGTCCATTGTTGACTGCACCGGTAGCATCACCCATAAACTCGTTGGTCCATAGAATGGAATCTTTAGAGTTTGGAAGATTTTGATCCAGTGTGGAGTCCCAGTACGGTAGATGAAGCGATGGATCAACCTGTCTGATCAAAAACTCCATTCTTTTCACGAATTCCCGATGCCATGGAAGAAAAGCGGGTCCCGAATGGGCAGCTCCACTTTCCGAGTACTGTGCATGGACTCTGGCTAATCTGTCGTATTCTCCATTTTGTTTCAGAGTACGGAATGCCTGATGTAGACGATTTCTTTCATCTTCTGACAGCATTCGATACTCTTTACGGACCACTTTTCCTAGGGGACGACCCTGGACAACACAGTTGTTTCCGCCGGTTCCTGAAAGGTATTTTAAAGGTTGTTTGCTTTGTTTTGGTAAAGCTATTGGGAGTTTCTAGGTGAAGCCTCTATTAGAAGGAGGCGAAATAGACTCGTTTCACTTTTGCTCAAGGAGAGAAGCAGAAAACGATACACTTTAACTGTCTGCGTCTCTTCAAACAGAAGCGGCAACTTTGACCAAATTTATCTCACTTCCTTTCAGAGAAATCAAAAAATGTTCAACTGACAAAATATATTTGCTATTATGATGAACATTTTGCAATTGACCGAGTGTTGATTGCTCTATCAGAAAGCGAGAAATATTGATTCAAAGTTAAAGCTCAAAATACGCAGCCAGTCAGTGTGTATCGTTCTCTGCGTCTCTCAAAGTTAAACGAGTCTGTCTCGACTTCCAGATAAGCTAGATGTCTCGTGTTTTTATAAATTACAATTATTATTTTCAGATTCTCATTATTTCCTGGAATTTCAAAATCTCCTACCTCTAAAGAAAACACACAAGCACGAAATATCCATACACTGAAACACGTTACTAGCGATCGGAGAAAATTCGGCAGCCATTGCTTCTCCAGCGATTCCAGGTGTCTTCACATCTGCAGATAGAGTTGGTGTAGTCTGAAATGATGCTCCATTGAGAATTCAAGAATACAAAAAAGTAATAATAACCCTCGCTTTCTGATCCCATCTCTGAATTTGGTTACAAACTATTCGAATCGCATCGGTGGGAGCTTTTGAGCAATCCAGCTGTCCATTGGAAGACTGAATCAGGAGAAACAGAAGAAGAAGTATACAAATTCTCTTCATTTTTCCACTTTTGAAGTTGAAAAACACAAAGAATTTTTTGATTTGTTTTTGATAAGTGAGTACTTCATTTTATAGACGTATCACTGGAACTGCACGCCTTCTGGAGGACCTGTTTTGATGAAAAAATAGAAGAAGATAGTGAGATTAAAAAAACAAAACAGAACACAGAATATTAGGGGTGAATTGTGTTTGTTTTGATTTAGATGATTTAGTGAACTACCAAACTTTTGGAATTCGCGGAATTTGGTCTTTTTTGTTTTGCAGTCTTTGCATAATTGCGTATTTTCAGGTTCTGCGGTTCGAAATGTGTGTAGTCTGAAGTCTGAAAATTCTGGAATAGTATGTGTTTTCTCCGAAATCTGAGTTGTTCAAAATCAAAAAACTTCTAACTTCACCTTTAGAGTTTCAAGAAAATTGTCAGAAATGTTGTGAGATGAATTGGAATTGCTTTTTCAATTGGGCGTCTTTGGTTGATACCGAACTGGGGTCACTGGAGTATTTGAACATTGGAATCGTAGGTTTTGGATTACTGTAGATTATCATGTATGTAAGATCGTCGAGCCAGTCACGGAAATCGAAGGGAATCTAAATTCTTTACAGAAAACTGAGGAGGGGAATTAGCAGTAGAAGGATAGGTTTTATATTTTCTGTGTAGTTAACATTACTGGAGCTGAAATGTGTTTCTGGAATATTCTTTTAACTGTCAATTGGATCTCTTCAACATTGGCGTTTCACTGAACAAAACAAGAAAACACAAGTTTGACCAAAAATTGATTTATTATTTCGTGCGAACAGTGAATGGTCAAAATGAAGTTTTCAAAAATTTTCTTTGGAGACCTTGGAGTTGTTGAATTGAAGTGTTTGGAGTAGTTGGAATGAATGATTCTGAAATAATTGGAGATAGAATTGATTTCTATGGGTGTTTGAACTCACAGGTACAATGTTGTTGGATACAAAGTTTTCGATAGACAAGACCCCGTCCGAAAGTTGCAGAATTATTTTCAAAAATGGATTTAGATGTTTTAGTCAAAAAGTAATTAATATATTTTTAATAAATTTTTTTCAAAAGCGGGTTTAAATTTTTCACCAAAAAGCAATAGAGAATTTTTAACCGAAGTGAATTTTTCAACGGTTTTGAGATTTTCACCAAAAATGCGAAAAATATAAATATTTAAATTTTTTTTGGAAAAACGAATTTGGCTTTTTGCCCAAAATGCAGTATAATTTTTGTTTAGAATTCGTTTCAAAAAACGGAAGAAGAATTCAATACTAAATTTTAAATCAGAGTTCCAATACTCTTGGCGACAGTCTTGTACTAGCCATTGGTCTTCTCCGATTGGATAGTGGAGTCGATGGCGGCGAATTATCTGGACTGGAAAAATTGAGCACTGGAGGTGGCTGTCGGACTGGTGTAGAAGGAGAGCCTGAAATCTTTGGAGAGATTTTAGGAGTTTTAGATTTTGGAGAAACAGTTCTAGGTTTCTTAGTAATTGGACTCTTTGGAACTTCCGGTGAAACTGAACCATTACGGATTTCAGAACACTCGGAAGCTGGTTCTTCAGATTCCCCTCTAATCTTTAAGCTTCTCTTTTCTCTTTCTGTAAGATTCTCGAAGATCCGTGGTTCATTCAACAACTCAACACACGATGGACGTTTCGAGGCATCAAGGTTCATCATTTTCTGAATCAAACTGCGGAGTTCGTCACTTCGTCCATCAAAGAAACGATCTGGAATCTGAAATGTTTTATACTTCACCCTATACTCTGCATCAGTGTCCAAATGGAGATTAGTTGTAATCTCGAGGAATGTGATAGCGAGTGCATAAATATCAGATTCCATTGACGTCGTATTATTCAGGAGAACTTCCAGAGCAAGATAACGAGAATCTCCTTCGATTCCCTTGGAACAATCGACTCTTCTCATTAGACCAAAGTCGGCTAATTTGAAAAATCCATCGGACCCCACGAGGATATTTTCTGGTTTTATATCATTGTGCAAGTATTTGTTTCTATGAAGAGCATGAAGTCCAGACAATAAATGTCTCACAATTTTCCAGATGGTTTTCTCCTCCAATCCATTTTTTGAATATTCCAGCAAGTTCGTACGGCACAACTCCATTTGAATATATATGAAGTCTTTTTCCAGCCAGGCCTTATGGAATCGAAGAAGGTTTGGATGACGTGGCAAATGATGAAGCATTTCAACTTCCTTGAATTTGTCAGGGTCGCCAGTCTTGACTTCTTGCTTTGATTTCTTAATAGCAAAAACATCTCCATTGTTTTCACCACGCCAAACATCGCCGAAATCTCCGCTCCCAATTTTTTCCAACTCCGTAAAGAGCCGATCTAAAATGGACATCCCAGCAACGTATCCATCCAACTCAAACGGAGTAAGGACACCTATAATATGTTAAGCATTTAAAATGTACGAACAAAGACAAAATCAACCAACTCACCATTTTTACCAATCAGCTGTGGTCCTAACTTCACCTCCTTCGTCCCCCGGATAGAAACTCGTTGTTTTGTGCTTTTCTTTAGAGATGGACACTTTGCAGTTTCGGGAGTTTTCTCGCGTCTTTCAGCCTTAGTTTCTAACATGAATGTCTGAAAAAATGGAAAGAATGATTTGAGTGAATTATAGAAAGCTAAAGGTAAAGTTAAAAAAGGGGGATAGATGTTGAGAAGAAAGGAGAGAGGAGGTTCTGCGGAGAGGATGAAGGTGGTAAGAAATACAGTATACTTTCGGGGTTCCGAAAATAGTTAGACTTCAAAAAAAAGGTCGATAGTACACTGAAAGAACTGTAGATTGTTGAAGAAAATCAAAGAAGTTTTGATACAAAGAGATTTCTTCAAAGGTTTATCGGAAACGCTTGGAAACGGGGCCAATAAAGATGTCGAAATAATATTTTTATAAGGGATCGAGTAATTTTAAAAGCTAACTTTATGCTTCGTTTTGGGATTGATCAGAAATCGAAATGCACATGAAGTTCTTTGATAGTTTCACCGAAAAGTAACTGGCAGAGAGGAAAGGAAAATAAAACGGTTCGCGGAGTCCTAAAATTCAAACGGACATGGAGAGAGGGGATCATTCAGTAGATAAGAATGAATGAGGAAATTGGCAAAAACTTTATGTTGGGCTATGTCAGAAAATGAAGAAGGTGACAAAGAATAACGCGTTTTGAGAAAAGGAATCAAATGGGGGAACATTGATAGAGACTCCTGTAACGCTAACAGGTTCTAAAAAAAGTATTGGAAAATAAAAGGGTTCAAACATCGATTTGAGAAGGAAGAAGACTCCCAAGTACTGAAAATCAGAATACTTGGAGAGCGGAGGATGAGACGACCACTCGGGAGACCGAACAAAGTAAGAATGAATGAATGAATAAGGAAAGTGTGAAATGATGTCTCACTTGAGTGGGGGCGGAGCTAACGACGCTCCTCCCAGTTGGGACTTCTTGCCTCCTGGGAATGAAGCCCTCTCATGTGTTGTACCAAGAACGCGGGAGGGACTGTCAATATCCTAAACTATGTGTTCTTCCGGGAAAGAGAGGGTATGACACCGCAAATTATAACAGGCGCATAGAAATATTGACAGTGGGTTTGGTTCATGGGATCTGGTGAGAACATGTGTATTGGAGAAATACAAGTTTGTGAATCTGAAAACAATCAGTGGTGAAAAATGGAACTTAAAAATTCTAACATTCAGAAAGAACGTTTTAAACTCGGTAAATGTGGGCAACTTTGGGGCACAAGTTGGGTGAATTGGGCTGCAGGCAGATTTTGATCTAAAGCTGGGCAGAAGTTGGGCAAAAGTCCAACGGCGCGCAGAGGGGCAAAGCTGGGCAGACGCTGGGCAGAAGCTCAGAACGTTGCGGTGATGCAACATTTTTTAACGGTTATGTGTTTTAAACATATTTTCCATACGTTTTCTATGAATTTTCTTACGATTATATCTGACTTTTTTCAAATACTGTTAGTTTCTTATCCTTTTTTTCAGTTTTCCACGATAGAACAGTAGGATGAGTTTCATCGATGAGTGGAATCGTGCCAACCGAACAAAAAACGAGAAGCCATTGGTGAGCATAGAAAATGATGAGATTTGTTATGTTTCATTTTGAGAGGAGAAAAATTTTCTTCAAAAATAGATATTTTCCAGGCAACTTCTTCGCACTTATCATTTTGACAAGAAAATGGGATTCTCGTCAATTGCAAGGTGAGATGACTAATATTCTTTATATCAAAGCTAAAATTCAACTTTTTGCAGAAGAGATCGGAGTGTTCAACATATTTGACGTGGGAAGAGTACAAATCGAAACTCGGAGTTGAAGACCCAGATGATTAGGAGACAACGTCTGGAGATCTTATTAAAAACACTTCGTTTATCGTATTGTTTTTTCGGTTCCGGGACATTTCGCAAGCGGACATTTCGCAAGCGGACATTTCGGAAGCGTGGTAATACAAGCGAATGGATGAATTTCAGCCTACAAAACCGATTTTAGGGTTTTCAAATATATATGTTTTTTCTGATAGGACACATTCTAAAAATCAAAATATTCGAAAAAAACTTTTGAAAACATTAAGTATTTGTTTTTTTTCGGATTTCAGAGTGTTTTCTATCAGAAAAAAAGCATATTTGAAAACCTTAAAATTGGTTTTGTAGTCTGAAATTCACCCATTCGCCTGTATTGAAACGCTTTCGAAATGTTTGTTTGCGAAATGCCCCGGAGCCGTTTTTTCTAACATTTTGACTTTTTTCTGTTTTCTTTTTCTGTCTTCCATCCTTTTCTGTTATTTTTTCTAATTCCTAAAATAAACTAAATGCTGTTTAGCAAGCTAGCAAATCTCAAAATGTTCCAGAAAGAGGGGTGAAGAGCGGGAAGGGAAGGGACCAGAGCGGGCTGTCTACAAGTGGGCAAACGCTGGGCAGAAGTTCTCCTAAGCATTTGACCTATGAAGTGCTAGAAGTTGCCTGGAGTTGGGACAAAAGCTGCCCAGAGTTGGGGAAGAAGTTGCCCACATTTACCGAGAAGGTCCATTGCGTTTGGAGGTATTCTGGAACCAGTGTGGTCGTTAAGGACTAGTATGCTATGTTTGTGAAAGGACCTTTTAAAGTGTTGTAGGATATTCATGCTTTCTTACTTAAAGTCTTTGTTTATTTCACGACGGTCCAAATTATTTGGAATAAATATTTGATATTGAGACGGAGACTTTTTAAAACTAAATGTACTGGATAGCCAATAACGAGCCTGTAGGACCTTTCATCGGTGTCCCCTAAAAGGAATTATAGTGTACAGGCGGCTAATAAATAAGTTCAAAAACTGTATCCGTTCTAGAATCCTCTCATCTTCCGGTAAAACGATACACTGACAGTATCCTCTTTGAAAATACCGTTTCTGTATTTCTCGTCCCCTGGCGAACGAAGCCCTCTCATGTGTTGTACCAAGAATGCTAGAGGGACTGTCAATTTTATAAACTATGTTTTCTTCCGGGAAAGAGAGGATATGACCTAGGAAATTATATCAGATGCATGAAAATATTGACAGTGTGTTTCCAATATTCTAAAAAACGGTTTAAAAACGGTAATAATGGTATAAGGAGAGAACATGTGCGTAAGAAGAGCACATGCTCTTGAATCTATGATAGAAAATAGGGTGGTATCAGGGAGGAGAATAAGGACTCGTTCAAATAAAAACTAGCGGAATATGAACTGCTACAAACGGAAACTGTTAAAGTGAGAACTGCTTCATGAAAACTCGAAAAAATAGGTGGGACCATTGTTTGTGAAAGGATCTCTTTTGTTCTTGTAGGATGTATTCTCAAAAGGTTATTTTGTTTGACGACGAACCGTCGCCAAACCCGGTAAGATATTTAAGCGGTGTCATCCGAAAAGAATAATAGTATACAGGCGGCTAATAAATAAGTTCAAAGACTGTATCCCTTTCAGAATCCTTTCATCTTCCGGTACGGCGATACAGAGGTGCATTATCAGAAGAACATCAGCACTCCTTGCTAAATATCTTCCGGTCTGTTGAGTTTCCGTAGCATTTGTAGAAATCATCATATTTTACAGGTCAAATACGAGCATATCATTGCTGTAAGAACTCTACCCTTCAGGAGACACTTTACAACAAACTGATCAAATGTGAAAAACAAAATAGAATCACTGAGAAGGAGGGAAGCAAGATGTGTGACCTCTTTTTTCAGAAGGACTGAAAATCATTAGGTACAATTTTTGGAGGACATCGACAGACGGATCAAACGAAAATAATGAAAAATAGCTCATAATAATTGTTAAAACGGGTTTTTTCTTGGAAGTTGGCCGGCCCTTTTCATACAGGTTTTACGGTATACCGTAAAACCTGTCTTAGAAGGGCCGGCCCTTATATTTTTTCAAGGTACCTCCGGAAGGCCCTTCTGTTACAGGTGCACTTCCATTAGAGGGGCTCTTCTATTCTTCCGGCTTTTTTTCCAGAACTTCTCATTGAAAAATTCGACGAATTTTTTCTTTTTTTAATTTTTAATTTCCAGAGTATCCTTCACTGAAAACGTACGGAAATTTCTTACATTTCCAGACAAAGATTTTTGAGGGAGTCGTTCTATTACGGGGGCCTTCTATTAAGAGGGTCCTTTTATTAGAGGGGCCCTTTTATTAAAGGGGCCCTTCTAACACAGGTTTTACGGTATTTCCAGAAATATCGAATTGAAACACTGTTTATATGGAGGTGCGTCTTAGTGCCTAACTGCAAGAAACGAAAGTCTCCAAGTATTTTTAAAAAGTTGTAAAATTGGGTTATTGATGAGTGGGAATGTTAATATTCAGTTTTCTTCAGAACGTTGTAAAATTCTGAAAAATGGAAACCCATGTGGAGAGACACGTTGCAAGATTACAACCAAAATCTCATAAAATAATAGTTTTACCACACAAACAGACAGAATAAGATCATTTTGAAACTGATATAATCCAAATAGTAATTTTCCTGGGGCCGGTAAATTTTCAAAAGAGCTCTTTGATCATTTTAGAATATACTTAAACTTCAACATTGGAATAGATCTCTTCAGTAAACTCAATATGACACATTTCCAAAGAATGGCTTCTACCAGTTTTTTCAATCCCAACAAGCAATCCATTCCGAACCAAATGTGTTTCCCTTATCAGGATTTTTGCTTCGCCTCAGAAATACCATTGTTTTTTCATACTTGGAAGCGGACCAGCCCGGGCATGTGGCGGGCCGGCTGAACTTGTCCCTAAAACAAGATAATCAGACGGTTTTGGTACCGAATGATAGATCTCGACGGGGCCCACCATGCCTATATCATTCAAGCCGGAGTCTGGTCCGATAACATGTCCAAAAATGTGTTTGAACAACGAAAAATCTGATTTTTGTCAGGTTGGTCGAAAATTGCCATTCAAGCCCAGCGTGTTACCGGAATCGAATCAGGTCTGAATTATATAGGCGAAAGAATATTCTAGGGACAAATGATCACCAGGCCCCGCTTGCAAGCATGTTTTTTCTGTACTGTCCATCCCTCTTTCCACATGGTGTGCCATTATCTCGGACTTTACAGCATTCCCAGCAAATGAAAACAACGTTCACATAGTTGGTACCATTATTCTTATTGATATGTTAAACAGGTTCATCATAGAACACATAGTAACCACGAACATGAGGAGGAATCTTGTATGTCTCAATGATGCCGGATGGGACCGTCAATGTTAACTATGTGTTCCCTGATGAGCCTGCCACAACAGATCATTAAAAACAATGGTGCCACCAACTATGAGAACGTTGTTTCGATTCTCTGGGAACCCATGTGAAGGGAATAATTAAGATCGATAGAAAGAATGTAAAAAGAGGACATGGTTAGTATGGCAAACAAGGAATTCAAGACAAGCCAAAGAATCGAAGAAAACAAAAGTTTGGGATTGGGCTATTTTCAGACTGGATTGCATGTTGGGATAAGTTGGATTTCACCATTCTTTTTATATGTGTCGTATTTTGTTGATAAAAGGTGACTGAAGAGATCGATTTCAGTGCTAAAGTTTACGTATACTCTAAAAAATCAAAAACTCTTTTCGAAATTTACCGGCCCCATGAAAATTACTATTTTGCTTATATCAAGGTCTTCGGGATGTGTATACATACTGTCTGGTAGATAAAAAAGGCCGGGTCTTATAATACACTGCGCTAGAACCCATTCATCGCCTAAATTTTTTTTAGAATCTCAGGATTCTGGAAATAGAAAATTCAAATTTTAAAAAGTAGTAAAACGTTTTTCTGGACGGTGAACGAAATCTGGAGTTCATCAGAAAAAATTTAAGTGGAGGGTTTTACAATTTCCTAACTGAAAAAAGCCGAATTCACCATCTACATATTTTGAAAGATAATAAGATAGGAATGCTCTGTTGATGAGTGGGAATCCTTATCTTCAGATGTCATGAAAACGTTGTAAAGTTCAGAAGAATGGGAACCCATGTGAAGACACGGTGCAAGATTACAAACAACATCCCAGTTCTACAACACAAACGGACAAAATGTCCAATCCCACACTGATTAGTGTATGAAAATTTGTCGCTGATCCTGATTATCTCTGTTTAATTCATCTGACGATGCTTTCCAAAATCCATTCATACAGATTTTCAGCTCCTCTGAAAAAGAGTTCACACATCTTGCTTCCCTTGGGACGAGAAATACAGAAACGATATTTTCAAAGAGGATACTGTCAGTGTATCGTTTATCGGAAGATGAAAGGATTTTGAAAGGGAGACAGTCTTTGAACTTATTTATAAGCCGCCTGTATACTATTATTCTTTTTGGGGGACACCGATGAAAGGTCCTACCAGGCTCGTTATTGGCTATCCAGTACATTTAGTTTTAAAAAACGCTCAGTCTAAAAATCAAATGTTTTTTCAAAAAGTTTGAACCGTCAATTAAACAAAGACTTCTAATAGCAAGTAAGAAATCTCACAATACCTTATAAGGTCCTTTCACAAACATAGCATTCTAGTCCTTAACGGATACACTGGATCCAGACGCAATGGGCCATTATTTTAGGAGAGGAGAAGAAAAAATAAAAGCCGGTCCTTCTAAAACAGGTTTTACGGTAAACGTTCTTTCTGAATGTTAGAGTTTTTAAGTTCCATTTTTCACCACTGATTTTTTTTCATAGATTCACGAATATGTATTTTTCCAACACACATGTTCTCATCAGATCCCATGAACCAAACCCACTGTCAATATTTCTATGCATGTCCGTTTGAATTTCAGGACTCCGCGAACTCTCTCCATGTCCGTTTGAATTTCAGGACTCCGCGAACCGTTTTATTTTCCTTTCCTTTCTTCCAGCTACGTTTTGATGAACATACCAAATACACATTTCGATTTTTTATCATATCCAAACAAAATATAAAGCTAGCTTTTAAAATTGCTTTCGGTCCCTTTTGATATATTTGCCATTTTCCAAGCGTTTCCGATAAACAGTGCCTTCCCTCGAGGAAATATCTTTGTATCAAAATTTCTCTGATCCTCACCAACTACCAACGGTTCTGTCAGTAACTATAGATCTTTTTAGAAGTCTAAACCTTTTCAGAACTCCGAAAGTATACTGTATTCCTGACCACTTTCATCCTCAAACCTCCTCTACCCTTTCTTCTCAACATTTATTCACTTTTCTTTTAACTTTTGCCTTCTATAATTCACTCAAATCATTCTTTCCATTTTTTCAGACATTCATGTTAGAAACTAAGGCTGAAAGACGCGAGAAAACTCCCGAAACTGCAAAGTGTCCATCTCTAAAGAAAAGCACAAAACAACGAGTTTCTATCCGGGGGGGACGAAGGAGGTGAAGTTAGGACCACAGCTGATTGGTAAAAATGGTGAGTTGGTTGATTTTGTCTTTGTTCGTACATTTTAAATGCTTAACATATTATAGGTGTCCTTACTCCGTTTGAGTTGGATGGATACGTTGCTGGGATGTCCATTTTAGATCGGCTCTTTACGGAGTTGGAAAAAATTGGGAGCGGAGATTTCGGCGATGTTTGGCGTGGTGAAAACAATGGAGATGTTTTTGCTATTAAGAAATCAAAGCAAGAAGTCAAGACTGGCGACCCTGACAAATTCAAGGAAGTTGAAATGCTTCATCATTTGCCACGTCATCCAAACCTTCTTCGATTCCATAAGGCCTGGCTGGAAAAAGACTTCATATATATTCAAATGGAGTTGTGCCGTACGAACTTGCTGGAATATTCAAAAAATGGATTGGAGGAGAAAACCATCTGGAAAATTGTGAGACATTTATTGTCTGGACTTCATGCTCTTCATAGAAACAAATACTTGCACAATGATATAAAACCAGAAAATATCCTCGTGGGGTCCGATGGATTTTTCAAATTAGCCGACTTTGGTCTAATGAGAAGAGTCGATTGTTCCAAGGGAATCGAAGGAGATTCTCGTTATCTTGCTCTGGAAGTTCTCCTGAATAATACGACGTCAATGGAATCTGATATTTATGCACTCGCTATCACATTCCTCGAGATTACAACTAATCTCCATTTGGACACTGATGCAGAGTATAGGGTGAAGTATAAAACATTTCAGATTCCAGATCGTTTCTTTGATGGACGAAGTGACGAACTCCGCAGTTTGATTCAGAAAATGATGAACCTTGATGCCTCGAAACGTCCATCGTGTGTTGAGTTGTTGAATGAACCACGGATCTTCGAGAATCTTACAGAAAGAGAAAAGAGAAGCTTAAAGATTAGAGGGGAATCTGAAGAACCAGCTTCCGAGTGTTCTGAAATCCGTAATGGTTCAGTTTCACCGGAAGTTCCAAAGAGTCCAATTACTAAGAAACCTAGAACTGTTTCTCCAAAATCTAAAACTCCTAAAATCTCTCCAAAGATTTCAGGCTCTCCTTCTACACCAGTCCGACAGCCACCTCCAGTGCTCAATTTTTCCAGTCCAGATAATTCGCCGCCATCGACTCCACTATCCAATCGGAGAAGACCAATGGCTAGTACAAGACTGTCGCCAAGAGTATTGGAACTCTGATTTAAAATTTAGTATTGAATTCTTCTTCCGTTTTTTGAAACGAATTCTAAACAAAAATTATACTGCATTTTGGGCAAAAAGCCAAATTCGTTTTTGAAAATTTTTGAAATTAGAAATTTATCGCATTTTTGGTGAAAATCTCAAAACCGTTGTAAAATTCACTTCGGTTAAAAATTCTTTTGCTTTTTGGTGAAAATTTAAACCCGTTTTTGAACAAAAATTGATTTAAAAAAATATATTAATTACTTTTTGACTAAAACATCTAAATCCATTTTTAAAAATAAATTGGAACTTTTGGACGGGGCCTTGTCTATCGGAAACTTCGCAGCCAACAACATTGTACCTGTGAGTTCAAACACCCATCAAAATTTATTCATCTCCAATTATTTCAGAATCATCCATTTCTAACAACTCCAACTACTCCAAACATTTCAATTCAACTACTCCAATGATTCCACAGAAAAATTTTGAAAACTTTTTTTTGACCATTCACTTTTCGCACAAAGAAAATAAATTAGTTTTTTGGTCAAACTTGTGTTTTTTTGTTTTGTTCAGTTACAAGAATATACAAGAATATGCAGGAAACTGTTCTCAGCTACAGTAATCCACAGTTTTCACTACACAGAAAATGGAAGACCTATCATTCTACTGTTAGTTCTCCTCCTCTGTTTTTTAAAGCATTTAGATTCCCTCCTATTTCTGCAACCGGCTCGACCCAAAAAGTACGATTCCAATCTTGAACTACTCCAGGGACTTCAGTTCGAGATCACCCGATGACGTCCAAATCTGAGGGACGGGGTCTTTTCTATTTCAGTTCGGCATCATTGATTCATTTTGAAATGTGGAAAGGGTCCCAGTCATCTGAGAACACATAATTTAGACAGAGACACTTCTCTCATAGAATTTTTGGAATGAATAGGTTAAGACACGGCGGTAAGGTCCCACTTTCTATGCATTCTCATTGTCTATCTAGAAAGATTTCTCTTTTTTTTTCTACGATACAGCTCGGGACAAAGATGAAGGGGATATTTTGATGAAATTTCAAAAAAAAAAGAATGTTAGAGTGTTATTTTAAAAATTCAAAACTTATTTGCCAAATTTCATTCTGATGACATATTCCGTTGTAAGTTACTTGAAACCAAAAATGCGTTATGAGAAGCCCTGAAATGAGAACTGTGTCATTTTAAACCCGCTTATCTCATTAAGACGAATTTTCACAGAAATGTTGACAACTACAAAAATGAAGCTCTATTTTTATTTAGTATACTGTGAAATCTTCAGGCAACTCGAACAATTCTGGACTACTTTTGTAAGAATTCAAAGATGACTGTTTTTCCCTGAAAATGTCGAAATTTGATGATTTTTGTCTCAATTCTAAAATCCCAACATTGCAAACAAATCAAAGTTTAAGAATTCAAATTTATTAGGTAACACCGAGTTCACACAGAATCCTGAATACTGTTCTGAGATGAGATCAATGATTTTCTGCTCCTCGGAGTTCCATCTTCAGGTGTTTTTGATGCCGCATCAGATCCCATCTGGAATACGGTTTAATGGCCTAGAAAACCAAAACTAGTCCCCCTCGCCAAACTCACCGATTTTTGAGACTTTTCTCCTTTTTCACTGTCGTTCTCAATTCCAAAATCTTCTTCATCCTCGTCGGCTCCGATCAGCTTTCGAATGCACATGAACAAAACAAAGAGAGTGATTTGAATTCCAGCACAAATGCAGCAAAAAATGAGGGTAAAAACGAGTAGTAGGGGTGCGAGCACTGTAAAGTTATGTTTTTTATTTTATGAAAAAAGCAAAAAACATCAGCCCAGTGCGGGGCTCGAACCCGCGACAACAAGATTAAGAGTCTGGTGCTCTACGTAGAGGTACCGACTGAGCTAACCGGGCGGCGAGAGAATAAGTGCCAAATGATGCTTAGAAACGACGCGTCTTGCCTACAACTCACGGTAGCCCTCTTCACTCGCCCATTGCGCGTATAAATCAGTCGAGTTGACGATCGAATCGTTTGTATTTTGATCAGGAATGGTCAGAATTGATATCACTTTATCAACTAGTGCCATGATAAATCGAGGAATGGGATGTTTTTTTTGAGGAAGGCTGCTGGATAAAATAATTTATTGAAACTGCCACGAGAGCGAAAAAAGATAAAGAACAATGCTCTGAAATTCCAGAGAGGTTATCCTGGTGGCCATTGAAGTTGGCGTCCTCCCATAACGTGGAGATGAAGATGATAGACCGATTGACATCCGTCTTTTCCGTTGTTCACGACCACACGATAGCCGTCGGCCATTTTCAGCTCTTTGGCGACCTGAAAATTGAGTATTGTGTTCTGTGGCCTAGAAAATTCTCGAACCTTGGCAGCGGTGACCATAAGCTTTCCGATGAGCGCAGCGTCGGAGTCAACGGCGTTTTCGAGCATATCGATACGACGTTTTGGGATCACCAGGAAGTGAATTGGAGCTTGTGGAGAGACATCGTGGAATGCGAGGGCCTGAAAAGAGAGTCGTAGAATCGATTTCTCAGAAAAACGATTTTTTCTATCTTTAAAATAGAGGATATTCCCAGAGCGAGAACTACGGTAACCTGAAATTTTTTTTCCCCATTTTTTCGCAAATAAATATGAAACATTTTTGGGTTACGGTAGTTGTCGCTGTGGGACCACCAATTTTCAAATGTTTGGAAGAAAATCTTTCGGCAACCTTCAGATTTTTTTTGCGATATCAGAGTTTTAAAAATCTCAATCTTCGGAATTTTCTACCTCCTCATCTTCAAAAATGATTTTCGCCGGAATCTCCTTGCGAATAATTTTTCCGAAAATCGTGTCGTTTGCCTGCACATCCTTATTGATGGCGGCCAGTTGAGCCTTATCCACTTCGGACATTTTGGAAATAAACCTGGAATTGTGAGAAAATTACAGCGAATTGTGGCAATTTTCGCCTACCGTAATGAAAGATTACGGTAGGCTAAAAAAGTGGTCCGGCAAATGGTCTTAGCCAGTAGCGCAGACGAACGCATGCTATAAATTAAATGTTCAAATAAAAAAAAGATTTTTAAAAATCGAAAAAAGTTTTCTCGACTTTTGAAAATCGCAATATTTCAAAGAAAAATAGGTAGAAATCGACGAAAAAACGTCGGAATTTTCCGGAAACTTCTGGAGAAAAAATAGAGCAAGATACAGAATTTATTGTGAATTTTAACCAACGAAATTGCTCTCGAGAAAGCAAAGATGAATCAATTTTTAGAAGGAAAAACAAATTAAACGGGGACGCAGAGGGGAAATATTACGGGGGCAAGTGTTACTGATTAACAGGGTGGTTGGAAAGAAAATATCGAATTTTTCGAGAAAAAAAGAGGAATTTAAGACAAAATTGTACACAAAAGAAGACATGAGAATATATATTATTTAGAGAATGAGTGGTGATTTTTTTATTGTTGTTGTTGGGGGAATGTGATGTGAAGATGATGATACGGCGAGAGACAGTTATCACAGTTTTTTCGCTGAAAATTTGAGGGATTTGAATTTTTCATTGAGATTTAATTGAGATAGTTTCGTTGTGGGACGCCACTGGCGTTTCTCTTCCATCGCTTCAATTTTTTAAAGCCAGAATGATATTTTAAGGTCAATTTTAAGGCATTTTTGCAAATTTACAAAAGTTCTTACCATTCATCAAATAGCGACTAGCCGAGAGTGGCGGCAACTCCTCGACGTTTCCATCCTTATACTTCCGAAACGCCTCTCCACTCCGTCCGATATGTAGATTTACAGTACCCACTGCTTTCCGATGTGACGCCCATGCGACCAAATCAAAGTCCGCAGTCATATCAGTCTTCAAAAATGGAACCAGTCGATCCCATGGAATCGATACTCGCACTCCGTTTGTCGCATGAAGATAGTAGAACGTTTTGTCTTGTTCGTGAGTGGATTCCTCTTCTGGAAGGTGGAAAATCTCGAGAGCGCCTTTTCGGGTCAGGGGAATCGTGACTTTCATCTCGACGAGGCCTCCGAAGCAGCGAACGAGACGTTTGAATCGATCGAATTTCGACTGGAATTCCGGTGCATATTGCTTCATTCGCACTGAAAATTTTTGTTTTTTGATATTAGGATTTTTTAAAGCCTAATTCTTCCCAATTTATTACTCTCGTCCGAAATGAATGCACGTAGCGGCCGAAAATTTACTCAAAATCGCATCGTCTGTCGCACAGCGAAAACAACAAATTGATGCATTTAAATACCGTACCTCGGCCGTTTTCTCTTTTGGGCCTTATGTGGCTGTTTTTTCTATTTTATAAGAAAAACAAATTGAAGATTTATAAGAATTACACAAAATTAGACAGAAATAAGCGAAAAAATAAGAGAAAAAGGCAAAAATTCAATAAATGTTGAGGTACTGTATTAAAGGCGCATGCAATAATTTTAAAAATAGTAATGTTCTCTCTGTGGGAGCTAAGCTCCGCCCACCGTTGTTTTCTCGGCCGCAACGTGCATTGATTTCGGACAAGAGTAATAAATTAGGACTTCCATTTCGGTCGGTCGAAAATCGTCAACAGCCGACCGAAATCGTACATTTGCTCGTCAATTGTGTAAGAGTGTTTTCGTACGCTGCGGTTTATTTTTTGAAGTTATGCGAATTTGAATGCTGCGTACGCAAACACTCTCTGGCTTTTTGACGCGCAAATTCAAAAATTCGGTAGATTGATTTTTGACCCACCGAAGTTATGATTATTTCTAGCCAAAATCTTTCCCAATTTAAATAGATTCTCACCTGCAATATGCGAATACGGAGCCCTTGGCAACAGCTCATCCTGCGTCTCCATTCGTCTCGGCGAGATTTCAAAATAGGCGATTTGTCCGAGATGGAGTGGTTCGTGAACGCCTTCGCATTCTTGCTCATAGAGCAAAACGTTCTGGACGTCTCGCTTGGCAGTGTACATCACTGCGATTCGATCGATCTTCTGCACGACGACACAGAGAGCAGATTCAGGCTGAAAATTCAGAATTTTCGAATCTCGGAACATCAGAATCTCTCACGATCTTAGAAACTCGAATTATAGAGATCTAGAAGTCTATGAATTAAAAATTTTAGAATCTCAAAAATCCAGAAAATTCCAAAAGTCGATAAAATCCTCCTACCTTTTGATCAGTCCTAGCCCGTTCCTGTTGGAACCTTTGATACGTTTTTCCAGAAACATCCTTCAAAAACTCCTTCTTCACCATACCATGCGTCCCAAGCGCTCCATCGGTGTCCTCATCGTCTATCTCATCGTCTGACAGCACTTCTTTGGATTCTGACGGCTTCTGTTGCGTCGTCGTTTCCTCTTTTTCAGCCATCAGCGTCGTTTGTGGCGGTGCTGGAACTGTGTCTTGTGTGAGCGTCGCTCGACTGATACATGCGTCGATTTGACGTAGTTCGCGTTCAGAAGATTCCGATGCCATTGTCGCTGAGGTGGAAGGTTGGCTGAAAAAGCATCGTCACCTAAGAACTCATTAATCTAGAATCCTTGGTCAAAAAGGCTGCAAAATCGTGGCCTAGGAACTCAAAAATATATAATTTTAGGCCGGAAAGGTTATCATGACCTAGGAACTAATACATTTGGAAATCTAGACCGCATATCTCGGCCAAAAAACTCACTTCAATCCAACGCTTCCACCAAGCTCATCAAAAAAATCTTGTGGCGGTGGTGGTAGTGCATGTTCTGGCGGTTGGACATAGCCGTTGCCGGTCATGATCTTCAATAGTGCCGGATCGCAGTCTTCCAACCATTGAATGTTGAAATCTACGAGTGGAGAGGGAAGCTAAAAATCGAGATTTGAGAGAAAATTAGTGATAAGCGATAAGCGACAATTTTGAAATTAGCATTTTAAAAATCCGACAAATTGACTAACTTTTCGTTTTCCATCTGGGATACTTACTGCATCACAACTGAACTCCTTCCGTTGATCCTCGGTTACTCGTAGTGCTACCCAGCCTGCCATTGATGCTTGGGCCTGGAAAGTTTGCAAAAATCAGAATTTTTCTTTTTTTTGCGCTTCAATACCTCGACAATAAAAATGCGGCCATTGAACCAATCGTTGCTAGTGCTGATCAGTTTATAATCATCGATAATATCACTGAACATTATATCATAACTATGGACCGCCCATCCGCGAGTTTCGTGGTCCGGAAAGACGCGGAAGCGACAAGTGACCTGGAAAATTCGATATGGTTTTTCTGATTTCAGGTTTTGAAATTTTTCAACAATGAGAAAAGGGGTACTGTAATTTTGAGAGCACATGGGAAAAACTGTGATTTTTGTGTCTTTCTTTTTTAAAACGGACTTCAGTTTTTAGTTTTAGAAAAAATCTAAATTTTCTTATTATTTTGGTAGAAAATCGTAGCTGGAAGGTCCCACAACGACAACTACCGTAACCTTAAATTTTTTCCGTTCATTTTCTCTTCTTTTTTCTTAAGCCAATTTTCTTACCACAACTTCTCCTAAACTCGGATCCTCTCTGGTTGGCAGATACCGTACACACGTGTACATCGGATCAGGCAAATCGTCTCGATCTTCGTATCCCTCACTATTCGACCGATCCAGAAGGACGTCTCCGTTGTAGTTTGGAATACTTACAGTGATTCTGAAGACGGAGTTACAAATTAGGAGCACAGTTCTGTTGTGAAGGCGATTAGGGGTTAGGGAAGAGGCCTTCCAAAAACATTCACCAAAACTCCCAAATTTGTCTTACCCAAGCCATTGTCCAATGAACAAATCCGGCACTTCATGACTAATATGACAGAGGCCACACTTGGCGGAATACAGTACGAAATTGTCTTTTCCATCTTTGCTTTTCCCAATTATCACTCCATGTATGAACGTTTTGTTGGGCGATTCGGGCCGTTCTCGTACTGGATATGATATCGATTGGGGGATTTGTTGATGTTGAATGACTGCATGGTAGTGCGGTGGAATTGGTTGGGGAGGAGCCCGAGCGGGAGTTGGTCGCTGCTGAAATTTTGAGAAATTCAGAAATCCTCCAAGTTGCCTTACGAGTCTTTCCCCTAATTTTAACTAATTTCAAATAAATTTTATAACGATTTTATTGTTTTCTGAACTAGTTTTCAAATCCATACTTGATAGACTTGTTGAAACTGCGCCTGTGGTGGCATCTGCTGATAGTACTGATTGGGAGGCATCATCGGAGGCGCCTGATAGTAATAGTTCGGAGGCATCATGTTCATAAATACAAACGGTCGAGGTGGGCCGGGCGGATTATTGTAATACTGCTGCACATTGGGATTATATTGATGCATATTTGGATTATATTGTTGTTGGGGTTGCTGAGGCTGCTGGCCATAATTTTGCTGATTCTGCTGATAATTTTGTTGAGGAGGAGGATAATTTTGATTCGGATAATTATTCTGATTGGGATAATTCTGGTTCGGATACCCGCCGTACATCTGGAAAAGGTATTGAATTAAAGGAAAAACGGAAAGATGGGAGAGAAAAATCGATTCGAAAATTGAGTTTTGATATTTTTCGAATAAAAAAAGTATATGATCAGTGAGCGGTTCACACAAGATCACCAAAACCTAAAAGAGTAGAATATAGAATAAAAATTAGAGAACATAGAGAAAAAGCTGGTATTTCATTTCAAAGCAGGTGCATTACTTTATATCTATATATATGTCAAGAGAGGGAGAGAGAAATGGAGAAACATATAACAAAATTCAAGGGGAAAGGGGATGAGAAAAAAGGAAAAAGGAAGAAAAAGGGAAGGAAACGGGAAAACGGAAAAAAATGAAGAAAAATCGATTTGAGATTCGAGTGGAAGAAAAACGAGATTATTTCTTTTGGGCGGCCTGTTGCTGGGCTTGCGTAGCCATCATTTGGAACGCCTTCTGCATGTTCATCACCTTGTCACGTTGTTCTATCGACTTCTTGTTCACATCGGTGATGCTCGCCTCCACTCGCTTGCTGAAATTTTAATACATTTTGACTTGAAAGATGAGTAATGGAGAGAAAGCCGGTTTTGAGACAGAAACTTGATAAAATCAAGTTTCTGAGAGGTCTCCAGTGATTTTTTACGGTCAAAGTCGCAGAGGAATGTCTACATTAAGCCGAAACCAAGAAATTCTAGCAGCACAATTCTCCGAGAAAAAAATTTCAGTGAAAAAGTTCATTGCCCCCTTCCAGTCTCTGAAAGAGCGATTTCCGGCCTAATTTTCAGCACTAACATTTCAGATTCGATGAATTCAAGGCGTTTCTCGACGGTGGACCGAGCCTCCTCTAAATCCTGACGAACAAGGACAGGACCCATCAATTTGTAGACCTTCGAGTCCGAATCCATCAGATCGAGCTCCTGAAATAATCAACTACAGCTTCTAACACTGGCAGATTCCTGAAAATACCGCTTTGACATTTTTACTCTCCGTCAATCTCATTTCCATCTCCTGGCGACTGCTGAAGTATTTCTCGCGATCTAAAAACCGTTTTTCATCGTTTCAGAGAAAACTATATAAATACCTTTTTCGAGGGTCTTCAGCTTGCTAATTTCCTCTTCAAACTTTGCCATATCTGCCATTTTTGTTTGTTTTTCAAATGGGAAAATCCAAATAAGCGAGTTGAAATTTCGCGAAAAAACAAGTTATGCGCTAGCATCCCGAGAAATGGGTCAATAACAAATGTTGGCGCAACGACCATTTTAGGCGGAAATTCAAATCGAAGAGATTAAATGTAATAATATTCGAATGATTTATTTATGTAATAAATATGATAAGTAATTATCAATACAGCCACTTCCAAAAACGAATGTACCACACTTCTTGCAAATCACGAATGTATTCCTCTCGCATCTGAAGAAATAGAGAATTGAAATTAAAATGAAAACTTTTTAAATGAATTATTCAGTGTTTTACCTGTTTAGTTTTTGTCAACTCATTATCAAATTTGTAAATTTGCCCTTCTGAAGCACAAATTCTGACGGATGCCGCGGTGAGTTGCTGGAAAAAAAAGATAGAAATGTAAAATTCGCTCCAATAAAACTTTTAATTCTCAATAGAGCGCAATTATTTTTTTATTACAGTTTTACGACTCCAAACAGTATATAAAAGCCACCCACCGACTTCTCGTTCTTCTGTGTCTGAATAATGTCCTCAGATTCTGACTGCAGTTTGAACTTAATAAAATTTCTCCATTTTCGATGATCGTTTAAAATATTCTCAACGTCTTTTTGATTAGTGTCGGCTTCTAGAAGAACCTTCTCGTAAATCTCAAATCGCTTTTTGACCACCTTCTTTTGTTCGTCCATTTTTCTGAGAATCTCAGATTTTTAATTTTGTTTCCCTCTAAAAAAACCCCCCAATTTTCGGCTTTCAAACTCATTTTCAACTTTTCTAATCTTGATTTTTGAATTTCCCGACCCTTCCAACCAATAATAACACTTTTTGAAAATGAATTGCTACCGGTGGGGCAAAAATCCACTGGGCCATTCGAGAACTTTGGCGGAAAATGGCTAAAACACGGTTTTCAAGGCATATATATGGTGTTGGGGGTCCCAGAGCTGATTTTTTAGGTTTTGAAAGCTTAATTGCTCTGTAATTTGCTTTTTTTTCTTATTTTTTAAAGCTCCGAAACGTCTTGGTTCCCAAAATTCTGATTTTCCCGAAAACTCCGTGGGTTGACTAATACTTTTTTTGCAAGAAAAATCAACAACCCAATTATCAAATCAACAAAAAAAAATCACCTGTTTCCCTATAAAAATTAGAAAAACAATTATTTTGTTTTCTTGCAACAAAAAAAACGAATATTTTTCTAATGATTTCATATGCATACCTTTTCAGAAGCTCCGCCTCCTCCTGAATCCTCTTCTTTTCAGCCAATTGCTCAGCCTTCTTTCGCTCTAGTTCTCGTTTCTTTTTCCGCCATTTTGTACGTTCTCGAATGCCACGACTACTCATTTCCGATGAGGAAAATGAGCGAGTTTTTGAAGGAGGTCTTTTTCTGGAGATAAAGCATTATTGTAGAAATATCAGAAAAATATGCTTTTTGGAGATTTTCAAGATTCGGGATTACTGTAGAAAAATCATTGCTCGGAATTTTCAGAAAGTTGGGGATTACTGTAGAAAGAATTTGTGAGAATTCTTCGGTCTTTCCAGACAAAAAAAAAAAACAAAAATACTTTCTTCTGATTTCACCTTTTTTCCTTCTAGACAGCAGTTTCTCATGAAAATTTGATAATTAGAATTTTTCCAGACAGAAGTTATGAACTCTGAGTTTTTGGATTTTTTGAGACTTTGAGATTCAGAAATTTAATTCTAGAAAAACATTTTGAGATTTTCAACTAGTTTTTTTTCCAGTAAAACATGCTCAGTTTCAGTACCCTCAAGATTCAATACTGTCATTGCTACAGTAATCCAGACAACAGTAGTTGAATGAATTTCAGAATTTCAAAATTTCACAATTTCACAATTCCAGAAGTTCTGAATTATAGAATCTCGGAATCTCAGAATCTCGAAATTTCAGAATCTCGGAATCTCAGAATTTCCCATTTCCAGAAGTTTTGAATTTCAGAACTTCAAAATCTCAAAACATTCCAAATTTTCTGAATCCTACAGAAAACAATTCTCTTAATTTTGCCGTCTTCACAAGAACATCCTTGTCTACGGTGTTACAGTAATCCAAAAATTAAAATTACAGTAATCTAAAAATTTTCCTTTTAGAATATTCTTACAGTTCAGAAGTTTTGTAGAGTATCCAATGTCACAAGTACTGTAGTTTCAATTTGTTAAGTTACAGTACCCCCAAAATCAATACTGGGGTAGATACAGTATTTCTGAAGCAATCCAGGCAATCCAGAGTTGGATAAAAAATTCTTATAATCTAAGAATCTAAAAACTTCGAATTTCATGTTCCCAAAAAATAATTTTTTCAGAATTCTAAATCTCAAAAACCATCTTTTGGATCCTCCAAACCCCTTTATTTCTATTTCTCATTTCTTTCTGAGAGTTGAAAAGATAATTGACTCTTATTCTCTTTTTCTTCTTTTCTTTAAAATCCAAAAAAAACATCTGTCCGTTTTTCCACCACCCAAAAAAGGGACCAATTAGTCGGCGCCGACCTTTCTTTCTCACTTTTTTTGTCTCCAGAATCCTTTTTTACCTGGATAGCTCCTCCTTTTTCTTCACCGCCAATTTCTTCTTTTTTGCTGCTGCTGTTCCAGAAGCTCCGCCCCTTTGAGACGATCCAGGTGGCATTTCTCTGTTTTGTTCTTTTTGAAAATGGACGTTTTTGAGTTTCTGGACTTTTTTTAGTGATTCGTGGAAGATTACTGTAATATTGCAGTTGACCCTGTTTTTGAGATTCTGGGATTCTGAAATCCTGAGGTTCTGAAATTTTTGGATTCTGAGATTTTAAAATGTTTGGCCGGCTGAAACCTTTAAAAAATCATTTCTACTGTTTACTGTGGATCACATATGGATACTATTTTTTGGGAGTACTGTAACTTAACAAATTGGAACTACAGTACTTGTAACATTGACTACGTTACAACACTTCTGAGTCTAAAATTTCGAATTCTAAAATTCTGAAATTTTGAAATCATAAGTTCTGAAATACTGAAATTCTGAAACTCTGGAACTCTGGAATTCTAAAATTCTGCAAGTCTGCAGTTCTGTAATTCTAAAATTCCAACTTTTCTCTCGAAAATCTGAAAATCGTCTAAATCTTGTTTTGACTCTGAATTTCTGAAATTCCGAAATTTGAAAAAAAAATTTTTTTAATAGTTTTTGTGCAATTTGGAATTCTAAGATTCTAATAATTTGAGATTTTGAAATACTGAATCCAGAAAGTTAATGCTTCCATCTCTAGTTTCAAAGTACACTCATGAAAAATTACATTTTCTCAAATCTAATTAATATTTGATCGACACCTGAAAATGCGAAATTTGTTCAAAAAGTTTAATCAAATTCTAAAATCTATGAACGGGGAAAAGAGAAATCCCGAAATTTGTTCTTGAAGTGCTACATTTTTTCACCAGGTTTTTGAAAAAATAGTTCTTAAAGTCAGAGAAATTTTCAGAGATCAAATTCATCTTATTCCCCAATTTTCCTTTCTTTTTTTTTGTTGAAAAATTAGATCACGAACCCCCAAATAAATTGTTTTCAATTTTTTTCCAAAAACTTGATGTCAATTTTCCAGAGGTTTTATTTATTCAGCCATCTGGTTTTGGATAGTTTTTAAATTTTTCCAGAAGCGAAAACGTTTTTATCTGACTTGTAAACATCGAATTTCGACAGAATAGCTCTGGGAGCCTCCAGAACTAATTTTCGAATTTTTAGGTTTCCAATTAACCAAGAACTAGAAATTGGGGGAATTTAGAATGAGAGAATTGGAAGATTTTGTAATTTCAGAGAATCTGAGATTTTCATACTTCCCGATTCCAATATTCTAAGATTCTGAAATTCTGAAATTATGGAATTCTAAGATTATGAGAGTTTCAGACCTTCAGTTTTCTAAGGTTCTGAGATTCTGGGATTTTGAAGAAATTGTCATCAATTCCTCATCTTTTGCCAAAAAGTCTCAAAACTATTTCGAAACCAGTTGAGGTTTTCGGATGGTTAAAATCAACAAAAATTCAGTTCCAAACCCTCCAAATTTACTCTCTAGAAACCCACTTTACGTCACATGGGTGAGTCAATATGTACACGGACGGTTCTTGGATAACAGAAAAAAGAAAATTCGAGAAGAGTTTTTTGGAGAAACAACAGTTTGGTTACCAATTGGAAACTGATGTTTATTGTCGGTTTTTGTAGCGATTCTGGCTAAATATATTTCTTAATAAAAGAGTCCACTTTAAACCCATTTTCTCGATCCCTGTGAGAAATATCAAAAAGTTGTCAACTGCTAAATTGTTTATCATCATATCGTATAATAGGTACGCTTTTTCAATGATTTTTTCTATAATCGAGTAAAATTTTTTTTTTGAAAACCGAAGTCCCTTATATCAAAAATATTTCGTCTGTTGTTCCTTTTTTTTTATATCTTTTATAGGAACCAAAATAAACTAGGCCAAAACAAGGCTGTGCATAGTGCGGCCGCAGCCGGCAGCTGTCGGCCAAGAGTCAGGCGGGGTAGGTTGCCGTGGACCAATCATTCTGTTTTTTAGATATATCATAAATTCTTTAATTTCCCGGATTCCTGGATTCTAGAGATTCCAGTTTTTAAAGCTTGTTGGAATCTCAGAATCTCAAAATTAAGGAATCCTAGAATCTAGAACTTATGGTCCATGGATTCTGGAATCCATAACATCCAAAATTTGACGTTTCGATTTCTGATCAATCTTTCCCAAACCACCAGAATATCACATGAAACATATGATATCACCATCTGATCCTCCTGGAATTTTTTTTTCGCTTCACCAGAAGAAGAAGAAAAATGAAAGGTAGAAGAACCAGCTGTTGTCTATCTGACTCATTGGACAGATTTGTTGATATATTTTTGTTCTGGTGTCCACTTGAACTTGAATGAAGATCATGAGAGAATTGTGAGTTTTTTGGAGGTCATATTGAATTTTTAATAAGTTGAGTTTCATAATTTTAAATTTCCCAGATTTTCAAATTTTGAGCGTTTTCTTAGTAACAATCCTTAGAGATTCCGAAATTAAAAATTTTGAAACTATAAGTTTTGATTTTCAAGTTTGTGGGTTTCGAACTTCCAGAATTCTCAAAGTCCAGGAACCGTGAGAGTTACAGAACCTCAGATTTTCAGAGTCTTATTGTTAGAATAGTGCAAAAGTTTTGATTTGCCGTACATTGCATTCCTTGAAACCTGTAATAGAAGAGCGGTCAACTTTGTCCTAATTTATCCCGCTTCCTGCAAGAGGTATCAAAAAGTGGTAAACTGACAAAATATTTTTTAAATTATCATAATTAATTATGATAAACTTTTTATCAGTTGGTCAATTTTTGATATCTTGTACATGAAATGAGTAAAACTTGTTCAAATTTGTCCAACAACTACAGTACTCCTTCCACTTACAAAGGTGATGATTCGTGCTCATCTATCTATCTTTTTTTTCCATATATTTTTTTGGTATAGACAAAAGGGTAGTTTTTACTACAGTATTTCTACAGTCCAAGCAACTCAACGTTATAAAAAGCAATAATTTGAGCTTCAAACTTTGAGCTTGTTCATGGATATACCTGAAACAGAGGGGCCCTTTGCCCAATTCATTTCGATTTCCGTTAAGATTTTAAATTTCCCGAAAAGATATTAAAAAATGTTAAACTGACAAAATTTTTGTAAAATTTTGATAAACATTTTATCAATTGCTCAATTTTTTATATCTTGTACAGGAAATGAGAAAATTTTGCTCAAAAGTTCACATCAAAGTGTTCCAACTTTCCCAAACCCCTCGTTCTCATCCTCATGCTCCCCTCGCAAACTTCGTACACATCAAATCCCAAAAAGTTGCAAAAGTGCATGCACTTTTTTCTCCTAACTTACGCAATACTTTTGGAAAAAAAAACCCAAAAAATGCCTTGCCGTTTGCCCTTCGTCTCCCGTGCCAGTTACTAAAAAAACTTCGTCGGGTCGGCGACCCCCAGGGCAAACAGTCAGCCAGAAAAAAAACCCGTTCGTGAACCTCTCCCTTTTGGTTGGCATATTTGTTTAGTACATTTATATAATAGTGCAGGAGAAAAAAGGAAACAAACAGTCACCTCCAAAAAAAAGATTCCCGGTTTTTTTCGAGGAAGACATAGCGACAGAGCAAACTTTTTTTTTGAAGCGAGAATTTTTTGGAGGAGCATCGAGGCACACGGTGCCACCCGGTGACCATGCACTTTGACTGTGCAGCAGACAAATAGAGCAAATGATGCCTGGCGCGGAGCAAGTTAAGCGAGCTCTTTTCGGCATATAGTGAGAGGGGGAGACGCAGAAACGGTTCAGGAGTGAGTGACCAAGTTCATGTGGTGATAAGAACAATGGTGATAAGTATAGTTTTTGAACTATTGAAACGGTTTTAGTGGAACTTTGGAAAAAGGTCAAAGCAAGGTCAAATCAACAGGAGATGCGCGAAATTGAGGGTTTTTGAAAATTATTGAGCTAGATTTAAGGAGTTGGCTTCTCAGATTATAAGATTCTCAAATAACGACAAGCTCTATAATTACAGAGTATTGAAATTTTTATTATCTGATAGAAACAGAAAATTTGAATATTAGGAGACCTTAAAATGAAGAAATATTCCAACTTTTGGATTTTTGATACAAAGATTGACATTTCAGAAAATCCTATATTCTTGTAACCCCAGAATCTCAGAATCTCAGAATCTCAGAATCTCAGGATTTCAGAATCTCAGAATCTCATCTCCTTGAAAATTCAAAGTTTGGAAATTTGGATTTTCGATTTTTCAGAATATCGAAAGAAAAGTACTCTAAATTCTTCATAAAACTTCCCTTTCTATATTTGGACGTCTCCACAGAAATGTCCAATGTTGTAACTACTGTAGTTCTGAGTTTTTGGGTTACAGTACCCCCCCCCCTAAAAATACTGGATTATATACAGTACCTCTACAGTAATCCAGCAGTAGTCCAACGCCAACAAAAGATAAAAGAACTTGAATTCAAAGTACAATACGGAGTTTAACAACTTCGTGGATACAGTAACCCCTGTAGCAGGTGGTTCTTCAACTTTGACCCAATTTTTTTGATATCTCTCGCAGAAAACAAGATAAATTAGGCCAAAGTTAGTGGACCCAACGACCACAGTACTCCTTCAACTTGCAAAAGCGATGATTTCTGCTCAATTATCTATCTTCTTCTTTTCAACTATAGTACAGACGAAACGGAGCCAATTATTTAAAAAAAACTTCTGTCTCTAGACTGAAAATCTGGAAAATTTGAGCCATTTATCTATATGATACAATTCTCCGAATGTTGCCATTCCACATTTGCCCTTCTTTTCCCTCATATTCGTCTTCTTCTCCATCCTTCCAAAAGTTCCTCTTCTCGTCTCCAGCCAAAAAAGAGTGAGTGATAAGGAAACTGGTACCTCCTGGAACCGAGCTGACTCGGCGCTTTCGCTTTCTCGTGTATTATCTGGCGGAAAGAGCAAAAGCACTTTTTGTGATTATAGTGTTTCAGCGGTTTCTGGAGTACACATAACTTTGTTTACTACAAAAAGTTCCTTCTGGGATTTTTCATCTGTGAAAACTGTAGCTGGATTGTCTAGAATGCTGTAGCAGGATGATTTAAGATACTGTAGCTAGATTTCGTAGGATACTGAAGTTGGACTCTTTAGGGTACTGTAGCTGGATTCTGTAGAATACCGTAGCTGGGTTCTGTGGAAGCTGTAGCTTGATATTCTGAGATTTGAGATTCAGCAGTCTCGGATTCCTGGATTCTTCGGTTTCTGAAATTTCAGATTCTTGGATTCTTAGATTCCTGGATTTCTGGGTCCTTGGATAAAAAAATGTTTAACTGTTTTAGGGGACTACAGTATCTGCGACACTGTAGGATCAGTAATCCAGTATGAATTACTGTAGCTATGTTTATAGCTATTTTGTATTAGGTTATGTATATATTTTGTATTAGCTATTTTGTATATAGCTATTTTGTATTAGGTTATAAGGTAGGAAAACTGTATTTTAATTAGAATACTGTATCTGGACTCTAAAGAATACTCTAACTGAATTCTCTAGAACACTGGAATCTATTGAATACTGTAGCTTGAGGTCTGAGACAAAACCTGCAATTTCTAGTTTCCTGGATTCCTGGATCTCCAGAATCCCTCCGATCCATCAAAAAGTACACATTTCTCCGAAAATCTATTCTTGACTCATATATCAAGTTACTCTTGAACTCTTCTTCCTCACTTCCTCCTATTACTTCCTTAACTTTTTTTCTCACCGCCGCCGCCGCTGCCTCTATTTGAACTGGCGACCCCATGGATCGGCCGCCGGCCGACGGACGGTCCATTCTGGTACCAGGTTGTGTTCCTATTTGGATTCTTCTTCTTTTTTTCGAAGAATAAGAAGTTGAGAAAAACCATCGCGAATGGCTGGTTACGCAAACTTTTGGCGTGTGTCTCTTGAGCAAACAAATCATCAGAATAAGAAGATGAGAAATTGGAGAAGAGCGTCTTTGAGAAGGTGTCAAGAGATTCTGAATTTCGAGGTCATTCTTCCCTGGAAATTGGGTTGAGAGTTTTGGAGGTTGCGTGCTGATCGTCCAAGTTAGGTTGATGAGTGCCTGGGGGTACTGTACCTGCGCATCGTCTAGTTGTACTGTACTATCACTTCTTCTAAGAGTACTGTACTTGCTTATCTGGATGTCATTTTCCTCTGGAATGTGGGTTAAGAGTCTTGGAGGTTGCGCGATGATGTCCGAAACAGGTAGGCGAGTGTCTAGGGTTGCTGTACCTGGATTTCGTGTAGAGGTATTGTACCTGGTCCTTGGGCACAGTACCTACACATCTGGAAACATACGTATGATCCCATTTGACCCTCTCGAAGAGTCATTTGACCGTCTTGAGAGGTCGAAGACACAGTAGTCTTGTGATGGCGGGTCAAACTCAAATAGAGACAGACACCGTAGGAATTAGAGTTTGGTATGTGTCTTGTAAAGTGTGGTCATCTGTACAATAGTAAATGTGGAGGGACAGCTTGGGATTCCCGGTCTTCATGGCAGGATTATTCAAAATCAAGGGTCCTGGGTCCAAGAATCCAAGAATCTAAGAATGCCGGAATCCAGGAATCAAAGAATTCAGAAATCTCGGAAAATAGGAATCCAGGAATCCAGGAACTCAGAAATCCAGGAATCCAACCAACCAGGAAACCAGAAATACAGGAATCCAGAAAATGAAGAATCTAGGAATCTAGGAACTCAGGAAACTAGACATTTAAGAAATTAAAAATACAGTTCCCAGCGGTTCTGGAATATAGGGCTCCAAGGATACAAGTATCCAGGAATCTAGGAAGTCGTTGGTTAGTGTAAACTCCTGGCCCCTTTATGCTAGGTCCCAGCATCCTATCAAGCCAATCCACCCCCTCCCAAAAATCCCAAAATCGAGGGAGTACAGGTGAATCAACAAAACATCCCAAACTACCAATTTTGGGGGGACGATTTCGACTTCTAAACTTTTCTCCGGTCATCCGATCTTTCTCTGCGTCTCTCCTATTCAAAAATCCACGTCATCGTAGCTCCTCAGAGCTCTCGGAGCCCTCAACCAACCAACAACTGACCGCGTGTTTGTCCAAACAGAGTTTTGTGTTGCTGATATTTTGTAGAAGAGTAAACCTATCCTCCCATTTCAAAGTCAGCCCCGGAAGTGAACAGTTCAAGGGGCGGAGGGCCTCTCTCTCTCTCTCCTGGTTTCTAACAAAACTTGTGTCAACATACAGTGGAAGGAGCGAAAAGGTACCGCCGCTCCTCCCGCACCATACCAAACGATCCTCCACACCGGGAGAGTTTTTGATGCTGCCATATATCCCCCTTCCTGTTCCTGGTGGTGACCGTTTAGACTCCGCCCCTTTTTTTTCGAAAAATGGTTTTCTTCCAGAACTTTTACTTCAGTTACTGCTGGTCTTACTTTCGGGTGAGATGGTCTACTGGGAGCCTAGGATCCTTAAGAGTCTGAGATTCTTCATGAAGACTTCTTGGGATTCTTGGAATCCCAATCATTCTTCGGATCATAGATCCTGTGGGTCCTGGATTCTTGATTTCTGTGATCATATGATCTGAGATTCTTCTTGAAGACTCCTCGGAACCCTTGGACCTTAGTAAGCATCTCAGATACAGATCTTTGGGGTCCAAAAGTCTTCTAATGGACTTCTGAGGTCCTCAACTTCTGAAGCTTCGTGGTTAATTTATCCCTATTTTACTAGATTCCAATTCCTATTTTACTAGATTCCAAATTCTGCGTTTTTGAATTCCTGTATTACTGGATCCCTATATTTCGGATTCCTGGTTTCCCGGGTTCCAAGATTCCTGAATTCACTTTAATTTTAAGCTAACCAACTCTAAATTGTTTATTTTCTTTTTCTCCCAATCTTCCTCTATTTTCTTATCAGAAGCTCCTATCTTCTTATCACTTTCGTTTTTGGCATAAATGGGCGGAGCAAAATATTTTTTCTGAAGACAAGTGCATTTTTTTCATAGTCTGGAATTCTGATCATTTCAGATTTTTTCTTGTTCTCACGGTTCCTTGGTTCCTTGGAATTCTTTTTTTTGTTGATTACTTTTTTTGGTTGCACTTGTTCTATTGAAGCTAGGGATTCTAGAATCAGGAATCCAGGGATCCAGTGATCCAGGAGCATCAGTTTCTCCTTTTCTCTCTCTCTCTCTCTCTCTCTCTCTCATATCAATCTCACTGATTAACTTGATTAACTTGCAGAATCCTAACACAAAACATGGATTGCGAATCTCTTCTCACCGCTCTCGACGTCTCAACACTTCTCTCATCTCTCGCCTCTCCTGATAAGGAGCATCGTCGTAAACGGCGTCGTGGAGAAGTGGCGAATCCATCGAACACCTTAGACGCTCTCGTCGCTAGAAAAGCCGATGATCAACCATTCGAGAAACGATATTTGAGCGAACAAGAGGCCATCGAGGGGCCGGATGATGAGATTGAAATGAAGAAGATGGAATTGGACCCTGATGTGTCTACGAGAACATGCTCAACTTGCGGATACCAAGGAAAATGGGTGTCGGAAATGATCCGTCATAAGAGAGTTCATACGTCGGAGAGACCATTCAAATGTAGATATTGTTCGAGAACCAGCAAATGGAAGGCTGATTTAATTCGACATGTTGCTAGTGAGTTTGGTCTTCTTTATTCGGGTACCTTGAGCTCAATTATGTCGGTTCCTGTCAAAGATATCCCAGATAAGGTAGAGAAGAAAGAGAGAGAGAGAGAGAGAGAGAGAGAGAGAGAGAGAGAGAGAGAGAGAGAGAGAGACTTCAATTAGAGAAAAACCCTCAATTCAAATAAATAAAGACCATCTCATTAGAACCTCCTGCCTTTTCAGAAACCCATGGAATCCGCGTCGTCTCCAAATACAGCCGTTCCAAAGTCTTCGATTCCACCAACACCTCGGTCGACTCTTCCTGCTCCCCTGACTGCAGTATCCCAGAAAAACGCACAGTCTTCTATCGCTGCCAGCTCTGCGCATTTGAAGATGAGCGAGTTTCAGTGCTCACCAATCATATCACTCATGTGCATAACACCTCACCATGCGTCTGCCGGTGTGGAGCCAAATTTGAAGACGTTCAGGGAGCACTGGCACATTCTAGCGGGCCTTGCGGTCATGTGGATATGATTTATAATGTGATGCCGACTTATGAGAAAGGTATGTATAAGAATATGAGAAACGTATCAAACTGAATATTTTTCAGCCTCTCCACTCTCCCCATGTCGAAGTGAGTCCTCATCGGACAGTGGCATCCAAACAGATCCCGAAGAAGAGCTTCATTCTCTTCCAACTCCTCCTCAACTCGGTGCCTCACCTCTTCTTCTGTCTCCAACGCTTCCAGTTCTACCACAAACCAGTCCATCCTTTCTCCCAGACATGCAAACAGCTCTTCTGAATCTTCAACCAAATCCTTTGATGTCTTTATACTTGGCATCCCTCCTCCAATCATCTCTTTTGAATAGTCCAACTATTCAACTCCCACAACTTGTCCCAACTACAGTAATCCAACCTCAATCCGAGGAAATGGTCGATGTGGAGATGTGAAACATTTTCCATATTTTATCGAATTTTTCTAAATATCCAGGTTAATTCTCAGGTCATCTACTGCATTCTAAACTTTTTATTCTATTTTTTTTTCAAGCTTAGCCACTCCCTCCCGAAAAAAATCCCCCAAAATTCTTAGGAATCTACTCACTCCAGAATCTCTTTTTATTTTCCTGGTGATCCTTTTTTTGCTAATTTTATTAATTTTCTCCCTATACGAGTCATATTTTTTATCACATCTCTCCCCAAAAACTCAACAAAAGTACTCTACTAATTATTTATATTTTTTAGATGGCCTAGGTTTTTCCTAGGCCAACAAAATTTTATTTTGTTGAAACACAAGTATTATTTTTCATCACCCCCAATCATTCATTTTATCATAATTTTGGTTTTTGCTATGTTTTGAACCTCAAATTGAAATTTTAAAGCATAAATTGATTTTTTAAAATTTAAATTGGATTTTTTAAACTTTGAAATAACAACTAGTCTGGAAAATTTTTGAAGACATTTCTTTAAAAAATTTAAGGTTCATAATCCAGGAATTTGCGAATTTCAAAATTTCAGAACCATTTTCAGATGTTTCCAGATTTACAGATTACCATAAAGTGTGAATATCAGATTTTACGCAAGTTCTAAAAATAAAGATACTCCAAAATCATTGAATTTGTGAAACAAACGTTTTCATAATTTTCGTGAAATCGGATTTTCCGAACAGTCCGATGTTTTTGATTTTTAGAATATTCGGAGTCAAAAAACCGATAATTGTAAGAATGACAGAAAAAGTTTCCAGCTTAATACCTTAAAATTTTTATTCTGGTCAAACTTTCATTTAGAAAACTTTTGAAGTTTTCGAACTTTCCGGAATTAAGATTTCGTGTACAGCCCTGCCCGGAAAGGAATATTTGAAAGCTTCGAATTTCGCAAGTTTCCCAAAGATATGTCATTTCTATAACTATGTAAAAACCTGATCCCTATGATCCACAACTTTCTGCCAAGACAATTTCTATGGTCCCCGGAGAATCTCTGGTTTACGTCACATTGTTTTTCAGCCTGTTGTTTAGAGATCACCAAAATTATGAAGGAACCAAAAACTAGAAGATCTCTTATTTTTCAATAAATGCAGACATCAAAGTACTCATAGGAACAAAACGAGACAAATTAATATCCTCTTTCTTTTTGAAATTCTTCGAAATCCAATTTTTCACAGATCAACGCTTTTTATTCGTAATGGACTACGTGCGTTTCACATGAAACGGATATTGGATATACTTAAAGGTTTTCTGAAAAGTTCCTTTTTTCAGAAAGTCTGAAAATTTGGATTTTGAACTCTGACCAATTTTTATTAATTCCAAATGTTTTGGTTATGCGTGAAATTTGGATTTTTTTTGGCATTTTTTGCACTTGTAAAGTTTTTTGTTTTAATGGGATTTCTGAATTTGAGAGACTCCAAAAGCACAAAAAATTAAAAAAGAGCACCTGATATTTTCTAACTTTTTGTTTCCTTCCACCACAATTTTATCATCAATTATGCAGACATCACAACTAATTAGGTGGCCTGGGGGGAGTCAGTTGACGGTCACGAGCTCTAATAACCTCATATTTTTCCAAATACTCGCTTTTTAGAATTCTGAGATTCTGATAGTGAGATTCTAAAAATCTAGTAGCGCGCTTTTCGGTAACTTAATTTCCGATTCTTCCGAATTTCTGAGTTTCCATATTTTTTAGAATTTTCAGGGATTTTCAGAATGCAGGAGTTTTCAGACAATAGTCAATTTTGCAATAAATTGAAAAAACTCCGGTTTTTATAGCTTTTGTAACTTTTTTATTATGTACTGCTAATGTTCTAAATTAGCAAATCTCGAATTTTTGATTTACTACCAGATTCTTAATTTTCGGTTTTTAGAAAATCTCTGATTTCACTTTTTTATACTTTTTCATCAATATACCGTAAAACCTGTTATAAAAGGGTCCCTAACTTTTAAATTTCAGCGAATATATCTAGATTTCTTTCAAGATATAAAAAATTGCAAACTGATAAATTGTTTATCACAACATCCCAAACATTTTGACAGTTAGTCAATTTTTGACGTCTTGAAAAGCAGCTGAGAAAAATTAGCTCGAAGTTGATAGTTTGAGCCATTCTATTACAGGTTTTATAATATTTCTCTCCTTCAATTTTCAAAATTATGTTTGCAGATTGTTCAAATCCCCATTTTCCAAAAAAAAAATGAACCTATTTCTAAGCACTGACTCCAACCGTTTCGTGCCACTCATCAACGGCTACTTCAATTTCTATGTCCTCTTTGGTCTCATTTTCCAACTATTTCTCATTTTTCTAATCATCACCAAATCACCACACAATCTGAAAGACCTGAAGATGTTTCTATACAATACGACTTGGTGTCAGATAGCAAACATTCTGGCCGCTTATTTTATACAATACCGGTATCTTTTTATTTGACCCCTCTTTTCTTTATATTTCTCTTCAGGGCGTTACCCAACTCGACGACGATGGCGGTTCTGGCATCGGGGTTTTGTAGGAAGTTCGGACCGGATGTGTGCTTTTCAACATATCATATATTTGTGGTATGTGTTTAGCGGAAGAAAAAATAAAAATTGAAACGAGGAAGCTTTGAAATTTGAAATCGCAGAGTAGCCATAATGCTCTAATATAGGCCCGCTCTGAGCTAATTTATTTCGGCTCCTGCAAGAGATATCAAGAATTTATTGTCTGATAGAATATTGGTGATTCTGTGATAAATACTTTATCAGTTGACTACTTTTTTAATTCTATTGGAGGCGCCGAGATAGTTGAGCTCAAAGTGCTCGAAAAAGGGGCTTCTAGTAGAGCAATAACTCGGTTTAAACATGGAATTTCTGCTTGAATTTAAAAAGTAAAATGAATAACTTAAAGAGATCTACAAAATGATATATGATATAACTGATTTAGGAATGTCGTGTTTTCCTCGCTAGCGCTAATCAGACCTATTTTTTTGGAATTCAAACCTGTAAAGCCTGTCAAAGAAAGATCCTCTATCTAATTCTCGAAATTCTCGATATTGATGAAACAAATTCATTCCAGGGCATCAGTTCAAGTGTCGCCATGTCCATCTCAGCCACGGTGGTTTTTCGATATTCGCTGATAAAGAATTGGAGAATGAGCAAAAATGCGTTACTTTTATTAATTGTCTCTAGTCATATTCCTCCGATTATAGCTACGGTAGGTATCAAAAATAAATTTTGTTTTAATTGCAAATTCCTGAAAATTTGTACAAAGGATCTTTTGAAAAATTGAAAACTGAATCATATTTTGCATTTTAATAGAATGTCACCCGAATTGTCAACTTAGAGCTCAATTATCTCGGTTTCTGTGAAAAATATCAATAATTTGTCAACTGATAAAACATTGGTAATGTTATGATGAATTATTCATTAGTTGACAAGTTTCAGATATCTTTCACAGGAATCCAGATAATTGAGCTCAAAGTTGACTGTTGGGGTGGGCTTCTATTACAGGAAATACGGTTTTCTTTTTTGCAGATAATCCCGTTCACTGCTCCTTGGGATTTCGAAAAAGTGCGTATCCAGTCAATTCAAGAACACCCATCCCATAATTTATCAATTTATATTCCATTTTCTGGATTCTCAGACACCACTTCATTTCGATTCTTATTTGTAACTGCTGCAATCGCTGTTGGTGCTTATGGAGTTCCCCTCGTATCGGTTTTTATAATTAGAAAAATTTTGGACCTCACAAAAGCGCATTCAAAATTGTCGAATAATACAAAAAGGCACACGAGGATTCTGATGAAAGTATGAAAAACTGCCAGATGGAAGTTTCCCACGGCGTTCTAGAACAATCCATTTCCAGGGTTTGGCTTGCCAAGCTTTGCTCCCCTTGATCTCGTATTTTCCCATCATTACGATGTATTTGATCACACAATTTACAGCAGAGGAATTTTTAATAACAGGTGAGAAAGAATTCGAAAAATAATCGAGGGGTTCGCAGCTTCCAAAAAAAATCTAATTTTGAATAATCCAGGAAAATCCAAAAATCCAAAAAAATTGAGTAGTTTTTCTTCAGGAGTTTGAACTTCGATGTTTTGGTTAAAAAATGACTTCGGGACATTTCCAGAGCTGAAAAACTTTGAGAATCTGAAATTTCCAGTGCTGGATCAAAAGATAGCAGAACTTGATTTTTTTTTTAGCGGAAAATAGTCAACTTCGAAATCCTTGGATTTGTATCTAGAATTTTTGGTACCAATCACATTTAGAATCTTCCAGAACACCTTCTAAACGTGATGACGTGTTTCCCAGCGCTCATCGATCCATTCATCTCATTCTATTTCATCGTTCCATATCGTAATGCAATTCTCCGATTCGTTCGTCCAAAATCCCATTCCACGATAGCCGATGTGTCAACTTATGTGCCTCCAGGAGTCTCCTTTCGCCATTCGAGCACATTACATGAATGATTTACTGATGCTCCGATCCGATGAGCAGCAGCAGTTGCTCCGAAAAATTTTTATGGGTTTTTTAGAATCTTCTTTTTTTCTTTTTCTCCATTGCTCAGTTTGCATTCATCGCTCTCAAAAATGAATAAAATGTTGATGCTAACTTTCATACTTGGGTCCTTATTCATCGCCCTTGTTTATACTGCTCCATTTGAAAAACATGTCATCCGAGATCGTACTTTTGTTGAAATCGAAGCTGTTCATTTGATTGATACCCCACTTGGAATTCAAATTGTACATGCTGTGGTCCCATTGTCAAATGTAGCTGTTGATGAAGGACTCAAATCGGACAGTGTTTGGTATATTCCCGAACAGCAGGAATTTCCGAAATTGGTAAGACCTTTTCGGCGGTTAAAAAGTACCAACAAGTGAGTATTCGGTTTAGTATTTCTTACTATTAGGGGGTACATGAAAAAAAAAATTTTCTCGAAATTTCGTTAATATAAGCCCCTCAAGATAGGTTTTTGAACGTATAGACACTTCTTTAAAAAAACAGTTGCCTTTCAGAAAACGGCAAATAGCTGAAAAACTACAAAGTTTCAAAAAATTCTGTGAATGCAAAGTTTTCGAACAATGTCTGTTTTACAAACTCCGTAGTTTTCAAATTGATCGAAATTTAAAAACTCCTCTCTAGGAATTAGAAAGTTTCCGAATTTCAGAACTACAGAATTTTAAAACCTGGATCTCCTTTGACTCTATTTATCTAGCTTCCTGTAAAATATATCAAATAGTAATAAACTGACAAAATATGTTTGATATTATGATGAATATTTTGTCAGTTGACAACTTTTTGACATCTCTCACAGCAAGCAAGATAAACTAAATCAAAGTTAACAGTCGAGGGGTCCACTGACTACAGGGTTTTGAGCTTCATTCCATTCTTAAAATCCAAACGAGTGTCCAAATTTTCCAGGGCTACCTCACCTCGCACGGCTGGTTTTTTCTCCAGGAGCACCATTTCCAGAGGATCAAAAAACGGGCGTTCGCTAAGAAGGCTCCTAAAAATGCCCAGTTGGATGTGACGAGTCTAGTGAGATTAGTGCCGTCCTCGTTCAAAAATGTGCAGTTTATCAGGGAAGGTGAGCAATTTTGGGCCACGATCATGGAACTTTATTTGATATTTAATTTCCAGGACCGATGGGCGCCTATGTTTACAGCGATGATGGGAAGAAACAGAATGATGAATTGTTCGAGGTGACATCGGGACAAAAACTTCAGGAAACTTCTGAAAAGCTTTGCAGACCGTCCATTCCCCAACTACCAGAACGAGTGAAACTCAAGTGGTGCAGACTGGAAATCTTGCTGCCTACATCTATACAGAAATCCCAGAACCTCAACCATTCGTCCCTGGAGATGCATCCCTTTACTGGCTAATTCCTGCCATTCCATCAGAATCGAAAAATGGAAAATCCTATACGACACGTCTTCATGATTCATCGCTTTTATTGTATCATGGAATGCCAAGACTGATCATATTGAAGACTTAGGAATAAAGTTTTATTAGTATCTACACTTGACACCCGTCTAGTAATGCAAAGTCTGAGTTTTCGGCAAAATGAATATTGATGAGTTTCCCGTCACGCGTTGAATGGTACTCGCCGACGCTGTTCCAGCAGCGGGCAGTGTATGAGGAGAGCTAAAAATTCCAGAATCTCGGAATCAGAAATAGTATCAGAAACTGACATCACATCTTTCTGGTCCTGGACATAACATTCCATGATTTTCATTGGCTGCATGAAATGTGTAATACGATTCCTTAAAGCAAGCACTGATCAATTTGCCATATGTCATATTGATCGGAAGACTTCGGAGATGTCGACGGATCGAAGATTTCCAGCTCATTCTGAAAATTTGAACAACTTTATACATCTATAGTATTTTCTGTGAAAAATAGTCAAATTTGAAGTCCTAAAAAAAGATACTAAACAAAATTAGAGCTTCATTTTTGTAATTGACAACTTTCTTGCCGAAATTTATTCTTGTGAGATATGCCGTTTGTAACCAAAAAGAGACGAAAATGCCAAAAAATAAGTTGCGTCGTTTTGTAGCCGTTGTTTTATATGTACTCTTGATTTCTCAGGTAAATTTAACATTTCTGGAATACTTTTTTAGAACTCCCAAAAGTCAATGTCTGATATTTTTATAGTAGGCTGAATTCAATTAGGTCATGACCTGAAAAAAATCTGGAAGAAATCTGAAACTTTGGAAAAAAGTTTTACCTATTGAAATCCTTCTCGATCATTTGTAAATTTTTATTCGAAATCAATGGTTTTTCAGCATCTCCACCACCCGTAGTTGGATTATATTGAGGCACTCTCTCATGGTCCACGCCCATTCCGTCAAGCTGGAAGCTTCAGACATTTGCAGATGGTTTTTTTTTAATTTTAGAACTCCGCAATATTCAAATTGAAAGCTGAATAATTCAGAATGGACAAGAAAATTTCATATTTTCAGTTTTCTGAATTTAGGAATGTAAACAAACAGATCAAGAATCCGTTTGCGGATCAAAAATCCAATAAAATGATGTTTCGAGAACTGCGTAAAATTTTGTACGCATTTGCGGCATATCCGATCTTTTTGCAATATTGGATTCGTCCGATTTCGCGATTAAGCTATACACAAAAATTCGGTTTTGAAGTCACTGGAATTGGATTTTAGAACTAATTTGATTACTTTTCAAATTTAAGACGATTTATCTCGGTTTTTGGGAAGGATATGAAACCATTTTCAACTAATAAATTATTTTCATTAAATCGCTATATATGTTTATCAGTCGACACTTTTTTTAATATCTCTCATAAGAACCGAAATTATTGAGCTCAACGTTGAAAACTTCAAAATTTCAGAGGCAGTGATAGGAAATCCTAGACCGTCTCCAATTAATTTTTTTAACTTACCATATCCATATGTTTGAAATGAGTGATTGAATTAAATTCTGGGTCCACTTCCAATTTCTTAACAGTTTTATGTGTCCAATGTATCCATGTGTTGTTCACTTTTGAAGGAATCGCTACCATTTTTCCAGTTTCAGTCGTTTGTTCGAATTGAACACTCCTCAAAACGTGCTCCACCGAAAACACATTGGCTCTCTTATCTTCAAAAAAATTAGATTTTTGTAGCCTGTCTGGATTTTACTGTACATGCTCTTGTCCTCGTATTCTGCTTGGTGTATGTGAAATAGGCAACAGTTGGATTCTCGGCTGCCAGAAATCGAAATTCGTTCAGATAAGAGTTTGCCATTCTGGGAAGAATCAAGTCGTCCAGGTCGAGAAAGGCAATAAATTCGGAGGCTTCCTGGAAATTTAACAATGAGAAAAAACTTCTTGGAAAAACAGTAACCGGAATTGATAAAATATTGATTGTATTATCATAAAAGTTTTATCAGTTGATCACTTTTTGATATCTCCTACAGAAACCAAGCTAAACCGACACAAAACCAACCTTATATCTCAACAAGCAATCCGTCTGAGCGGCCGCCTGACTTCTAAACTCCACATTTAAATTCGGATTGAAATCTCGCTCATCTCGATTCAACAAATTAATTCTATTCCATGGTTTCAGTGTCACATAACCCTCCTGTTCATAAACTCTCAAAATTTCAAGCATCGGCGAAACGACACTTCGAATATAGAGATGCATATGAGCACCGAATCGTTTGTAGACGTGAAGAGCGACGAGAAGATTTTGCCAGTTTTCGGCAGCGAATAGAGGAGAAATACACATTACGACAGGCTTAGGCTCGGTGGAAACCACTTCGAATGGAATCTGAAAAAGTTAGAGATTAGGAGAATTAGATATTTTTGGAGTTGTTCAGTATTTCGAAGCTACAGTATTTTGATACAGTGTTCAAAATAACAGAACGCCCTTCAAGGCTTCTTTGATTAAATTTATCTCAGTCCCTGTCAAAGACATCAAAATCTCGTCAACAAACAAAATGTTTATCATAATATCAAAACTCTTTTATCAGATAATCACTTTTGATAGCTTTTACATAAAACGAGATAAATGGGGTCAACGTTGACAGGACTTTTTAATACGGATAGTTTATTTTAGGTTTAATAAAATTCATTGACTAAAACTTCTATAAATTTTTTGGCCCCGAAATTTGGAATACCAAAACTTTATATCGAATAATCCAAATTTCAAGTTTTGAGCTTCTGAATTTTTGAATTTCCCAGAGTCTGAGATTATGAATCACCAATTTTCGAAGTTTCCGTTGACTTTCTGATTTTCTGAATATCCTAATTTTTGTATTCTGATTTCCTAAATTTCCGAGTTTCCGAATTTCTTAAACTTTGAATTTTCGAATTTCGAATTTCTGATTTCTCAGTTTCTCCTATTTATATCAACAGACCGCATTTTTAAACTCACTGGTGCATGGTTTCCTCCGAGAGACACAAAAAGAAGTGATGGATTTTTCACAACTTCTGCTGTCGCTGTCATTGCTATCCATTTGCAAGCATCGTGAATTGTGACCCTGAAAAAAATAAATTGTCTGGTGGCCTAGTTTTTAAAATATTTCTACACCATCCTAAGTATTTTTACTTCCAATTGGAGTATTGTAGTTGTTGTGGGTAGGACCTCCTAACCGTCAACGTTGACCTTATTTATCTCAATTCCTTCTTGCTATCTTCTCGTGGAACCGAGATAAATTGAGTCCAAGTTGCTCTAGAAAATCCTAGGCCACCTCCTTCGCAAACCTCTCTAATTCCGCCGTCGCCATGCCTCGATTCGTAGCATTTATCACCAATAAATCCAACTTTTTTATTGTATCCAAAACTTCAAAATCGGCAGTCATCAGAATAACGATCGACGATTCGCCCAGACTTTTTGATTGATTAAAATGAAACGCGGAATAGACGAAAACATCGTATGGGGCTGAATTGAAAACTGCCTCATTTTCTAGGTCTGGAGAATCGATTCGTCTGAAAATTTTGGAAATTTTCGTAATTTTGATTATCACAGAAGAATCAATTTCGATTTTGTGATTTTCTCAAATTCTCACATTTTTATAATTGTTCTTTTTTCAACGCCTTCTGACCTAAAAACCTTGAATTTTATTTCGTGGCCTAATTTTTTGAAAATTATAATTCCTAGTCCGGCAAGTTAGCCACGGAGGGAAATGTAGATTTTCGAATTATGTGATTATATCCAAATCTCAAAGAGAATTTTCCGCATGTTTCAATTCGAGGCCTAGAAAACCTAAAATCAACATTTTTGCCCTAGTTTTCAAAAATTTATATTTTTAAGAAACCTATTTTTGAAGAAAGTTGAACCCATACTTTTGAATTTCCACTGAAACTTTCTGGAATTTTTTCCTAAACCGTAATGGCCTAGTTTTGTTTTCCTATGCCACAAAAACTCACACAAACTGCATAACGAGAGCAGCGACAAAAAACAAGAAGGAGAAGAAGAAAACGACAGAAAGAATTGATGGAATCACTCGTGGGAGCATGTCCTGTTTCTTCCTCTTTTTTTAACTTTGACTCGAAATTTTGAAACAAAATGAGAGAAGACTTTTGGAAAGGGAGGAGGAGTGTGTTGTTCCACACCGGTGTAAATGTCGTGTCTCATTCTCCCTAATCGTTCCTTTCAATCTGAACTTGAGACAATTCGGGAAGGGATCCAATGACACTGTCTTTGATTCGGTAGATCTAGGGGGGAAAGTTATTCATTTTAATTTTTGCCAGAGAGTTTCAAAAAAAACCGAGAAATCAAAATCGGGTAATAATTTAACAGAAAATGGGCGGGAGGAAAAGTGGGAGAGATAGACAGTTAATATAAGTTACTAGATACTTTTGTTTGGCTGATAAAAATGATAGCGGATGTGGGGGTGGACGGGGCAAAAAAACGATCCGTGGTTTATGAAGCTGCAATTGGCGGATAAAAGACAAAACACGAAATCTGGAGATAAGGGGAGGAGACGCAGAGAGAGAAACATAATTAGAGAAATTTCAGATAGCGATGGCGAACACGTAGACGATTGCCAGCATTGTCTTCGCTTCCCATCGATACATGTAGGAGGCTGAAAATTGAATTTTTGGATTTTGTTTGGCTGAAAATTTAAAAAAAGGTTTTAAAAATCGAATTTAAAAAACATTTAAATTTCATAAAACTTAGTTTAAAAAATTTTTCTGACTTTTAAAATGGGAGAAATCGAATTTTAGAAAATGACAAAAATCGATTCAAAAGGATACTGTAAAACCTGTATTAGAAGGACCGGTCCTTCTATTTTTCCAAGGTACCTCCGGAGGGCCCTTCAATTAGAAGGGGACCCTTCTATTTTTCCAAACCCCTTTTGGAGGGCCTTTCTATTAGAGGGGTACTTCTATTAAAGGGGCCCTGCTAATACCATACATGTGGATGGCCGGGCCGGGCCGCTTGCCTCAAAACTTTCGGCCCGCCTAGGACAACTTTTCGAAAATTTTATTTTTCGAATGTGCCAAAATATTTATAATGGCACCAATATTAATCCAAATGAAAACCATCCGAAAAAGTCAATTTAATTGAATTTTTAGCAAAAAAAACCAAACTTCATTAAGCCAAGGATGAAACTTCTTTTTCTAATTACGACTTCAAAACAGTTTTTGTCGACAGTATCGGCCTCTAGTGTGGATTTTCATTCACTAAGAAGAAAAACCATCTTGAAAATGATGATTCTCTCGAAATTTTCAAAATTTTCAAAAAGCGGGCCGGCCATGTGTGATTTTTTCCGGCCCGGCCCGCGGGCCGCTATCTTTTCCACAAGTATGGCTAATACCGATTTTACGGTAATTAAAAAATCAGCTAACAAACCACGCACAATCCGTAATCTTATTCCAGTAGGATATGGTGCTAACGTTGAGTCCCGAACCACTTGAGATCTGCAGGAATGACGAGGTGACGACGTATTTGTATGGTTTGCCTGCGGCCACAAGCTTCTTCGTGATCTGTTCGACGGCCTTCTGATTCCATTGAACACTATCTTTGTGCGTGTACGTCGCGTTCGCACCGACCGTCTCGTCGAGCACCTGCTTGATGATCATATGGACATCCTCCTCCGGCAGAGCCATGATGTTAAATATGCCTGTATAGGAAAAATGTCACGAAATTCGTAAAACTCGGAAAAAAAAATTCAAAGATAGACAAAACTCGGCGTTAACCGAAAAAAAATCAGTTATTGGAGCAGACACACAAAATCATGGATTTCATTTTAGATTATTCTCCCTATTGGGAATTGACTAGGAATATAAGACTGAAAATAAATAAAATAGGTATAAGCGAAAGCAATGGGTGTGAAAAAAGTACTAATCTCGAGAGAAAAGGAAATACATTGGGGATTGTTATGGAATGAATTTTATGTCACACAGAAAAAAAGGTTTAAAAATATGCATTTAGGCTTCCGGCTCCACATCTAAATGCATTTAGGCCTCCGGCTCAAAATCGACGTGAGTGAGACAGTTGGAAAGATCCTTTCCGAGTTGGGCGGTTCCAGCGCACAGCACTTTTCGAGACATCACATCGAATGGAGCGCCAGTTGGATCTGTGACCACACCACCCGCTTCGAGGACGATGACAGCTGGCGCGGCGACGTCCCACGCGTGGATTCCATACTCAACGTAGCCGTCACAGCTTCCCTGAGCGACCATCACCATGTTGATGGCGGCGGAGCCGAATGAACGGTGTCTGGAAAAATTGAAGTTTCAGGGAGATTTAGTAGAATTTTTTCGATTTTTGTTTGAAATTTCGATTTTTTTGGGATTTCAAAAATTCAGGCTCTCTCATGGCCCAATTTTTCCCGTCAAATTCACATTTCTAGTCCACTTATTTATTACCCATGACACTGCTTATCGAACATGACAGTCTTGTAAGACTCGACAAACGAGTTTTGCATGATCGGTGACCGTATCGAGCCGAGTTGAAGTATCAGTACACTGTCCGCAATTGCTGGAATTTTGCACAACGTCATCTTCAGAAATCAAGGAAAACAAATCAAGGAAAATTCGTGCAAAAGTCCAGTGCGGCAGTGTGTGATGGGTCATTTTTAGGGGATTTTTAGGTCATTTTGAAAAATTTATGAGAAAAACAAACCCTCGCACACCGGCCAACACCTGATTTCGCATGTTTCCCTGAGCAATGTCGAGCCAACGATCGCCGAATTGAACACGGTTGTGGAGGCCGAGCGATTGGCAAAGGACCGCTTTGGACATCACTTTAAGATTTTTTTTGGGAGGTGAAGAAGGAAGAGATTCCGATCGGACCGACCGTTTGCCCCTCAAGATGGCAGTGTTTGCGGACGCAGCATGTTCAACAAAATGCGTCGTAAAAAAATATGCTGCGTACGCAAACACTCTGCGGCATCTTGACACGCAAATTCACAAATTCCAAAGCCTTAACGTAGAGAAACAGAGAGGTGCGGGATGCATGAATGACATTCGAAGGATATGAAAACTCAAAACTCACATTCATTTTTCGACGCACGAATCGGAAATCCATTCTTGAATGCTCCCTTTCCAACTTGTGCCATATAAAGCTCATTGGTGATCGGATTGAAGACAATACCAGCACGCAGCTGCTTCTTGATAGCGAGCCCGACGCAAATGGCGATCATTGGAATTCTGAAGAGCTTTTAGATAGAAAATTTTGAGTAGAAAGTTGCTGAAAACTGTACCTATGTACAAAGTTAGTGGTTCCATCGATCGGATCGATGATCCATGTCGGCGCATCGGTCCACTCGATTTTGGCGCCACCGGCGACGGATTCTTCTCCGATGAATCTGAAAATTCGATGGCCTGCTCTCTAGTGCACCCCTTCGTTTCCATGGCATTGCGCTCATTCTAGTGTGACTAATTTCCCCTTACCGATGCCCTTTAAATCTGGCGGAGAGCCCTTCGATGAGCAATTTCTCCACAGCCTGGTCCGTCTCAGTCACCAGATCGGTGTTCGACGCCTTTGTCTCCACCTTGCTTTCCGCTGAATCGAATGCGGTGCGGACGAGCTGAAAATTTCGAAATTCTGAGGGAATTCGCCTTTTCATACAATTTAAAGAAATTTGTTTTTGAAGGACTCCACAGAGATCGCGGAATATTTGAGAAAACAAAAGAGAATTTTTGTTTCTTACCGTTCCCGCCTTCTTGACCAGCTCTAGAGCGTAGTCGACGAAAACTTGCTCCTCCTCGTGAATCGGCTCGAACACCATCTGAAAAAGCGAGAATTTCTTGTAAAAAACGACCTAAAAAGGGGAAAATCCTATTAAAGCACAATGAAAAGGAATAAAAATGCATTACCGCTGTGGTGGCATGCTAAAAGGCGCAGTCAATCTATTAGGAGGGAAGAATTTTTCCCGCTTCAGGAGCAGAGAGAAAAAAGGAGAGGAGCGAGAGAAAGAGAGATATAGAGAGTGGGCGAGCGCCAGGAGACGCAGACACGTTTCGAGTAATCTCTTCCCATGTTCTGTTCGAAAAAATGATAACGAGAGGAGAAAAAAAGAAACATTTGGGGGCGAAAAGAGAAGAAATGACACATCATAGTCTGATGCATTGCAAGTACATTGGAATGGGAACCAAGTAATAACGAAAGGAAGAAGAAGAGTGATTTGTTTATTTATATAATTTCAAAATCAATGTATATCAAAATGTATCCAATTGCAAAATCATCCAAAGTAAACCAAATCGACATGCTCTCGCCATCCCTTCCGCTCGATTATTCGCTCCAAATCGCCGTGCGTCAAGTCTAATTTGACGCAAACCACTAGTGGCGGCTTTGCGGTTCTGGAAAATGGGAATGGGATTGAGAAAAGGGCTGAGAAAGGGTGGTTTCTTCATAAAAAGATCATACAAATGGGGGGAAATAAATCGAAGGGGAGTGGTCATAAAGTACCTAGCTAATCTTGTGACCCGAATTTCGAAATTTTTATGTGGGATTTCCGGAAATTGGCCAGGGATGTTCGGAATGGCCTTCTCGAAATTTCTCATCAAAAAAGCACTACACATTGGAAATGACAGACGAAAAACACAAGCAAACTTTTTGCGTGCTCCTTTGACATACTGTTGTCCAAATTTTTCTCTATTATCGAGAATAAAAAGCTTCGGAACTATTTATTCCGGTCGGAATTTCCCAGTTTCCAGAAACCTGACAGTAAGATTTCGAACACCGGGTCACAAGAAATCCTCGGAATCCCGAAATTTCTGGAATACGAGGTTTGTGGGATACGGTATATTTAAAGGAGGACTCCGACCAAAAATTTTTATTGCATGAAAATGTTCAAAAAATTGTCTACTTTTCCGATATTATAGCGAAAAAATTCGAAAAAATCCGAAATCCCCGAAAAATACCGTTAAAAGCAAAAAAATTTCAAAAAATAGTTGCTAGGAGGGACGAGGATTTTAATTCCCGCGCAGTGAGAAACCTAGGCCACGGAGGTTGATAGCCGTTTTTTTCAAGTGGCCGACAGTGGTTTTTTACGTTTTCTACCTGCCGGACATGAAAACCGAAAAAAATCCGGAAAAATTTCCATGTCAGAAAGGCGCTATGATGCCGTGGCCTAGGTTTCTCACGAGCGGAAATTCAAATCCTATTTTTTTCAACGCCGTTTTTCGCGGATTTAGGATTTTCTTTGATTCTTTTCTCAATAATATTAGAAAAATACACATTTTTTGAAACATTTTAAGGCAATAAAAATTTTTTCGGAGTCCCCCTTTAAAGACGCATGCGAAAACTCCCCTTGCGGGTCTCGAGTGGAATCACATTTTCTGCGTTTTTGAAGTTTGTTTGTCAATTTTTCAAAATTTTTTCGTGCTTTATTCATGGGAATGTAAGATTTCCAATCGAAATTCGATAAAAAATTCCGAAATTACGCACTCAATATTCACAATCGGCACTTTATGCGTCACTGTTCGTGTTCTCTCATCAAACTCCTCATGCATTCCTCTCCCAATTTTTGCCTCATCGATATCACAAAACTCGCGGACCTTCGTCTTCTCGTCATCATCAAGAGACCTGGAAAAATTCTCAACTCTCAGATTTTCTAATAAAAAACTACTTGAAAAATCGTTTTCCCTGTTTCCCAGCACTCCAAATTGTGAACTTGTCCCATTTAGCAAGATACTGCTCTTTGAGTCTTTGCAGTCGGAAATTCCAAATCGTTAGCTCGGTGACACTATGCGACGCACAGTTTGGATGGTACCGGTACATGACAATGCCTTCGGGGACCTAGAAACCCGAATTTTGAAACCATCCCGAGATTTTCATTTGTAACCTTATCAAAAGCGCACTCCGGGATGTCTAGACACTTGTAGAAGAAGTCGAGATCTTCTGGGAATCCTACTGAAACATCTGTTCGAAATCCACCGACTTTATCAAAAAGAGATCTACTGATAAACCAAGTTGGTGCAACTAGTGTTGGTCCATGTGACGTATACACTTGCTTTCGGATCTTCTCCCCAGTCATCGAGTTTGCCCAATTTGTGTATCTCGTAGTGGAGCCATCGGGAGTTCTATGGAACTGACCGCCTGGAATTCATTTTGCCGCAATAAATTCTTTTTCAATTGAAAATCACACCTACAAAAACAAAATCATCATTTGGCTTGGAGAGCTTCCTGGCGAGATCCAACTGCGATTTTATTCTATTTGGAGCACTGACGTCATCTGCGTCATTGAAACATAGATATTGGCCTTTAGAAGAACGGACGGCGCAATCTTTAGCTGCTCCAACACCGCCAGGTTGTTTGACATGGGAAATAACCACTTTCATGCCCAGTTCTTCAAATTCCAAGCGAGCGTTCTCCAGAATTCTGACTGTGTCGTCAACACTACCATCGTCGGCTAAACATATCTAGAAAACCATTGTTGTATTTGTAACGAGATGTTTAGAAAAACCTCAATTTTTGTATTCTCCGCTACTGCTGTCTGTGCTAGCAGCCCATTTAACGTCTCTCTCAAGAACTTCTCAGCGTTTTTAGCCGGAATGATGACGGAAACATCGTACGGAAACATCGTACGGATGAAAATGCCGAAAATAAGTTCAAATTCTACTCTAAAGAACACGCACTAACGACACTCCGCCTATCCCGCCTCTGCGTCTCTCGATTCTGCACGCTGTCTCGCGCCATCTAGATGCACTCCTCACCCTTGTGTTTTCCTCGTTTATTTTTGTTTTCCCTCCATTTTTGTGTGCACTGACCCAGATTTAATTACATAAACTATTGATTTATTATCTTGTTTTTCAGCTCAAAAACTAAAATCAATAAAAATCGGAAGACGACCTCCATGATCATTATCAAACCAATTCTGACACTTTGCTCATTTCTGCCTTGATTTCAATTTTTAACGAACGGGTTTTCTTCTTGATACAAGGTAAATTTTATTTGAAAAAATATACAAAAATACAGATAGAAAACCGCCCGTAAGATGTTACAGATGGTCTCGTCAGAAATGGATACTGCCATAGAGGCGCGGTCGATAGCCACGTCTCCATTAAGCCAGAAAATCTCTCCATTGAGTCAAATACAAAAAGACAAGCTGCTAGTCATCCAATGGGAACATCTGAATCTCTATAAATTTTATCCGATGGCATTGTGCAGTTCGTGGACAATCAGATGCATGCTTTATCCAATGTCCGTTGTGAAAAGCAGGTTACAGTTACAACGGCAGAATAATGTGTATAATGGAATGCGAGACGCTTTCGTCAAAATTATCAGACACGAGGGTATCGGAGCCTTGTATAAGGTTGGTTTTTTAAATTTAAAATTTCAAACAAAAAAAATCATTTCCCAGGGTTTCTGGATGACACTTCCCCAACTATCCGCCTCATTTCTCTACTCATCAGCGTATGAACGTGTTCGTGACTTGCTCCAAACCCATCTCCATATCACTAATCACTCTGTAGTATCCGCGCTGGCGGGAGGCATCGCTTCGCCGTGTGCTCAACTCATTTTTGTACCTACAGACATTGTAGCTCAACATATGATGGTTCACAACAATCCGGAAGCGTTTGGAGGTAATTTCATGTGTAAAAGTGCTCTAAAAGTAACTAAAAGAGGTTTTTTCCAGGAGGAAAAAAGAATATCCCAGTGGCAGATGCGATCCGGAAGGACGGTCTGGAAGGCAAACGTACACTGGGACTACGAGTGATTCGAGCAGTTTATAATGTTGACGGAATCTCTGGATTCTATAGAGGATTCTTGTCAGCCATCATGCTGTACATTCCGTCGACGATGGTCTTCTGGTCGACGTATTATAACTCGCTGGCGGTGTTCAGAATGATTCGAGAGAAGGTAAGCATTTTTGACTTTGTGCAAGATATTATGTAGATTCACATAAAGATGAAGAAAAATAATTTTCAACGTACACCACCTTTAAGAAAATGGGTCGAATTTGGCTGAAAAATTTGAAAATAGACTAGTAAAAAATCCTATATTTTCCAGGTCACCGAACTGGAATACGGTGTGAAACCAACGTCTCCAGCTGAAGTCGATGATCGGAATCTGTTCTTGGATCAAGCAGTGAGCGGATCGATTGGAGGCGTCGCCAGTGCGATGGTCACGAATCCGTTGGAAATGCTGAGAATTCGGTTGCAGGTAATTTGAAATTTCGAAATTGGATTTTTTCAAATTCGGTTTTTCAGGTTCATCGAACGACATACAGAGAAACGATAGTGAGGTTGTGGAAATATGAGAAATCGCAAGTTTTTACAAAGGTAAGAGATTAATTCTCAAGTTTTCAACCATTTGAGCACTTTTTTGAAAAAATGCAAATTTTTGAGTCTATCTGGGTGTTTCAGAGCTAATAATTCAAATTTTCAAAGATCAATTCTTTGGTAAACAGTTGTTTTTGAAGATTTGCTGAAGATTTCCTCCATAAAAAATCTCCTTTTTTTCCAGGGTCTCGCTCCACGAATGGTGAATAACGCGCTCTACTCGAGTCTCGTAATGCTGGCATATGAGAGTGTGAAGCGATTTTCAGTGCTGCCCGAATTCAAAAACAAGATCGTCTGGTGATATCAGAATTTCCTCATCCAATCAATTTTTATTGCTCACACGTGTATTTATATAAGAAGTCACCCCCCCCCCCATTTTTCTAGAAATTCGAATTAGATTTTTTGTCTGAAACTGTGTTCAAAGTTGTAAATTTTTTGTGTTTGTGTGTGTGTGCTATAATATCATATCTCACCTATTCAAATGCCGATTTCCTAAAAAAAAGCTCTATTTTCTGAGCACTTTCTGTCATTTCTTACTCCGTTTTTTTGTAATTCTTCTTCCATGCTTTCTCTGATTAACACTGTCTTTTGTTCTGGTTTTCGGTCCCTACCCCCGAGAAATTCTTCCTCTCTCTCAATTTTCGAGTATAAAAACAGATTTTTTTCCTTCTTTTTTTCTCATTCTTCCCGATTTTTTTTGGTTGGTTTAGCCGATTTATGTACCTTCTCGTGGCCTAGAAAATGCAGAAACTCGGCCAGGAATTTTCGGATTTTTCCTTTTCAGATGTCGTTCCGACGTGGGGTTTCCCGGTTCGACCGGGTCAATCAGTGGCTACAATTTTCGAGACAATGGCACGTGATTGACGCGAATCAACAGGTAAACATGGGAGAAAACATACTTTGGTGTATCAAAAAAAAACAAGTAAACATGTTGGTTTTTAGTATATTTAGTTGATCAAAGGTGGTTTTGTTTTGTGGGGTTTTTAGGGACACTGAAATTCAGAATTCCGAAAAATTATCTTACAAGGGAAGTGTTTTCAGAGAGGCGTTGAAAATTTGCTCAAAATTTCAGTACTGATAGTTTGAGATATCCGCAACACGATGACGAAAAAATCTAGGTCATAACCCCACCAGGAAGCTGAAAAACTTCGTCTGAAAATTCTGCCCGATTTGGGCGCGCACTTTCCCCCCTCTCCTATACGCCCTCCGCGCCAGAGGAAAATGTCGGTTGTGTGGTGTAGCGGTAAGAGGGTAACTCATTAGGTGAGACTCCACTGGTTCGAACCCCACTGTGGTTAACATTTTTTTTGTTTTTTTTTCATTTTTTTCTAACAATCAGAAGTTATCAGTAGAGCATGGATTTGTATTTCAACTCGCAGAAAGTTCTGGAAGCAGCAGAAAATTGCTATAAAAGGCGATTTTTTTTTTCATTTGTTCCTTTTTTCTATTTTTTTTCTTCGTATTTATAGCTATTATTTGTCTAGCTGATGTCGAAGTTTCGTCGCATTTTGACATACATTCTGGATCTGGGAGTCAATCCTAAGCGTCAGCCATTGGATGAAGAGGATCTCAAGCTCGCGGCTTATTTGATTGACCTCGGTGAATCGATCGATAAGGGAGACTTTGATATTGAAATGGAACAGCACCTTTCAAATTTTGAAGACGATCTACAGGATTTGAGTAAGTTTCAGTTCAGTGAATCATTACATATACATATGTTACGGTTAGGTTGGACTCCAGAGGACGATGAATGCGACAAAATCCAAATGTATCCCGATGTTGTTCATCTTCCTGGAAAACCAAATATGATCCAATTTGCGAGCTCGAGAAGCTCGAGAAGTGGGCCCGATATGCTTGGGTTGCAGCTGGATACGATGTGCCCCGTCCAGCAAGTTTCGAAACTCCAGCACAACTTCTGTTTCCACGAGGTGTCGCTGGAGATTGTACAATGCATGGTTGCTCCAGCACATCGTTTGTGAAGTGTCTCTATTGTGAAAAATTATTCTGTTTCGAACATTTTGTCATTGACCATCACAACTGTTGATTGATTTTGATTTATTTAATAAAATATTGATAAATTCAGTACCTCTATATCTTCGAAATATTGAAAAAAAAGTATGAAAAAAAAAACAAAAAAAAAATGTTAACCACAGTGGGGTTCGAACCAGTGGAGTCTCACCTAATGAGTTACCCTCTTACCGCTACACCACACAACCGACATTTTCCTCTGGCGCGGAGGGCGTATAGGAGAGGGGGGAAAGTGCGCGCCCAAATCGGGCAGAAGTTTCAGACGAAGTTTTTCAGCTTCCTGGTGGGGTTATGACCTAGATTTTTTCGTCATCGTGTTGCGGATATCTCAAACTATCAGTACTGAAAACACTTCCCTTGTTAGTAATTTGAATTTAGAAAGTTTTCTTCGGCTGAAATCCGAAAAATCACAATGAAAACGAAAACGAAAAAAATAGCTGCATAGAAATAAAATAGGTTGGTGTGAGTCGACGTGGAAATCGATCAAAATCGGTCTAAAATCGCTCGGAAAATTGACCGATAAGTCTCTAAAAATGATTCATAATAAACCTGAAATTGGTCAAAAAATGGTTCAAAGCAAACGAATAAAGACTTCTAATAAAGTCCAAAATCAGCAGTCCAAAACCAAGTTTCGAATATTCAGGATGCTGAACTACTGGGTGACAAGGTGGCTCGCTATTTGGCTGGAAAACACAAACCAATCTATCATCCGAAGACTGATTGTGGTGATCATGTGGTGGTGACGAATTGTAAGGATATTGCGATGCAAGGATTCGATTGGAAGCACACAATCTACAAGTTCAATATGGAGTATCCCAAGAGTAAAGCCGACATTCCAGCGTGGCAGATCCATGAATACGATCCGTGTCGAGTGGCGTTTTTGTCGATTTATAGGGTGGGTATCAGCTCTCTTGGCCTAGAAAATTCAGAATTTTTCAGTCTCTCGGCAACAATCTTCTCCGACGTCGTCTGATTCAACGTCTTCATCTGTTTCCCGACTCGGAGGTGCCAGATTTCGTTCGAAAGAACATTGGATCCCAGTTGAGACAAGTGCAAGAAGTGGTGAAACGAAGCGATGAGTATACGGCAGAAGAGCGTGCTGCGTTCCCGAGGGTTGTGAAGTTTACCGAAGGACACGTTGTTGATTGGGAGAAGAGTATTCCGAATCCAGGAAGACACACGAAACCAGTACCTGGGCAGAAGGACAAGTAATCGGACAGATGATCTTTTTTCTAAATAGATTTTAGTATATACTTCATTGTTGGTTATCTTGTTGATTGTTCGAACAGAAAATTTGAATAAAATCATAAAATTCGAAAAAGCGAAATTTCACAACCAAGAATATCAGAATTTTCATAATCAAAAAAATCGGAGACGATTTTAAGAATAACGAAATTCGGGAATTTCAGAAACTTTTTTTTCAAATCATGACTCCTGCAAGTTTGAACATATAGAAACTGAAATAGCGGTTTTTTTTTGGAATTTTAAATTTAAAGAACTTCTTTGAATCTCTGAATCCAAATGGAAGAATACAGTAACCGGCGGTAATATGATGAGAAAAAAAGTAGCTCTGGAAGAGAAACACCGGTGGCAGTGGCCGAAGGTCCCATAACGAAAACTACAGTAATCTGGAAGTGCTAAAAAGGGTAAAAAATGTTCTGACGGAATCAGCTCTAATGATATTCAACTTCAGAACTTCAAAAGTCCCGAATGTTTGAACTTCTGGAATTTAGAAACTCCGATTTTCAGAATCTAAAGAATTTAGAATTCGAAGTTTTTGGAGGTTGAGAATCTGTTCGAATTGTTATCAATTGGAAAACTAGGAAGTTTTCAAATCTTAAAATTTATATCTATGAAAACTCTGGAGTTGTTTTAAAACCGCTTCTTTTTCCGGAAACTAAAAAAAATGTTTTCGAAAATAGCCAATTTTTCTGAACTCCAGAAAGAATAAAATTTGATAAATTACGAATTTCCTAATGAACGAGCATATCGAACATCTAAGATTCTGAATAACCGTAGTGAGAACATTACATTTAGAATGATTATGGGCTTCATAACGAAAAAAGGGATATTGGAGTTCGGGGTGAATAAATGATTTTTGAAAAGAATCCACTGGGTTTCGAAAGAAATTTAGCTAAACCCCAAGCCACCAGATATTGACATAATTGAACACAACATGGATTTGATGAAGTCTAGAAATCAAGACATTGATGATGATTTTCCATCGTCTCCTCACCATAAAAGTCAATATTTTAAAAGAGTAGCAAGGAGAAAAAACAAGATAAAAAGAGGGACAAGAAGAGTGGAGGTTATAAAAATGGAACTCGACAGAATAATGGAAATGAGACTCCGAAAAAGATGAGACGGTCCAGCTCGACAACGCCTACAAGAACACCAAAGCAGCGACGAACGTCGAGGTGATTCTAATTTTCGGAAATCTTTTCGAGAAAAATAATTTCAGCCGAAGCATGTCTGAAGAACGTGAGCAATTGTTTCCCCGCCATCATAGCAAAAAAAATGGATAGATTGGATACACTGAAGGAGACATAAGGAGACATTACTTTTTTTTTAAATGTGTTCTAATTTTCGTCTTTTTTGCGATATAAAACCTGTTTTTCTTTAAATTGTTTTTTTCGTTTTTTCCAAAGATCGTTCTATTCCGAGAGGACTACACGAGGTTTGATTTTCTAGTTCAGTCTGAGTGTTAGTCCTCTCGGAAAACTTGAAATTCGAACACGAATTTTTATATTTTGCAAAGATCTTGTTTTTTCTCTGATTTTCAAGCTTTTCAGAATGTCAAATTAATATTTTCTAGTTGCTTCTGCATTTTTCAACAGATGCCTCCCTTTTTGCCGTATTTTTGCTGTTCATTTGGTCATATTAGTTATGGGGTTATTCATGTAGGGAAAATATGTATTGAAATGCATTTCCGCGCCCTCGAAATTCAATGCATGAGCGTCGCGAAATGTATTTCAAAGCATTTCGCGACATAACTGTAAATGCATTTCAATACATGGGGGTACGACGAATTCGAACGTTTTCAAATT